TCCCCTCGTGACCATCGTTGCGCTCTTCGTATCTGTAAACACTGGCAAGTATACCCAAGCAAACAACGGCAGCCCAGAGAGCTTGGTCAGGTATGATGTCTTCTGTGCCGTAGACGAGAGGCAAAGCCAGGATTGATTCACGCATTTTGCCACGCGCCACCACCGCAGGCATTCTCTCGCAAAGATCTGACCATATCCTCCCAGGTGACATTGAGAGTGCGGCCGGCGCTGCTGACGGGTCTGGAGGGCAGAAGCCGTGTGTGCTAGTCAAGTAACCATCCCTCCACCCAGTCAAAGGACCCAATTCTTGGGCACGCCTTAGGACTTGCCGGGCGGGAGCACCGAGTGCTGAGGCGAGAACATCAAGGTCCGGGGGATTCAGATGGTCTGCATTGGCGAGGCCATTTGTGATGGTTGTCGGTGGTGCCTCAGGAAGAAGCAATTCTGTGATTGTTTTTCTCTCCTGAGAGATGAGGTCCTCTATCGACTGGCCATCCGAGCGAATCTGCAGATGTTAGGGACAAATCACACTGGGATTTTGCTTGAACACTTACTCCTTGAGGTGTGTAATGTGATTGCGCGGACATTTGATAAGCTGCGAAAGCACAGCCTCGGGGACCAACTCGCTGGGTACCTGCCGGACATAGAGAGCCTGGCCCACCCCTGTGCCCGCTAACGGGACATGATCTTTCTGACATGCCGGATGACCGTCACCTATATCGCCACGTATCCAGGGAAATAAGGGAGGCACAACTGGACAAGGACAAGGGCAACTCCGCGGCGCCGGTACTTGAAAAAGGTAGACACGAAATATAAGCTCAATCACGAAAGAGACCCAGTGGCGACCAGCACCTTGATCGAATAACTGTCCGGCAGCACTTGAACGAAAGGGAAAAAAAAGAATCGGACTGAGATTTGTGTTGTTCGAGACTGGAGGAAAGGAACAACGTGATTTTAAGGCTGGCGACACACCTACTTGTATGTACCTCGTAGCGAGTACCCGATCGCATACTCCTGAAAACAAAGGCATTTTGAGCGAAATCACGAGAGCCCAAAGTCAAAGCACAAAAAGTTGAGAGGTCCCCTGCCAATCGTTACGTGATGAGATCAACAAGTGGGCTACTGCTTGTTTGGCTGTTGGCCATGGCAGACATCTTGGACGTTTCCAGAGGAGATATTGTGGATAAATAAATGCCCAGCCTTTCGCTCAGAACAATCTCTGACACAAGGCTGCGGCCAAGGTGTCTTCGTCGACCACATCGCAGGATTTATCGCCAGGGAGAGCGTTTGCTTGTATCAGGGGTCAGCGCTTTCAGCCAAGCGAGGAGGGAAACGAAGTTTATCGTGGTCCCATTGGCAGGATCGGCTCATGTCTCCAGAGTTACCAAGAAGTCCGCATGCTACCAAGAGTCCACTGACGCAGAGTTCAGGGACATCAGGCGTCTGGGCGACTTGTTGACGGCCACTGACAGGCTATAACTTGGCTGGAAATGGTGGCACGGGGGTCGGTAAGGGAGCGGCCAAGAAGGCTTGACTGTCAGAAAGTGTTTGAGGCCCCCTTTCGCCCCTATCCCCCGTAATTGGCGGAGTCAGGAAATCCAAGTCGGCAAGTCGTCGATGTAGCTTGCAGAGCTGAAGAGAGAGATCACAAACCTGAGCAGCAATCGACGGATACTTGGAGGGAGCAATACAATAATACGAGTGGTGAAGAAAAGAGCAGGCTTCAGCAAGCTTGTAAAGACGGAGAGAAGTCGCAGAACAGCTTATTTACTTCATCGTAGAACTTGTGCACTGAAACGGTGAAGCAGAACCCCGCTAGATGTACCACCAATATCATGGAATTCCGATTCATGTTTTCTACCTTTCAGGTTAGTATGTATGCGCCGCAATTGAGCTATTACGATCCAATACATGTTGCAGCTAATATAATGCCGTTCTGACAATCAATGCAGCGGCTTCTGGTGGGGTTCTTCCCCGGTGTCTTTCTATATCAGCCCTCATCCTCTTCGGTTGTCTCTCTGCAATGACCAGCCTTCTGATACACCACCATCCATGCAACCGAGACTGGGGCCCAGAAGCAATCTCCATTTAGCAACAGTTAAGGATCCATCCATCCCTACTAAAACGACCGGTGCCTTTGATCGCAACACCCTAGCCAGGACGCCTCGATGAACCTTCCCAGCGGTTTAGAGATTTGGGCCTGTGTCAAGCACTCAAGCCAGTCACGTAGGAAAGATAATTGCGCACTGGGTGCCTCTCCGTCATTGGACAGCCTTTTTCAAGCAGTGTGATATATCCTGCCTATTATTGCCAGTCTTCAAATTTGTGCTGGCAGGCATTTGAAGGGCCGCACTGATGACTCTCAAAAAGTCCACACGGCGCCAGCCCTGACTCTCAACGTAGGGACGGAAGAGCAAGGCTACCAAGGCAGTTGCGGCGCACCGAGTTCACTTTTTTCGTCTTCGCAAATGGCAAATAAACTTCCAGATACCTGGGAAAGAAACTAGGTGGCTTTCAGCCGATCGATGTGCACGACCCCGAAGCTAATGCATGCGCCATGGAGCACGTCCTTTGCTCTCAATGTTCGAACCCGATGAGGAAGTCCCGCAATACCAACCAAGGATATATGTCTAGAAAATACGAATAGTCCAGCCACTATCCTTCCTTTCAGGAACTCGAGAACTCGGCACGAAAGGGCTGCCATCTCTGCTCCCTTATTTGGTGGAACTGTGCAGATATGGCCTAAAGGCCGTTTGAAGGCGCTTCTGACCTGGGTAGGGGAGTTACTATCGAAATTGAGAAGGCTATCTCTCTAGTTATGGTCGACAGGATCAATTTGAACACTTTTGGACGGCCCGCTGATCGCTATGAACTTCCTCCTGGATTTGCACATCATTTCCTAAGGATTGAGAAATGTCGAAGCAGACATCGAAGGATCGAGACTCCATCTTCCACAAAGCTAGCTGGCTGGACCCATCCACTCCATCCCACGCCGCCCAGCTTGCAAAGTTCACCGTCTCGGATGCTACTTTCGCGCTCGCGAAATACTGGCTGCATGTTAACGCAGTATCGAGAGTGATGCAAGGCACAGCTATTTGCCAGCCAATAGCCCACATGGCTCCTTGTGGTGGGGCAAGAAGGCACAGTCCACCCTGTCCTCACTTCGGGTTTGGCCCGAAAGCCGAGATATTTGACCCTGAGCCATTGCTGGGGAGGCGCCGACATCGCAAACCTTGGCTCGTTCTAGAAGAGCATACGGTTAGCTGCCCTGTGGAAGACTTTTAAAGACGCGGTTGTCATCACCTATAGACTTGGATACTAGTATGTTTGTATCGACTCGCTCTGCGTCGTTCGGGGCTCGCTCGGGAATTGGGCAGGAGGGTCAAGGATTATGGGATTGGGAATGCCACGCCGAAAGGCTGGGTTGACGCGGGGAACGTCAAACTGTGCAAGCTCAGCCGAAGGCGCTGTAAAGTACAGGAACATCTTCTTACTCCAAGGACACTATATTTTGGTCCCCGGTCGACCGGCTGTGAATGCATCGATTGCGAAGCTACAGAGACTGAACGTGATGAAGAATCTTTCTTCTCGGGCCATGTCGGTAGGCTTCGACGTAAGCGGACTCTGGCATTATTGGGACTGTCGATCTCCAAAGATATGTCTATGGACGGCGCCGAGTTCGTTGCTTTTCTCAATGCATGGTTGGCTATAGTCACCACCTCCACCGGCTGCGATCTAACGTTCTCCTCAGACAAACTGTTGGGATCAGTGGTATGATTCGGGTGGTTGAATCTCGAACAGACTTAACAACATAGCAGGCCGTTGGAAAGAACTCCTGCTTCAAGATATTTCGTGGAAAGTGGTGATCTTGGGACACAGAACAAAAATGTATCGAGCGCCGTCGTGGTCTTGGGCGTCGATGGACGGCTACGTCTTTGGGACGTACTTTGATCATATTTTTGAAACAGTGTGTAACTCCGAAACAAAGTTGATGAATGAGCTCGAGTGGATGGCGCAGGTGGAAGAAGTCTCAAAATCGAACTGAGGCAGACGTGAGTCCGTGTCCAGAGGGGCGAGTTTCTGCCTCGACTTGAGAATGACCAGGGAAGATCATCACGTCCGACTCCAATACCCAATACGGAGTCACGAGCCTGAGCAAGGCTATCATTATTAGGGGCTGCCCCTTCCACGGATGCCAGACACGCTTGCAGCGCACACGTTCGTTTTCTCGCTGCCGGGTCAACCTTCTCAGCCTTGTGAATGGGTGAAAGTGCTCAGCCTGCGGACCTGCCAAGAGGTTAAGCTGATGTGAAATGAAGCGTAAAAGTGTATTGGACTATTCTAGATCTATGTGGTCGGGGAGGCTGCTTTTATAGCCATAATTGCTAGCGTCTTGGCGTATTTCACACTGACACGCTGCCAGCTACTCTCAGCTCCTCTGTCCATGAAGGCCAAAGTTGTTCACCGTTCTATCATTCAGATTTCGTCCCATGATCAACCACAGACTTCTACTCCAAGCGAAGTGCAAGATTATTAAATCTTTGACCATGCCAAGATGATCGACACGAAGTTGGAATTGAGCTTTACCCGTTCCTAACGCTGCCATCCACTACTGTCCAGGTTCATAAGCAATTCCCCAACTTCCCCAAACATTTAGCATTTGCCGACCGCCCGTTGGGGTTGTGGAGAGCTGAGGGTCAGGGCATGAAAAGCACCTTCGCGAGGCATTAGAGATTTGAAGTTCGACATATTTCTGGGAGGGCCTTGAATGATGCCGGTATCATTCCATAGAAGAGGTAGGGTTCCGGCGACAATCCGTGGGGATGGAATATACCATACCGCTAGGAGCCGTCTCGTCTAGGTAAAAACTTGGAGAGCGGCAACGGTCTTTGGATGATATAGTCAGTGAACCTGCCTTCGACCGCGAGAATGATGACAGCACCATTCGCCTGTGACTTGGACAATTCTGCCATCGTCAAGTGTTGAAGCTGGAATAAAAGATGAATGCCCTTGTGGTTGTCGCTTCGCTTCTTATAGCAACTACGTCGGGACAGCAGCAGCCACCGGGTGTAACACAACCCATAGTGGAGGACTGTGGTTTTGGCGATTCAGTGGTCTGCGTGAACAAATACGTAAGTGCTGATTCTTTCTCATTCTCAGACAATCAACACCATGTTGACACTGACAAGGCTGCTGTGCTTCCATATCACTTCAATCGCTCAATAACTTCACTAGCCGCCGACTATGACTTCCGCAACACCACGGTACCAAATGCCCCTACTTTCCAGCTACTCCAGAATGCCTCCTTTGTGGTGTTCGACCGAGACCGTGGATTGCAATACCTAGGGCCAGAACCGACGTACGAGTTCGTATTTCAAGTCGGTAATTCAGTACATGAAGCTCCTGTCTACGTGCCAAGCTTGAACAAATTATTCATGTCTCAACTGCCGCCTGTGGCGGCGCCAATTAGCACTATGTACGAGTATCTGCCGCAGCTTGTGGTCGATCTCGGCCAGGAGCCATTGACCCTGCAGGAGTATGTGACGGATCCTCCGATATTCGCGCCGAATGGAGGTATCTATCACAATGGCCAGATCATCTGGGCTTCCAGCGGTGGCTTCAACAATCTCAACGGCACGGAGCAGCGTATCGCGCTTCACAGCGTGGATCCCACCACGAACAAGTCTACTGTTCTTTTGAACAACTTCTTTGGGTTTTATTTCAACAATATGGATGACGTTACCGTCCACCCGACGTCGGGCGATCTCTTCTTTACTGATCCTGACTATCCCTGGTTCAACGGCCGAGTTGATACAGCTCCTCAGCTGCCTACTGCAAGCTATCGCTTTAACCCAACAACAGGAGCCTTGTTCCTGATCGACGACACCATAGAGCAACCCAACGGAATCGCCTTCTCGCCAGACGGGAATACTCTATACATCACAGAGACTGGTTCATTGACCGGAAGTATCGATCCAGCCGTTGGGCCTGGAACAAAACACTACAACACCACAGGCAAAAGATCCATATATGCCTTTGACGTGGCCAATAACGGCACCAAAATCAGTAACAAGCGTTCCTTCTACATGGCGCAAGACTACATACCGGACGGCCTCAAGGTTAGCCGCGAAGGCCTGGTTCTTACGGCTACGGGTCACGGTATCGATGTGATTGATGATATGGGCCAACTCTTGCTTAGAGTGCAGACCAACCATTCCGTCCAAAATCTGCAATTCACTGGTCCAAATCTGGATACAGTCTGGCTCATGGGTAATCAAGGGATTAGCAGGGTGCATTGGAATATCACTGGCCAGATTCCGAAGTAAGGGTCGAGAAATAGAGTGGCCAGCTGCCTCGGGAGTCAAAAGCCGCGAGTTCAGAGCCCTTACCTAGAAAACGGCACTCATATTCCATCAAGTCTGTTCATGGCACCTAATGAATGCACAGCCGGTTGCCCACGATGTTGGTTGCTGAATGTGTAGCAATACATGATAGCCGAATGAATCGAGCATTAGTGCCAAGCTGGAGCGTTCTCCAGATGGGAGACAAGGCGCATCGACGAGGCTGAGTTCCTGACAAGGCTGGGAATGTCCTTGCCCCACTCCCCGCCTTGTGCCCGCTGGGGTATCAGTATGCGGAGAACCGAGGTGCGAGGTATTATCGTGGCACGGGTAACCCCTTGAGGTTGAAGCGCAACAGTCAATATCAATGCTTGAGACGAGTACATGTATGGTTATCCGTCATGACGAAGCCGTACCCTCGCAAACCGCAATCCAAGGCACGACTCGTTGTTCCAATCTCTAGCCAAGATGGCCCCCTTTGTTGACACCCTGAGAGCCCAAGGGCCCCTGGTAGGCACCTTTGTCACATTGACCTCGACATTATCGGCTGCAATCGTGGGCGCCGCAGGGTACGACTGCGTGATTATTGACATGGAGCATGTTCCCACTTCAGCTCTGGAAGCCACACATATTGTTCACACGATGGCCTCGGCCTCCAAGGGCACCTGCATGCCCCTCGTCCGGGTGCCGTCCCACGGTGTGGAATGGATCAAATGGGGGCTCGACAGCGGCGCCGCCGGCATCGTTGTCCCCATGGTAAACACACCCGAGGAAGCCCGTCAAATCGTCCAAAGGGCTCGATATCCGCCCCTGGGGCAGCGAAGCTATGGTCCGGCCTATGCGCCCTTCGCGGACCCGGCGTCCGATCGCTCAGCGGGTCAGTACTTTAACAGCACTGCGCAAGGATTGGCAGTCTTGCCTATGATTGAGTCCGCGACCGGTGTTGAAAATGCAGATGCCATATTGGCGACAGAGGGAGTCAGTGGCGCATTTGTTGGGCCTTTTGATCTGCGATGTTCGCTAGGTCTCCCGGGTGGTGACGGGAAAGAGGATCGCTTTCTCGACGCCCTGAAACGGATTGCGGCGGCGGCGAAAAAGGCCGGCAAACCTGTTGGTATATATACGGGCTCCAAGGAGCAAATGGAACGCAACTTGAGCCTTGGCTTTGAGTACATTCTTTACCAGGGTGACTCGTCCCTTCTTGCCAACGCGGTCAAGGCTTCGGTTGAGGAAGCGAGATCAGTCATCAAGCAGGCAAAGTCTTCATAAGCAGGATAATGGAAAGACTAGACGGCGGTCCGTACGCCGATAACACCTATTTCAGATCAAATTCGGGTCACTGTTATAAGCTCTCGTCCATTTCGAAAATATGGCTGACTTTATTCTGCCGTTGCTCTCTTTTCCTGTCTGCTCTGTTGGACAGCGTCTTAGGATTGTCTCTATCTCCGTGCTTTGACAAGACTATGCCACAGGTCTTCGGACATTTAACCACCCTGGATATCTCTTCCTATCACTCCGAGCTGCGGAAAATGGAAGACGGCCCGAAAGACAATTAACATGACGGAAAAGTAGTGAACTTTGGGCGTCAAGGGCATCGAAGGTGTTTCAGCCTGGCGACATACGCAGTGTTGCCGGACCCACTATTTCTTGGCTCGTCGTCATTCAAACTCCGACATGCCGATTCCCTCACCTCAACAGCGTTTCCTCACTTCACCATGTGGGAAGTTACACGGCTTGACGGCATTACTATCCATCCACCTTCTTTTTAGTCCCGTTCAATGCGCTGTAGGAGCTATCCTTCTGCCCCGTGCCCAAGTCATTTCTGAGTCGATCTGCCATGTTCGGTTTGAGCCATGGGTGCGTCAGAGTCAAAATTGGTATTCAAGCAAGGCATCTTCAGGCTCTCGGAGGAGAGGAACATTGCAGCCAATGACCCATATTGGACAAACGTAAGGTGTGTTTTAGTTACTGTGAACTCGCGCGCTAATAGTCGCAGTTCTGGGAGCTGCCAGAATCCGTCGAGGATGTCTTCAGTCTCTTTTCGCATACCGACATACGCAGAACCCGAGATTCTGCCCTCGAGAACCTCGAAACCCTTATCCTAGCAGTAACCTCACGCCTGATCGTGTTAAAGAACCACCCCTCGTTCCCAGATCCTGATCTCGCCCCAGAAAGGGATGCTCTCAATTGCATACGAGTCCTCACCAGGCTTCTCCCATACGTGTATGAGGCCGACGACTTGACAGAATGGGAAGAGAAGTTCTTCTGGGGCATGAGGCGGCGCCGTACGAGAAGATCACAAGTCTCAGGTGAAGTACTATTTGACGACAATGAGGGCGAAGAGAACACCCCTACAGAGAATCGTGAACAGGAATTTGAGGATGTGAAACCGCTCGCAGAAGAACTTATAGACACTTTGACGGACCTTCTCTTCTATGCTGGTTTCACGATAGCTGACCTGCCACAGGCAAAGAGCAAGGTTACGTACGCTATCTGGCAGAGTGGGGTGGGTTGCAAATCCTCCATTCCCACGAACAAGGAACTCGAGAGCAATCGATGTGAGGTCCTGAGGCTTCTTCTGACCATGTCCAGCAAGGCGATGTATACGCATTCCAATGTACTTCCTGTTCAAGGTGTCAAAGCTATCACATACCTAGCCACCTGTCCAGACAAGCAGATTGTTCTGTCTACGCTGTGTTCTTTGATCAACACCACGATCAAATCCAATCTCGGATCATGGCGCCTCCCTTACGACCACGTGGTTCGCAAGGACTCCAAACAGACCCTCGTCGTCTACAGCTTGCAATTCCTCCTCGTTCTCCTGCTGTATCCAGTCCCCGAAAATGGAAATGGTCCAGCGCCGAAGAACTTTTATCGCCATTATCTTGGTCGATTACATCGACCGGAAGACTTCCAGTTCCTCGCTGACGGCATGACGCGAGTTCTGAGCCAGCCGATGCAAGCTACAACGTCCTACCTACCTGGAAGCCAGAAATCAGTCAAGTGGGCTCCGGAAATGGTAATGCTCTTCTGGGAAGTGCTTCAGTGCAACAAAAGATTCCGAGCTTTCATCATAGAGTCCAACCGCGCACATGACTTCATTATCCTCATGCTATTCTACGCCATCGAGTACAAAACAGACGCATCGAAGCAGGGTATTGTGAGAATGTGTGTCTTTGTCCTCCAAACCATGAGCGTCGAATCCACCTTTGGGAACAATCTCAACAAGAAGTTTGAAGCGCAGGATACTTTGCCTCCATCCATTCGTTTGACCAATTTCAAAGGCACCTATGCGGATTTCTTAATCACGTCAATCCATACCTTGATTACCGGGAGCAAGGGCAAACTTGAAGCCATCTACCCTGCCTTGCTCGCCATTATTAATAATATGGCAGCCTACGTACAGCATTTGTCTTTGGCGACAAGTACTCGACTTGTACAGCTCCTGGCGTCAATGTCTACCCCAAGTTTTCTTCTTGCGAACGAGAGCAATCACGTCCTTCTTCGGGCGCTGCTGGAATCTATTAGCACCATGATAGAGCACCAGTACGCATCCAATGTCAACTTGATATATGCCGTCTGGCGATCAAGGAAGCGTATCGAGGCCTTAAGACAGTTCACGCTGGAAGGAGGCCAAACAGAAATTGAACAAGCTGCGCAACGTCGTAAGGAGAGTGCTGTTGCTGATGGCGCAAACGATCTTTCCAGATCAACTACCATGGACAATGTGGCTTCGCCGACGACTCGCAGTGGAATGTCCCCCAACCTGGAGAGTGCAGTGGGCGGAACATTCGCCATAGGAGATTCCGACGACTCAGAGAATGAAGAGCCACCGACCCCTTCTCAGTCGACCCGATCCATGCAAACTTCCCGGACTCCTTCGATAGCCTCGTCGTCCGTGCCTGAAGACCATGTTCCCGTTCAACTATCGGGTATGTCGGAAAAGGCCAGGGGCAAAATGCCCGCGAATGCCCCAACGTTCTCTCGACAAAATAGTACAACAAGCCTCTCAGCTACCTCGACATACGCCCCAGGTCGCGGCTCATTCCAGCCCACCACAGAATGGCTGGAAAGCTGGCTCCCCGACCTGCCACTGCACACTCTCCTCACTGTGATTAAAGTTCTCTCTACACACCCCTTGGCCTCACCACGGGTTAACAACGGGGCAGCGGCTCACGGTGACAGCACAAACCCGCCTTCGCTTGCTTCTTCGCGCCGCTCATCGCTCACTGGAGCCGACGAGCCCTCCATCACGAACTCCCACACTGCAACGCTAAGCGACTTTCGCTCTCAAATTCCCTCCACAGCCACGCATCCTGCGATTGCCGCGATTCTTGCTTCCCCTTCCCCCATCCGAGTGCACCTTTTCGAATGGTCGCCGCTCTCCCTAGGCTGGTACATGTCCGTGCTCTGGTCTTTGATCTTCACAGCGGAGATGATCATCTCGCCCACATCCAGCACGGCGGCAACCTTGACGGGAAGCGGAATGATGGCTGGTCCGGTGGGCGTTTGGAATGGGACAAACGTGAAATTGTTTCAGGTTGCAACAGAGGGCAGGAGAGAAGGACCAAGCTTAAGCCAGCCGAGAGGGGCGGTGGATGCTGTGGGTAGTAGGATTGTGCAAGGGGTTCAAGGGTTGAACCTGGGCGGTCTGGTTTCTCGAGTAGGAGGTGGAGTGAGAAGTGCCACTGCTAGCAATACCGCCGACGGTGCTTTACACCGGAGAGGCACCACGAGAGAAGTCTGATCCAGCCTTACATTTGCCATTTTTGGAGCCTGGAAGCAGGCTACGTATCTGGTTAGAACAGGCGTTCTGCGTGCCGCGGTATGTGGCGTTGGGGGGAAGACAGGAGATGCAGTTCACGGCGACAGCGACGGCGTTGTAGAGGGAGCTTTGGAGCATGGGCGCCCCCTTTCGCTTTCCTTTTTCCCATGCGCACAGATGTTGGTTTGTGGACGAGCGCACACTTTAAGTATTAGAGCCTGGCTACTTATCAAGTATGGCGTCTGGGGTACACATGCGGTCCCTTTCATTGCAAGTCGAGCTATCTTGGTTGATATGAAATGCAATTTTTGCTGGAGTCAGTTCCAGAGACAAGAACCGAATCTGGCTGTGATCTGTCTTCGCTTTGCGTCATGCAACGGAATGTGGAATGTTATCACTGCCACTACGGGTGAGATCACGGCTTCAATGGGAAAGCCAGACGCTCTGCACGGAAGAGAGAACATGGCTTTGTAGAAAGGTAGGATTCATGCCCGGAAAACTGCGTGCTCCATACGTACACAATCAACACTGCACCCGCTCAACCTCAGAAGCCGCCGAAAGAATCGCTCTTGGGTAATTTCCTGCCCTTGTCGTATAACCATTTATAATTCAACCCTGACACGGCCTGTGAAGCTCTGGCGGGGGACGGTGAACTCGGTTCTAAGCTCTCCCGTCTTGATCTTCTTTCACGCATACTCTGTGATCGACTAAGGCCTGCAGCACCACCACCACCAATGATGGCTCCAAATGGGGAAGGAGTACTCCCGCTAAAGTCGCTGTCTGGGATTTGTGAGGATTGATTCTGGCTCACGGCTTTGTGGAATAGAGGGCTTGCAGTCGGAGAAGGGGAAAATGTCGAACCAGAGGCCGTGCGACGGAGGGATTGCGAGGGCGTGGGGGAGAAGCCGATGGTATAGCGGGATGTGGACAGAGGCGATGAAGAGTAGTTGGCAGATATGCTGCGACGATCGGTGGAGGCGGAAGGGTAACCGACTTGAGGGCTCGTTGTGGGACTCCCGCCGAAGGAGGAGCCAGAAAGACGTCGATAGCGCGGAGGAGTAATGTAGCTAGCCGCCGAGCCAGCTGGACTCTGACCTGGAGGGGCGGACGGTTTCAGACCTAGGAGTGACCGTTGAGATGGTGTCAAGGGGATGTCTGTGATTTGGTCTTTCTTGGAGATGTAGGGCATGACAGGCCGGAGTAGAAGGATTATGTTTAGGCAAAATAGAAGGCGGATGATGAGGAGGGCGGTCTGGGAGACTTGGGAGGGGTCGGCGATGCCGCTGGATTTGAGCAGAGGAGGAACACTGGCGACTGGTCAGTCATTGTCATTTGGAACCGCAGGCTTGCAACATACCTGCTGTAGTAGACATCGCTGAAGATGAATGTGAGAAGCAAGGCAGCAGCATTGGTCACGGCGCCCTTGACACTCCTGTCCGTAAGTGCTGTGGCAGCATTCCGCCTCAATATCTCTGTTGTCTTCGGGTGTCTAAACCTTCCTGGAGTGGATGGAGGAGTAGGAAACTCGGTGGGTTTGGGCGAAGACTTCGAAAGAGACAGGCTGAGATTCTGTGGTTTTCCAACGACATTGCTAGGGGCACTTGTGACTGTTCTCGACGCTTGCGACGCGGCCTTCTGTGTGGTTTGAAGAGCGGCGTTGTAGCTAGGCCTGTAGCTAGGCCTCATAGAAGGAGAGGGAACCAGGGAGGTAGCGGTTGTTGACATGATGGGCAAACCAGATGCGCTTAGGCACTTAGCAGAGTTCTAATCAGGCCCTAGGGCCCTGGGGTTCTGTTGACACTTACCGAGACGAAGAAGAAGACGAATGACTTACCTATCAAAGTGTCAGCTTAACATTGTTGTCGTGTCGTAATCGTCGTGGTGAGTTGTGGCTGTCGTCTTGAGTTGGATTGCATGCTTGACTTTCTTTGTTGACTGTTTCCGCAGTTGGATCGGCTAAGTTTCTACAAACGGCCCCCAGCATTGGACCTTTCTCTCCACCCTCACCGGCTCAGCTGCTTTTCAGCACCAATTGCTCGACAGATACAAGCCTAATCGCTCTTCGAGCCATAGAAACTTTGACACTACGTTGAAGACTACTGCGAGAATTCACAATGCTCACCACATCCGCCGATTTGCAACTAAGCGCTTGCAAATAGAAGCTCTGTCCCCCCCATGCCCCTGACCCTGACCACGTCTATGTCGGCCCCGACGGACTCATCACTTACGCTTTGATCTGGAGGGGTGCATCCTTTAGACAGGGTATCTGTAAGTATTCAATACGCACCCGGAACGAGGCAGGTAAAGAGGAACGCGAGGAGGGATATCATAAGAATATACTTCAGGCGAATAGTACGATGAATATGTAGGGTGGAACGGCCATGTAGACCGGTAAGGGCTTCATGGCTACCACGATACTGTTATATGAGCGGAGGATTGTAAAATCCAACAGCTTCTTGATCGGTTTGAGGGGAGGGGTGATTTCCCAGTGTGATAGCCCTATTTATTCCAGCTCAATCTTGCTCAGCCAGAGCCTTGTCTATCAATCTAGTATGGCTCGTCTTTGTCAATGATTTTCAGCCATGCTGGATTCAACTCATTGCCTCGCCTAAGGAAGGAATACCGGGGCAGATCGCAAGGCAGATTGGTTTCAGGGAACACGATTCTACGCGAAGTGGCTGAGCAACCTTCAGCCTTGCTATGTTGTCATTCTTGGCTTGGCAGCACTTGCATCTTCCCCGAAAATCTTCTGGGTACAGCCTTGTCTTCCTTTCATGTAATGTCATCTTATGAGTCTTGATACAGGATGGAGCAAACCACCGGATTCAGGGAGTCTCGTCTATCAATTGGTCACAAAAGACCAGCCGTTGAAGATGTCGATCAAGGCGCGACAAGGTCCAAGAAACACCACACTCAGCCTGATGATCACCATTATGCGACGAACGTGACATTTGATCAAGATTCTTTGAATCGGCATTCTCGAACTGGAATTTCATACGGTGCCGGAGAAGGATCAGCAGTCCATACAGGGTTACTGCCTCTTATCGACACATCTACCAGTCTTCCACCAAATGATTCAGGGTTATTTGACGGCACTGGTATGGGCGTTTTCGGGCAAGAGGACTTTTTCGCATCAGAAACATTCAGCGCATCAATTAACGATGGATAATGGCCCGACTTAACGCCTTAGAAAATTGTTTCCAAACACCTCCTCCACCGACAGACGGTGCTTTGCCTGAATCTACACCGCTAGAGGGAGAAAGTTCTAGACCTTCCAGCGCGAGTCCAAGCAATTATGAGAACCATTCAAGTTAGTCAGGGCCTCTCTTGTTGCCTTCATGATTCTCACACTAAACCAAGGTTCAGGCGCATCATCACTGGGCCTTGGAAAGACGCGATACGATGCTTGCTTCGGAGTCGTAAGACGCCATTCCCATCGTTCTGGATCCTTGATCTGACTTCTCTCACAGATTGTGACAGATGTTATATCTTCCTTGGTTCCCCAGAAGGGAAATTGAACAAACCCTGTGCTACTCCGGCCGTATGGGAATGTATACAAGCTCTACCTTGAAGACTCCAGCAAGTATGCTGGCATCCTGGAGATGCCTTGCCTTCAGAATTTACTCCAGGAGTATGCCGTTGAAACGAGAGCATACCTTACCGCAAATCCTATCAAATCAAGGACCACCAAAGCACGCAAAGCCAAGAGTCAAATCCTCAGCCGCCAATGCTCGCTGCGGATCATCGTCTATGGACTCAAGAGCGAAAAGGATGCCGTCGGCCAACTTCTCTCAGGTGCTGGCGTGTTCATTCAGCAGCCTTTGGTCAGCGAATGTGAACCAGAGCCAGAATACTGTAATCCTCTCTATCTTATCCGCCCCGGACACCAGTTGCCGCCGCTGGAAGAATTGACAATATCGATTGGGAATTCCATCACAAAGGCTCTGAAATACTGAACGAGACCGACAAGAGCAGAATCATGAGGATATTTGACTCAGCTACTGATTTCCCGGTCCCTAGCGAGCTCGTTCCCAGTCCACGCCTACGGACAACCTTAAAAAAGTCAGTAGAAGCCCCTATGTAGAGTCAGAACCTAACGGGTCTGCAGTCACCAGCTTACGGCGGTCTCTGCCATGATCTGGAAGGAGTCTGGCACCATCCAGAATGCTCCAATACCATCAATCTGGGAGTTAATATCTCAACCTGGCGAACCGACCAGGTTAGTAAATTCGTTTATGTGAACGAACGGCGCTGGACTAACATACGTGATTCAGATACCGTCACATAATCACTGGGCTGCGCCAGGAGAACCCAACTGCTGTGCGAGGTGGTTGCCTTGCCGATGTAAGTCCTCCGGATCCCTCTTCACGTGTTTGACTGACAATCTATCAAGGAGATGGGCCTAGGGAAAACATTGAGCGTCCTAGCGTTGATCTGTTTGTCCCTTGACAGGCTCAATGACCAAGATATCCGTATGAGGAAAGACACTCCTCGTGCCACGTTGACAAATGTGGTATCTGCAAGCAGCCATTGTCCCGTGCCTTCGCAGGTGCGGCCACGCGAGGAGTCCAATTTTTTCTCATATGTTTGCGGGGATATATCGGACCTGATGGCCCGATACTCCTGTCGACGGAGGGATTTCTCTGTTTTTTTGTGGTGATCCCGAGCTTGAAGGTAAGTATCATGAGCCTCCTGGATGTGTTCCAGCGAGACCTCGCGGCGTAAAAGCCGGGCGTGCCGCTCAATCTGGGTCTTTACCACACTAATTTCACGTTGCTGTTTTATCCACAAGGCATCGAAAACGATCTTCCAGGCTGACCGATAATTGTTATCCTCTTGACTTCCGGTTCTACGGGTACAGGCGGAAAATACGTACGTTTCTTTCGGAAGAATTTTAGTGCTATAAGATAGACAACCAATACGTCTCGGAAGAAAAGAACCAGGACATCCTTGATCAGTTCATTGCTTTCGAAAAGCTTTCCGGCGACTTTGAACTCTGGGAAGAGCAAATTGATATCTGCGAGAGTGTCGACGATGGCATCGAATGACTTCTTCACACTGTCTGCCCACTGCAGGAGGAACTTGATTGGGCCCCAGATGAGACACAGCACATCCTGTTTTGTCTGGACAAGGACCTCGATCACACCGGCATAGGTCCGCAGTGTCTCTAGGTACGGCTGAATTTTATTGAGGTTCCGGAGACGGCCTGTTCTCCCCTGCTCTTTCTGAAATTTGTCGGTAAAATCGCACACGTCGTCAACAGTCTTGACCTTGAGGATTTCATCGACTAGCTCTTTGTCGCCGAGGCTGGCCTTGAAGTCTCGAGCCACATTATCGAAGCTCGCGTGGATTGGGTCATACGGAGCTGTCATCATGAATTTCTGAAATCTTTCAACCTGTCATCTAGAAGTTTGCAGTCTTTGTGAGGATCCCTGGTATATTCTTCGGCCTTCATACCTGATCAAAGAAGAAGAGAAGAAGACGCACCGTGGAAATCAGAGTCAGGCTGCTTTAGTTGCCTGCCCAGTTAGCCTTGCCATCATTATGATAGGCTCGTCAGGCGAAACGTGGCGGTCGCTCGTGAGGCTGAGCGTGCCGCCGAGGAACCAAGTCAGGCCGAGTGTGCCTTGCCGTCCAACACATCTTCACCTCGAATACCCACGGTGCATCTGCTGCAGGGAGCCAGCCGAACAGCGGAGGAAACATGGGTTTCACCGTCTTTTATCTTCGGCGACCTGCGCCCACCATCCTTCGCGGGATTGGTTTTGTTCACGGAACACCAGAACCAGAACCAGAACCAGCTAGCGCCAATATCACCCTCCGCTATCGACCACTTCATACAGCTCCGTTCAGCCTGACGATGGACGCATCTAAAACGGCGGCGCCGTCAATCGGCAAATGTAACAACCTTCCGAACTCTCAGTTACGTGTACCTTAAAAACCCTCATATTCAGGCTATACGTGTTGACAGGGTTGCGAAATCGCCACTGTGGCAAACCACCTGAGACGCTAGCTGTCTCGCCAACTGCGCCACTTATGAACCGGATGTACCAAGTAGGGAACGCAAGGTATGAGTAGCTGTGTTACTAAGAGCAGTATAGTGCAATCAATAACATGAATTGGCTACGGAGAGAGTGTAACTACTTAGGGGTAACGAGAGTGTATATATAATGTTCACGCTCTGCGCTGACCAGGCCAACAGAGCGGACAGGGCCAACAGGGCATCTCACGTGATCCAGCCTTGTTCCCCTGTGGATCCCTCCACTTGCCCAATGAATGTGATGAGCCGTGCTTGAGCGACTCATGACCGGTCGTTTCTAAGACTGCGTCTAACATATTGGTCCTCTGGAAGTAGGAAGTTGTAGCTTTGATAGAAGTATGGTTGACTTTAATAGCGAGTGAGTGACAAGTCATTTTGGGGGAGAGTAGAAGTGGATGCTTAGTCGAGAGAGTATCTACAACGCGGGGTATGCACTGACAGAGGTATTCCACATCGCCTCTCGCCTTATAAACCCTCTCACCCACCTTTCGGTCGGTCGGTCGGTCGGAACGGACCACTCCGGGCGGTGCCAAACTCTGTTGGACCTTTAAGCGTTAAGCTATCACACAAGTAAGCTTTGAGCTAAGCCGCTAGCCCTCCGGGGCTGGAAGGTAAGTCCAAGTACACAGTAGGGAGCTAGTTAATCAATATACGGAGCAGCACTGTCAAACAATAGCTGGCAAAAATCGAGTGAGGTCGCGTAGCCGTTGAGGGAAGAGCGTGACAAGAGAGATGTACATCCACAACCCCCTCAAAACTGAGTAGCGAAGTCTCTGAAGTGAGCCAGTTTCACGTGACAATGAAAAACAATGACATCCTTCACAGTCTTATACCACCACTGGTAGTCTGCAGAGATCATTGCCCGACAGACCGTCAACGACCTCAACACGCTCTCCTCGTCGTCCTTTGCGCTGCCACATCGGCCGCCCAAGAACTCTGATTGAGAGGGTTTCTCATTGGTCCTCATCCTTCCCCATCCGCTTATTGTAATCCTTCCAAAGAGAGCTAAACTCCACCTGCAATTCTGCCACCTCTGCCACCTTTCCGCTCTGAACGCAATAGGCCTGAATTTGTGTCAACCATTCAAAGCGCCTCAGACGATCCGCCTCATTCATAGGCAAGGGCAAGAGACTCAATCGCAACGCTGACCTGTAGTTCTCTGCGCTTTTCTCGAGAAGTTTGTCTTTGGCGTAGAGATGTCCGATGCAGTTGAATGTCCACATTCTGGTTTTCAAGAGCGGTAGCCCCTGAAGCCCCTCAGTCAGTTCTATCACTTCTTTCCGCAACCTCAAAGCCTCGTCAGGTTGCTGTTGTGTAGATCGAAGGTATCCAAGCTTGTAGAGCCTTGGCACATAGGTATCTTGAACCCTATCCCAGCCTTGAGGCGAGACCACTTTGTGTCTCAGCAAAGGCGATTCCTCGCCAATGTCACGGTATATCTCGGAAGACAGCAACGTCAAATGTAAAGCAGCATCCAGCAACTGCGAAGGCGAACCCTGTAAGTTTAAGATCGCAGCGTCTGCAGTGAGGCGCAACAGCCGAGAGCTGAGATATCGGGATATATGTCCCTTGGGCATGAGGTCGAGAATTGTCGTCACGATGTGATTTGGACCAAGGGCTTTTTGAGCCATTTCCGTGAGGCGACTCATGGCTTCCGACTGAAGATCTCCGTACTGAGACCATCCCCGTCTCGAGAAGCACGCACTGAATTGTACGATGATCTGAAGAGGCTGTGCCAGGAACATTTTGTTTGCGTTTGTGCAAGCTTCGTTGAGTATGCTGAGGGCGAATTGGTTGTCGTTGGTTAGAAGCTTGTCCAATGCTTTGTTGACGACATCGAAAACATCTGCTAAGCTGTCGGAATGGCTGTAGCGTGGAACCAGATCCGGCGGCTGGCTGAAATACAACCCGTAATAAGCGTTGGCTTGGATGAGGATAAGCTCCATAGCTCTGCTCTCTGGACTTTCCTGCAACAGTTCCCTCTGGAAGGTATCATGACGCTGACACGAGCGAGCGCCAATATACTGACTAGAGCCTCGTTCAAGCCTTGCATCTTGTGATCTCCATACTGACGAAGGTATGTGTAGTGCTGGAGGCTCGGAAGAAGAATGACTCTGGTGCTCATCAGCCAAAGGATGAATTGCAGGTTTCAATCGGCGACCATGCCATTGAATCGGACGCTGGAGCCTAACGGCTTTCCGTTCACTAGGATGTCGTCTGTTTCGCCATCTTGTTGCTGGATACAGGCATGGAGCTGTAGTTTCTGTTTTGCCGTATAGTTCTTTCGAATTCCCCATTCGTCCAGACGTTTCTTGTACATATGCTGCTCTGCATCAAAGCCATGCTGGGTTCTCATATGGTTTGCAACAACCTGTAAAGTGAGGTCACGATCCCAGTATAATTCAATACTTTCAGGCTTGAATTTGTTCCACCGCTCTTTTGGGATAGATGGCTTCCTTCTAGTCGACTCATTATCCATTGCGGAGGCCATGTTGGATTGTATACCTGTAGTTCACTAAAGTAAAAAGGAGGAGAGCAACAGATTCTACGGTTGCGTGGAGTCTTTTCAGCTGGTAAATCATGAAATTGTCGTGGCAAACTGTACACTACAACTCGTTGGGCTGCTGAGTACTTATATCGCACGCGAGAGTACCTCTGGCCTCCTCATGGGACACCTAGCGGCCTCCTGGATAATCTGCACTAACATGCTTGGAATCCCAGTTCCACTTTTGAGTTGGTAGTGGAAATACTCTGGGTCTGGACTCAACACCAATCCAGTGAAAAGATCGCCGATGGGAAGTCGTTTGGATTTGTTTGCGGATGCTGGAATCCTATTTAGGCACATGCTGCAAAGGCAACCGCGTTGTCCCAAATGATAAAAGCATCGCGTTTGACCAGGGTAAGACTACTTCTGCTAGTGGCGTCAAACAATTCGCAGATTAGCCAAGAGATAAAAGCACAGCCGTTGGACAGGGCGAGAGTACTTTTACTACAGTAGTCGCGGCGACTAGCAATAGGATAAAAAGTATAGCCGTCGGTCATGCCAAGAGTACTTTTGCTAGTCGCGGTAAATAATTCACGGATATAGCCAAAAGACAAAAGCACAGCCGTAGGCCAGGCCAAGAGTACTTTTGCTAGTCGCAGCAAATCATCCTCGGGATTTGGAGATACTGTGCGCATGTCGCAGGCCAGGCGTCCATTATTAACACGAGAGATAGCGAAACTCGGCATCCAGGATCCATGGACCAACAGCTTGTCCCCCCTTGAATTGTCCTGAAACATGGATGGTTCGCGCGGCCAAGAGGACTTTTACTAGCCTCAGCCAGCGTTTCTCGTATTCATGCATGCACAAGGCAATGGCGCTGTCTACCCCCGGTTTCTCTTAGCCCCTAATGAGTCACAAGGTAATGCTTACTTGTCAACCGACTAGATTTCGTGAGCCTGAGGGCCTGTGGCCTCAAATCATTTCTACGTGACAGCCGGATGGTGATGGGAGGCGAAACCACACTGATAGAGCAAGGTGGATAGGACTGCGAGTTTCGTGTTGCTGCACGTCTTCACTTGAGACGCGGCCGAAAGTAAGGGTTGGGGACTGTTGATACTGCTTCCGACACCTGCTGCCCGATCATGTCGGTCTGAACCGGGATTGTCTGGCCACGGTTTCTTGTTGGTCGGTATGGGCTCTCCATGGCAGCCTCCGCATGCAACCCGATCCAACTCCGAAGCATCTGTGCCATATTTCTGTGCATTACGGAAATAGAGAGCTCACCTCTGCTCCAGCCTCATCAACTATATATATCTGCTCCGACACCCACCCAGGTCTTCGTCCATGACCGCCATCCAAATCATCCCCTTCGATCAACTCAAGAGGTCAGAATATATTTTCCTTATCACCTTATTGCCAAGCGCCAGACAGCCATGGAGTCCAGTTCCAGCAGCGTACCAGGCCTTGCGCCAGCAAACTCTGTTGCGGAGCGAACACAGAAGCTGCTCAAGGAGATGGAAACTCGATACAAGTGAGGACTCTGATCTGCCAGTGCTGTGCAAACCCGTTCCTGATGCTTTGAGAAGAGATACTGGGTCGCGTGCGAACGTGGTTATCATTCTGGGGCGAAGCGGTAGTGGAAAGTCTTCTGCTTCAGAGGATCTCTCTGGCTCAGATGGTCACTCGCAACAGTCGATCGACTCTAGTATGTATATCCTTTAAGGTATAGCACTTATATTGCTAATTCTTCTCTCAGTCACTCAAAGGGTTCAGATTGTCAAGGCGGTAATTGATAAGAAGGACTTCTTCGTCATGGACACGCCGGGCTTTGATCCTGGGAGCGAGCAGAAGGTCTTCCTCGAGATCGTTCGTGGTATCCGTACTATCGGCCCGTTCGCCCAGATTATCGGCCTGCTGTACCTGACATGCATCAACCAACCGCGCTTTGATCAATTCGACCGAAAGTTGGTCCGCTTCATCCGTGCCTTTTGCGGAGACGAGTATCTTCCTCGCATTACTTTTGTTACCACTTTCTGGACCGCAGCAGGCCCAAGGCAGCAAACTACGTTCAACCAACAGCTGGAGTTTCTTCGCCGCAATTGGCAGAAAGCATTCGATGGTCAAGAACCAATCTTGTACCAACATGGACGAGAGTACAATCTTGATGGGCAGGATACAGGACGCTTTGTCGACTGGTTTGAGAACCGCGTCCAAATCGCCCAGTACGGCAAAGAGATGATCGTTCGCCGCTATGGGGAAAGAGGCACTCCAGAAACTTGCACCGCCTCTCCAAGAATTGTTCATGAGCTGAACGCCAATACTCCCATCCATGATACGCAGGCTGGAAGGCTGCTCGGAATGCCTTCGGCCTCGGCGTCATCGTCCGTCCCGAGTCCAGGTTCTGAAGAAGAGTCAACAAGACGGACTTCCTCAGCTTCCCACAGCTCGGATCGGCCATCTACTGACGAAGGACGACGACCGTCGGGACCTCAACTCAGTACAGGTAGCGATCCTCGAACGGAATCACAGCAGCACCAAGGCTCTTCAGTGGACTGGTCCCAAGTAGCTGCAGACGTGATTGGGTGGATTTCACGCAATGTGGAATTTAATGTCCATTCGGGTGGCGGTCGAAGGCATGAACATCCCTTGAACGGTGCAACGGCATACAACGGCCCGCTAGGTTAGTTGATACATGCATTGAACGCAGCGTTTGATTGTCTAACGTCTTGCTAGATATGAATTCTCCTGTTGACTTCTTGAAGATGATGGGTGAGGATTCGAGTTGGGAGGCCAGGTGGGACTATGGTGTCAAACATGGTATCAAAGGCGTCCCTGGGTCCTTAGAATGGGGCGAGGCAATGCTCGAGCACCTCCGGCGGAATTACGGGTAATGGCTAACGGGTCTAACTGCCAGGTGTGAGGGGGATGCGACAATCACTCAGACGATTTGAACAAGGAAGACACATCTGGCCATGTCCACCACGTAGCATCTTATGCGGGCTTGCTTTTATCAGAGCGACGGGGAAGGCAGGGACGCTTGATTTTGCAGGTGGTGACCAATTCTTCCAGCGTTTTTTTAGACAATCTATTTTTCTCAGACCCCAAAACTAGTCCTCTACCCCATAAACATTACATCAACACTCCTGCTATTAAGGGAGCAGAATACAGTGAGTGCTGTGGAGGATCTGGAAACCCCGGAATCGGAGCTGCTGCTGTGGGATGAAAGTCGCAGGGGCTGCAGAACCGATATGGCAACCGATAGAAGCAAATGCTAGAATGATGACGCGCATGGCTGCTGCTAGAAAAGAAGAAAGAAACAACAAGACAAGCGGAACATGACATTTCGAGGTTAGAAAGGAATGATTAGCAGGAGACAAAGCCGGAACCTTGCCTTTAAATCTCACACAAACATCCTCGTGATACTGCGTCCGACATGCGGTAGCAGAGCCAGTTGTACGAGCGAGCGATCCAGCCGTCACCGAGCTCACTAGGCCCTCAAGGCAGCTCCCAGCGAAGCTCGCCCTTAAAAAAGCCTTCGCATCGCGATTGCCGGCTCCATTTCTTGCAAGGTAGTCTATGCCAATCTTGTTGTGGATGGGAAGCTAATGACCCCATCTCGAAGAAGAGGACACACCTCCCCCGAGAACCTGGATGGTCCATGTATTCATTGCGACCCAACCTGGATCTAGAGCGTTATGCGTTGTAAATTTGGGAAAAGTCCAACGAGGAAGAAGCAAAGAGACTTGCTTGATCCGCCGCTATGAGTTCTATCGTGCCAAGAAGGAAGGCATTCCCAGCCACCAGATCTCTATTAATCTATCTGGAGAAGAATTTGTCGAACTGTGGTCTTCATTAGAGGTCTCCTGGCAACGTTGATTTGTACTTTCAATGAGAACAGTCCACAGCTTCAGAATACCATGTCGTAAAAGTTCTCCAGCTCCTGGTGTATGCACACGGTTCGTAGACACCTGGGGCTTCTGGTAGATGTGACATGTAGGACCTGACTTCAGGCCGCTACCATGTGAAGATGTAGAAAGATGGACGGAAGACTTTGATAGCCAAGATTGCCGTCGTACTGAGCCGATGAGGCATGAGATGCTGCGCGATGCTGGAGGATAGAGATCTGGTTGCCAGTGAGAGTCGTTCTGATGCTGGTTATGTTGTCATCAACTATCCGGCAAGCTCAGCTGGAGAAGAGTGCCCGTGCGCAATGACGCGAGTTTATCTTTCCGCCTAAGTCTGGATCTCATGCAAGTGCTCGGCATCCAGAGCTCCGTTGAATGTCGCCTTGAGCCCATGATCGACGGCATATCATGTGCTCGGTATTGTTGCTGTGCCCCATGCTCAAGTCGCATTGGCATGTAATGAATCTCTACGATCAGCTCGGACGTCGTAGTGGGTGCGCCTCCGTGTTAAAAACATATTCGTCTAGACTAATCAAGTTCGGTTCGCTGAAGATCAGATAGAAATATTTTAGCGTCTCGGCTAGCCAGAAGCTCTCCATTCGATTATCCTTGGGAGGCAAGCCGTCAATACCAGTGGCAGTAACATCAGAGACCGCAGCATTGGCGAATTCAGTCGTAGTGATGTTCTGAATCGACTGAAACATTTGCCACGCCTTCTCCTGGTACGTTCTGTCACCAGTAATGCGATACATGATAAAGACGCTTTCAATCGCTTCAGGTCGGAGAATGTAGCGACGATCATCGATGTCGGTAAAGCCTGGAGGAAGCCGCTTCTGAACGATGATGTCCTCGATGTTGCTATTTACTGATGTGGAGCCGGCACGCTCGAGGACAGCAGCGTCATACCTCGCGGGATCCCAGGCACAGTAAGCCCTCGAAGGGCACGGCAAGAAGTGTACGATTTCAGGCATGACGCCCCTGGGCATGTTTTCGTAAGCCCATATACACCCGTCCGTGAGTTTTCTACCGATCTCGACATGCTCGGAATTGGAGAAGAGGCGGCCACCCAAGGCAAACATACCGCCTGCAAAGCAGGTCAGATGTTGGCCTCTTGGCTCTTGCACAATGCCGTTGTCATCTACTCGAGCGTCGCCGCCGAATAGGATATCTGCACCTGTTGGAGTTGTTGGCCGGAACAACAGGTGCTCGATCGAGGCAGCCATAGACTGCTCATACAGCTTCTGGTACGTAGGTACCAGGCCTCCGAGAAGAGCGTATTCCTTGGCAAAGTACTCGTACAACGAGTCGGACATACCGCCCAGAGTAAAGCCCCCATCAAAGGTCATATCTTGCTTTTGTGGATTGACAACGACAGGCCAGAGCCCCGGAATCTTTGTCTTGGCTTGCTGCTGATCAAAGACTGTTGTGATTCTATCGATGGCATCGTACCATCTCTGGTCGCCGGTGAGTTGGCTAAGACGGGTAAACTCCACTGACAGTGAACCAAGTTCGGAGACGAGCATAAAATCAGGCGGGACTTGTTTCTCGACGCCAGCGGCAGCCTTCTTCCAGTCCCACCGGGTGATCGGCATGTGATTAGGAGTATCGAAGGCAACAAGCAGCATCTCCCCGACTTCAACGGCTTTGGTCAACAATTGTGTCTCGCCACTAAGGTCATAAGCAGCCAAAAAGCCCCCGAGATAGCGGATCGTGGTCTCGAAGATGTTGATCGTCTCGTCTGTAGAAGTCGAGAAGTCGATATCGACGGCAGCTACAGCAGCTTCGTTGAAATCATCCTTTAATTCCATGATCCAGAGAGTATCAAGGGCGTCCACTAGAGACGCAGCCCAACCACCAAACGTGTCACGGCCACCGCCAGATATTGGCGACAATTCGTCGCGCATCCAAGCCTTCTCATGATATGAAGTCCAACACCTTTTGAACGCCTCTTTGACCTGTTGCTGTCGGCTCAACCGCACCTCCGCATCCTGCACAGACTCAGGCGTAAATTGATGCTGCACCAACGGTAGCAGCTTTGGCTTCCCCGTAGGGACAGGATTTAGGCGTTGAAGCGGGTAATGCGTTTGTCGGGTTTTCCAGAACGAGGTGGGTGCTGATACACTGGGCTTCTCGTTAGGGGACGTGGTTTGTTGCGGACTTGCACTCGTAGGGCTTGACTGCGGTAGCAGCGCTGTAGCGCGGTCATGTAGTTGATATAACAGGAGCAATGCTGTGCCTGCAAGGGCGACAACAATCAGAACTCGACGTGGGGGAAGGAGAATCATATTCAAGAGTCAGTGCCTGTCGAACAAATGGACAACTGCAAATGCGTTGCCAGGATATGTTAACCATGGGCAGAGTGGCGGCCGTGAAAGATAAAGATAGTTCTGGGTTGAGCATCAGGCTGAAAATTGGCAGTCTTGACGTGGTGACGCTTTGGAATGATTTCGAATAAAGTTACCCAGAAGGCTGCTGCACGAGAAATTAAACCCTTTGTTAGAGCAGGCGCCAAACAAGGTTTGACGATCGCAAAACAAAGTTTGATAGGTGCGATATGCACCACGCTTGTAAAAACGGCTTGGTGAGTCCAATTTTGTCAACCTGTGTTCGGGGACTTGTTTCAGTATCCTTGTCGCTGCGTGGTAGTGGATCGTGCAGCGACGACGCGCTGTGTGACCTTTCCAAAGGGCTCGAACAGTTTGGTGGCAGGGAGCCCTTGATGCTCAACGCCACTACTTCCCTACCTGCGCGCGTCGCTGAGCCCATCATCGAAGCGACCCAGACATTGTCCGACCGCAAGATGGGCGCAATGGTGGTCATGACCGACGCCAGCAAGGCGCTTATGTTGACGCTAGACTGGGAAAGAAGTCCTTGAATACGGCTTTGCATCCCTCGTTCCACCAGGCTGACCTTTATCACCTCGTCATGCAAATTGCTTGATACAGCTGTGTTCGCAATGAGAACGGGGTTTCCTACAATCGCTGCGGCGACGCTACTTCTCAAGGGTCTGACAAAAGCACAAACTGTCTAGAATTCATGGATCACGCTCTCGCCGCCTGATTTTACCTCCAACCTTACAATCGGTGATTTCTACCTGCTCAGCTGGGAGTCTGATTTGACGAACGACTTTGCTCTGTATGCCCCCAGTGCGGATGCCAATAGCGTGGACCTCTGGATCACGGACTACAATCTTCATATTTACTCTCATCTCATCGCTGGTAAGTCATCGAAGCTATGAATGCCCACGCTTGCTAAGTATGCCTCTTTTTTCTCAGCCCGACAGAACCTCAACGTTATCACGTCCCTCTCTTGGAGGGTAGAAGTCCCTTCAGATGAACTCCTAGACACGAATCAATGGGTCTTTAGGTGGTTACCACAGGGTGTCAACTATTCCGAAACCTCTGAGCAAGTTTCTAGTCCAGGCTTCTTACTGCAGAACCTCACCGAAGCTGCTACTGCGACGACCAGCAGCTCTAACAGCACTGCCACTCCCACTGTCATCACTTCCTCTGGATCTTCTACATCGGTCACTGAAACCCACACATCCTCCGGAACATCGGGGGTTACGACCTCACGTGTCGGGGCAGGCGGCGCGAATAGCGCCACAACCACACCTGATAGCTCTACAGTATCCCACGGCCTGTCTACGGGCGCGAAAGCTGGCATCGCCATCGGTGCCATCATTGGTGCGGCATTCCTGCTCGGAGTCGGGTGGGTTTTGGCACGCAAAATAAGGAATAAGAACGGTGACGGCACTGGGCAGGCGCTGCCGACTGGATCGATAGACCACCAGGAGATGAAATCGGGTGCCTATATGCAGCGGCAATATGTGCCGACTACCAAGTCGCAACCTCCCGTCTCTGAGCTCGACTCGAGTCTTCCGAGGCCAGTTCCTGCGCATGAGCTCCCGGCACATTGAGCGCGACAATCGGCCATGGCAAGTCTAAGGCGAAGGAATGTGAGCCTTTAAGGAGTTGGAAATAAGTATGAATCTTTTACACAAGTTATCAACATCGTACTGGTCAATCTTAGTGATATGCTTTTTCCGCTCTTTGGCAGCATTGGATGGTAGGCATCTGTATTCCATGAGTAAGGTGAATCGAAACCAGGCCTCACATTCACAATGTCTCCCCATGCCGTCAGCAACCCAGTGCTTGATGTGATTATCGTGGGAGCCGGCATTGCTGGTCTCGCCGCTGCACACGCGATTCACGGCGCCGGTCACCACGTCACCATTGTCGAAGGCGCATCCGTTCTCCGAGAAATTGGCGCCGGAGTCTTGATCTCCAGCAATGCGACCCGCGAACTCATCCGCTGGGACCTCGAAGACGATCTGAAAGATGTCATTGTCCAGAGCAGGGTGTCAAGGGTGTTGAGATGGGACGATGGGAAGGTGCTGAGCGAGGTCAAGATGGACCCCAGTTTTGCGCTCAAGAAGTACGATGCACCTGTGTGGATGCTTCATCGGGCAGATCTTCATACGGTAATGCTGAAGAAGGTGCAGAGCTTGGGGATCGAGATCAGGCTGGGTTCGAGAGTGGTCGATGCCGACGTGGCCAAGGCGAGCGTGAGTCTGGCCTCCGGAGCCGTCTTGGACTGCGACTTCATCGTCGGAGCTGATGGCGTCCGGAGCAAGATGCGGGACATCATCTCGCAGACGCCGGTTCCCGCGATGCCTACTGGAGACTATGCCTTCCAGTTTGCCCTGGACATTGAACAGCACAAGGACGATCTGGTGATTGCGCCGTTGGTGGAAGGCCATACGGCAACTGCTTGGTGGGGACCAGGCAGGCATGTCATCGGCACCCTGCTGTAAGTGCGTCGAGAGCGATATCTACAAGAAGCGTTGACTGATCCGGCATGGCAGCCGCGGCGAGAAGCTCTTCAATTGCGTCGCAGTCTTCCCTGACGACGGCTCTCTCGGTGACGAGCACAAGCAACTAGGAGCAGACGTGGACGAACTTCGCCGGAACTTCAGCGACTGGTGTCCAGCGTCTGTCAAGTCTTCTCTTTTCCCTGATCCCCTCTTCATTGGCCTCTTCTCACGTTCGAAAACCCAACACTGACTGACCTACCCTGCAAGTGTCCGCACTATCCTCTTCCACGCAGACCCCGGCTCCATTGTCAAATGGAAGCTTCAAGACCTCGATCCGCTCGAGTCCTGGCACCGCGGGCACGCCGTCCTCATCGGTGACGCATGCCACCCCATGCTCCCCTAACTCGCGCAGGGCGCATCTCAGGCGATCGAGGACGGCGCCGTCCTGGCCCAATGCCTCGCCCACCTGCCCCTCGACCGCGTCGGTCCCGCGTTCCAGGACCTGCGATTTTCCCGCGCCACGCAGATCCAGCAGAATGCGCGCAGACAGAAGATCGAGAACCATTATCCGGACGGGCCGGAGCAGCAGGCGCGGGACGAGAGGCTCAAGGACCCGACGCAGGTGCGAGCGTGGCGGTGGGAGCCGGTGGCGGGCAAGCCGACCAAGAGTTGGAGCGACGGGCTGTTTGGGTATGATTCAAGGGCTGAATGCGACGAGTATTTCAGAGAGCATGATGCCAGACGGCTATTTGTAAAGCAGGCTGTATAGTCACGATACCTTGAAATGAACTGAGCAAATATTTATTGTCTTGCACATTCGCCTACAGCTGAAATCTGTATATACACGCGGGAGGGTCGTACTCCAACATTGTCCTACGCATCACTCTCGGGAAGAATCGCCTGTGCAGACACATGCACGGAAGTCCCGTTAACCCCTTCGGTCCCATTCCGCTCAGCTACGGTGACTCTGCCCAGAATCTTTTCTATCCGCTCGTCATCAAGGTACGCCTCGTCTTCGGCTTTCCTCTCCGCCTTCTGCTTCTTGACCCGTTGCAGAAGGGCCCGCACCTTGGGATCGGTGGAGAACTGATCTGGCACGGAGTCCCAGACTGTTGGCGGGGTGGCGTCCGTGGTGCTGTGCGCGCGGCTCCATTCGGTGAAGAGGAGGGACCGGGACGACTCGATCATGAACGTCATCATGCCTGTATGTATAGCTTGTTGGTCTACAAGCGTGGAGGAAGGAAAGAGAAGGTAGAAATGAAAACGGAGGTCGTCGCACAACTAGGTACAACTTCACTTACCCTGGAACAGGACCCTCGGCTCATTCCTCTTCTTCCTCCGCTCAGCGACATAGATGTCGCCGAAGCCGCCGTGTGCCGTGTGACCGGCCTCATAGACGCCTCCGCCCGGTCTGAAGTTGGCGCTCCGCCCGCCCGACGCGCCGTAGATGTTCGCAATGAACTCGCTCGCGCTGTTGCGATGGAAATACGGCAGGCGGAAGCTATTCATGGCGACATCCCAGCGCGGCCCGAACCAGATGAAGTCGACGAGCGGCACGTTGGGATCGCGCGAACGGGCGGTCAGAAGCGTCCAGATCGAGGGATCCGTATGGTCGACGGATGTGCTGCCTTGTGCGACGAACTTGGTCATATCGTACTGCAAAGCGGGAACGCACGCTCAGTATATCTTGGGTGACAGAAGTCTGGGTGGTGAGGGGCGAGGGCAAGGCTGACGGAAATCGATGTGTCATTACATACCTTGTAAGGCAAGCAATTGCCGTGCCACGCCGCAACGTCGAATGGACTGTGGTCCTGCATCAAGACATGGTACTCCCCGTTGATCTTCTCGACGACATGCCGCTGCTGATGTAGCTCCTCCGAATCGTCCATGTACGCGACAGGATACGCAAAGTCCCGCGCGTTAGCATTTCCATGTCCTCCAATCGGGCCCAGGTCCGGCAGCTCGAATCGGGATCCCCAGACCTCCAGGACGTAGCCTCGGGCCTCTCTCGTGCCATCCGCAGGGTTCAGGCGGAATTTGATGCCGCGAGGGACTACGCAGATCTCGCCAGGCTGGAGGTAGAGTTTGCCCATCTCGGTCTGGATGTCCAGGTTTCCCAGCTGGGCGACGATCAAGAACTCTCCATCTCCGTTCAAAAAAGCCCTCCGCGTCATCCGGGCGTTGATCATAAACACATGCAAGGCGAGCCCATCCCGAATGTTGGCATCCCCGGATCCACCCAGAGAGTGCAGGCCGTCCACAAAATCAGTCTCCTCGCCTTCCCGGGGAAGGTCAAAAGGCGCCCACTCGACCTGTGCTGGAATCATCTTGACCTTTGGATTGATGGCCAGGAAGCAGCTTTCCAGATGCGCTCTAGAATCGAGCACACCACCCTGGAAGCCGTGGTTCGCGACCGAGGGCCGGCAGCGGTACATGTAAGTGCTCGCATTGGCGGCTCTGCTTGCGGCGAAGGCGGAAGATGTGAGGCCTTCAGTGTACAAGTTAAACCGCGGGACCTGGGGGTGATTCTGCGCGACGGGCAATGTGCCTGGGATGATTTCACTTTGGAAGCGATTACCGAAGCCCCATAGGTAATCGTAGGGGTCCTCGACGCGCGTGGGCCTGCAGGTGTCGAGGTCGGTGTAGTGGAAGACTTTCTGGATGTCGATGGGCTCTTGTGCCTTCTTGGGGGTTGGTAGTGGCTCTTCAACGGATGCTGGCATCTTGTCGACGCTGTCGAATCCTCACGGAGGCCGTGCTATTCTCTCTCTCTCTCTCTCTCTCTCACACACACACATGGCAACATGACAGTACATAAGCCTCCTGGCCTGCATCCATCCCAGCCTGGGTGAGACAGTCACTTTCCTATTATTGGCACGGGGCAAGACTATGCCGATGGTAGTCCCTGTTAGAGACCTTCCAGGGCTAGTCGGCACAACATTGTATCTTGGGTATCATACCCCCGCATTCCTCGCCCCGCTGACCCACTCACCCCACCATGTGTCCCTTTCTTCGCCAGCCTCGCCATGTGGATGGCCGGCCTTTCGGGCGTTCGGCCGGAAAATGGGCATCCCATGGAGTGTCTTTTCTCATGACCATGTCTCGCAATGATGGAATGGGCTCAACAGACACTACGACTTACAACCAAAAGCGCTGCTTTATGTCAAGCGGTGTGGTTGGCAACAAACAATAGCTGAAGCGATCTCGACTGAACATGGAAGAGCAGCAACCATGCACATCAAGCGCAAAATCGCAGGTCTCTGCCCGGTCAGCACGGACAAGACATATTCGTCGGTAACGTAGTACAGTTCCGGCAAATACCTTACGGTGCTGTCACGCAGCGGTTCCAAAGATCCAAGCTCCTGGATGAGTGGTGCACGAAGTCTCTCGACGGCAGCCACTTCGGGTACGTAGGCGGTTCTGCTACGTCTGATACATCCTCAGTTCTCTCATTTCTCCCGTCCTATCACACGTCTCGGGCGCCTCCAGTGCCTATACGGATGCAATAGCCCAGTGTCGCCCACACCCGCCCTGGCGGCCTCTGTCAACCTCGTTGGCATCACCCTCCCAGCCGAAAACCCCATTCCTCCCACCGATAAATTCCTGTGTCTCAACCTTAACATCACAACACCTACACACAGTGCCCCTACCACGAAATTCCCCGTTCTCCATCCATGGCGGCGCAGCATGGGCGCCGGGTCTGCAGCCTAGCGTAACGGCCCTCCCCTCGTCCACATGTCCCTGGATATGGAGCAGCCGATTGTGGTGGTCACCATCAACTTCAGACTGGGGGCTTTTGGATTTTTGGCGTCGGCTGATCTTGAGCTGGATAACCGGAGATCAGGCGATGCTGGCGTGGGAAACTATGGGATCCACGACCAGATTCTGGCGTTGCAGTGGGTGAGGAGGTATATTGGCGCATTTGGTGGTGATCCGGAGCTGGTGACGGTGGTGGGTCAGAGTGCGGGTGGCAGTGAGTTCTTCAATCTATTTCTTGCTTTCCGCAGTCCTTGTTCCGATCTTACGCTCTAGGAGGAAGCGAAGTCCTGACGGGGAGAGCAGGCGTTACTCAGATACAGATCTATCGCGCTGGGCGGCGCATCAGGAACTCTTCAACCAGGCAGTGATCATGTTGGGCAATACCTTCCTCACGTCTCGTAGTCTCGAACTTCAAGAAGGCATATACCAGACGATCCTTGCACACCTGCGGACTCCCTCTGATATGCCAACATTGGACAGAATCCGACGCTTGCGGGACGTACCGGCAAATGAGCTGTTGGACGCGTACATAGCCACTGGATCTCCCCTACCGAATTGGCAAGCCACAGTCGATGGTTTCTTGCTGGATGAACTTCCCCGGCCTTCGAGGATTGGGAACCAGCAGTACGATGCGTATGTACGCAGAATCATCATCGGTGACTGTGAGAAAGCGGTAAGCTCTCGCTCCTAGTTCGCTTTTTCATTACCTTTGCTTGTCACGTCTGACCTCTGCGACAGGACATCATCTGGGGCCCGCGGAAATCGCAAAACTCGGCTGGACACCAGGCAAGATCCGCCACTTACTCTCTTCCTACTTCCCTGCCGAACTCGTCACGCATATGACTCTGTTCTACGATCTCTCGGACTTCCCCAACGAGTAAGCACTGTCCAGGCTGGAACCTTTCTGCACCGACGCAGAGTTCCGGCGCGACATCCACGAGATTGCAAACTCTTTCAGTGGTCGAAAAGCGTTCCACTATCACATGCGTTATGGAAATCCATTTCCGGGTCCGTTCCAGAACCTAACACACCACGCCGTCGACTTGCTCTTCCTATTCCAGACTTACAATCGCCTCTTGCCGGACAAGCTTGCAAAGGCAGCAGAGCAGATGGGACGGCACTGGAAAAGCTTCATCAACGGCGGGGATCCATGGCCCGCCTACAGGGAGGGAGAGAGTGCGATGTGCTACGGACTGGAGGAAGTGGCAATGTTGAGTCGGAAGGAGGATGACATGGGCAGATATGAGCGGCGGGAAAGATTAGGTGGCAGGGATGACTGGTCCAGGTGCAGTATGGCCATTCGCGGGGTTGCTCCGGCGGTATACACAGAAAGTGGGAAGGACTTTCGCCCTTGCTAGCCCAATTCCAGGCCTCCATCTGCATGATGTTGCGATCCATTGTGAGTCGATTGGAGGAGATGATAGATTTGATAGACTTTCAGAGAGGGTCGAGAGGTGTGGACAGACGCCAAAGACACAGACTATGTTCGGACCGGAGAAACGATGTTGCGGCCCGAGGCACCGAAGGCGGCTCCGGGGTTTGTCCCTCTCTCGCCCAGATCGGCTCCATGGCATCAACTGTGCTATATCGAAACTTTGAAGGTGCGAACATGCAAGGCTGTGGAGCTGCTTGCCCTTCAGAACGCTGATAAAAGCCAATGTCGTTCTCAATGATGAGGTGATCGATCGGCTAAAAGGTCGTCCGTCCGTGCTGTAACGGCCTTAAGAGGCAGCTTGACAGGTCACTAATTGCCTCGGTCCCCGGCTGTGTCGAGTCCCCCACAACTCTCTCTCCGTCTCCTGCGCCCGTCGTGTTTCGTGATCGCAACCACCTCGGGACAATTACCATTTGATATCTGAGGGTCGGCATGGTGTTCTGACTTATATTCGCTCTCTTGTCCCCTCTTGCGCTGTCCTTTCCTGTTCGGCCGTTGTACTGTACACAAGTTTGACTAGATCGTCGATTCCTCCATTCCCGCTGACTGCTTTCACGTACCACTTGACAACAATAGACACAATGGTTTTCAACACCGAACTTACACGCCGACTCGGCATCAAGGGTACATTTGGAATCGCCTATCTCTGCCAGAAGCCTTGCTAACAGCCGAGCAGTTCCTGTCGTCCAGGGTGGGATGCAATGGGTGGGATATGCCGAGTTAGCATCTGCTGTATCGAACGCGGGTGGTCTTGGAATTGTGCGTCTGTCTAGGACGGCTCGGCCAGGTTCAATAGCGCTGACCGGTTTCTAGCTCACAGCTCTCACTCAACCTACCCCTGAAGACCTGCGCAAGGAGATCCGAAGATGCAGGACCATGACCAAGAACCCCTTCGCCGTCAATATCACCCTCTTGCCCACGATGAACGCCCCACCCTACGGCGAATACGCTCAAGTCTGCATCGACGAGGGAATCAAGGTGGTAGAAACAGCAGGCAACTCGCCGGGTCCGGTCATCAAGCTGTTGAAAGGCGCTGGCATCATTATTCTACACAAATGTACCACCATCAGACACGCTCAGTCGGCGGTGAAACTGGGTGTGGATTTCCTGTCAATTGACGGCTTCGAGTGCGCTGGTCATGTGGGTGAATCAGATATCACGAATTTCATCCTGCTGTCAAGAGCGAGACAGTCACTGGGAGCACCGTTCATTGCCTCGGGCGGCTTTGCGGATGGCCAGGGACTGGCTGCCGCCCTGGCACTCGGTGCCGAAGGAATCAACATGGGCACCCGATTTATGTGCACTATCGAAGCACCAATCCATATCAACATCAAGCAAGCAATTGTGGAAGCCTCAGAGCATGATACCGAGCTTGTTTTGAGAAGATGGAGGAACACTTCCCGTCTATTCAAGAACAAGGTTGCACAGGAGGCTGTCGCGATCGAAAAGAACAGCACAACGGGCAAATTTGAAGAGGTGGCGCCATACGTATCTGGGAAGCGTGGGCGAGAGGTCTTCATCAACGGAGACAAGGACTTTGGCGTCTGGACTGCCGGACAAGTTATTGGCTTGATTCACGACATTCCCTCTTGCCAGCAGCTTCTCTCGAGAATCGAGAGCGAAGCCATTGAAGCCATTGAAAGGAGTCGGAAATTGTATCAACCCCAGAGCAGGCTATGAGGAGCGCTCGCATAAACCTCTCGGGTTTAGGCGTTTCGGGGGCAGATTTGAAGACGAAGACTTAGTCAGATATTGGGATTGTCCGAACACACTCCCAACAAAGATTTCAATGTCGCATCTAGTCGACTCACCTCAAAACATGTAATTAACGATGTGAGATGATCTGGATGATCATCTCGGGCGCCGAACGAACTGTCTATCCTGCCAAAGGTGAGCAAAGCCTGCTCGCACCTCACCCTGCCGTCCCATGCTCACTCCCGGCTCGCCCGAGCGAATGCTCTCCCACCAGAGAGTGAAGAGGTCAGCACATAATACGGAGTAATTATACCTCGTATGTATGGTGAAAGAACCAACCTCGCCGCTTTCGCCAGCTGCGACCATCCTCGGATTCCAAACCCCTTCACTCTCGCAGTTTTGTTTCGCAGCGTGCGTTTCAAGTCAACACCTCCAACAGTAACTTTACCCAAGAAGTTCTTTCATACGTATGGCAAGAGTTGTTTCCTTTTGGTAGCACGAACGACACCCCGAGGCGAGCAGGAAGTGACTTTGGGACGGTGGACGTGTTCTCTGAGCAGCACTGGCTTGAAATGGCTTTGAAACATGGGTGTCTGTTATATTTAGAGAGAGAGAGAGAGTTGTGTGCTACACTAAGAGGCTCTGAAATCGCCTTTTTGAAAGACTGCATATACGGGCGCGAAGTTCGCCGACCAGTGCTTGAGAACCAGGGCCTACTGAATACTGGGATCTCCTTCCTCACCCTGTTCTCTGCTTGTTCCCTAAGTCCCAAGCAGCAACATCACCTCGCCATACTACTACTGCTGCTGGCATTATCTTCTGCGCACGCCTGCACCAGAAGAATGAGAGGTCCACGGTAATTCACGCCAGGGGCAGAATGACTGGAAGCTACCTATAAAGCGCTATTACAGAGAACGTTCTGCCTCCAATCGGATCTCCGTTTTGGCATTTCACCACATAAGTAGAGAAGAAAGTCTGCATCGGCGATCAGTGGAACTCTCTCTCCTTTAGAAGATCTCTTCGCTCCCACTCACCGAGACAAATGTTGCGGGAAGGTAGACTGGGGTAATGACGCTGATCCTACGCATCACAACCGCTTCTCTCTGAGCCTGAGTGCTGACATCTTGCATATTAAGCGTAAGATTCTCCATCTTTTCTGTCGCCCTGGACAAAAGCTGTTACGGGATCTGGGATGAGCAGTCAGAGAGTCTGCCGCCATATGCTCACCTGACCCTTTCGATCTCCCGTGATTTGAGCTAGAAGCTTTGCCAGGAAGCATGGCATATTCAATTCATATATCGCATCGTTGACCCTTCGGACGAAATCCTCGACAGGGTCGACGACAGCATACGTCAGAGCAATCTGTTTCTAGGCCAGGTTTTCTTAGTGGGCTCTGATTTTGGTCAACACCGAAATATTCGCCTCAATGACCATCACCGCTTCGTTGATTTTCTCTTTGAAGTACTGTATTCCACGATGCATATCGATGAGATGTTCTGGCGGGAGGTTGTTGAGAGACGATCATCGCCGGTATGGTCTAGTGTGGGCGTTGAGTTGCAGGAGTTCTCAGTAGACCAGGATGACACTCATCTGATCCTACACCATTCTTCCAACCATTGGATGTACCATCTCCACGCGTCGGCTGCCCAGTCGAGTAGCAGTGTATGAACTGACAAACTAGATTTGAAACACTCTTCAGGAGTGTCGAAAGACCTATCCTCTCTCCGGCCCCGGGGTCCTCTGAGTTGTTCCACATTCTGTTTGAATCCCGCTTCGACCGCTATCATGAGCCGTAACGCCTTGCCATCTTTTTTACGTCGATTTGATGGTCGACAGCGTCTTGTTGGATAGTCCAGACTCTTGGGGGGATTTTAACACTGGGATTTTCACAGAACACCCTCTTCCGATTAAAGCATATCTCAAAGCCAAAACCACTTTCTCCCCAAACCTGAAATCGCCGTACTGGGCCGGGGACCGGCGAGGCTGGTATAACTGCGAAAACCCGTGTATCGCAAATCCCGTGCGCTAGTCTGTCTTCCGAAGAGATACAAAAAGATAGTCTGGTGCGACTTGATGGTAAATGAAGACGTAGCACATCCCTCACATAAATCGACAATGTGGACCTTTCTTCGTCGCAATGTCGACGGTCACACTTGAAGTTAGCGGGTCTAGGGGTTTTGTGTCTCCCAGCCACTCTCTCAACTTATCGTCGCTGAGAACATTCTGTCGTTTGAGCTCTGCCCTCGAGTCAGCAGAAGCTCGCCCAACCGCAATGTTTGAGGGATAGTCCGAACCTTGACGTGTTGTCGGTCAGATCTCGAAACGGAATGTTGATGGCAGCAGCGTCCTATTCAACCCAGTCTTGAGCGTGAGCATCCAAGAGATCCTTGTAGGATTACAGGAGAGACTTGCAGGTAACACTGTTGCGGAGGTTGGAGGGATACTCGGCAAGTTCGTCGTACGAATCTATGAACTGCGTTGTCAAATGCCTCGTGCCAGCTACCCCTTCCCAACGCATCCCAACATGAACGTCTTCCTAACACATAATGAACCAAGGCAACACGGAAGAGTCTTGTGATTGCGGTCAGGCTGAGGGACGCTAACCAGTCCATCCTCGTCAGAGTGCTGGCGCTGCAAAGCGAGTCCAAGGAGTGGTCATGTGCCAGGCGACTCAGCCACTGCGAAATGGGCGACACTCATCCAGCACTGCATAACAACACCCAGCACGACTCGGGCTTTAAACGGTGGTGAGGGAATCTATCTTACGCCTTCGGTAAATTCACAGCCTGGAAAGTTTTTGTTCAGCTACTCTCTGGGCGTCTCCCATGGCAGGCGATAAGCAGGAAACTCTTTGGCACATAGTTGTCACTCCTGCGCTGGATCGGTTTTGCAACGACGACTGCTAGACTGCGAGAAAAAGCTCGTAACACTTCGAGCTGATCTCGCCGCACTTGTGCGTTTGGGTAGTTCGGTAGGTCGGATGCTATCCATATTGAGGGAAGAACGCCTGATGAAAATGATGAGTAAAAGGATTCAACGCATGGAAGCGGCGCATAGGAGGCGACGCGAATTATGACAAGGAAGACGAGCCGGCAGATGAGGCCAAGGTCTTGTCAAGAATCATTCAACCAGATACTGACGAGACCTGTGTCACCAAACGAGTGTTGGGCGAAGTTTCGTGTTTTTCAGCCAGAGGCTGAAGGGGCCCAAGGGGCCTCACTAGCCTAGGCTTTGGCCTAGTGGCTGCACAGATGACTGGTGTGCGGGGCTCCAGAGCACTGCCGACTTGCGAGGTATTGGTGCTGGCACACGGCTGTAGGTAGAGTCAACCACAGGATTTAATCTCCTGGGTCGGGGAACTGAGTAAACAATGTGACTTGGGATGGACTCGCAAGGCTACGTCGCCCTTCTCTGGGGAAGTTCGAGGTGCGCTAACAGGAGTAAATGCTATCAACGTCTCAGGTTGATGACCTCCGATGTTTAACAGCTCCAAGACCGGGGTGGTGAGCTCAAAGCAGGGTTTACTCTGCTTCGGTACTTGGTAAATCCAACTACGATTCTCGGCACTGGGCTTTGGCTTACTCACTTCATACCTTTGCCTTGGGCCTCTCTTGGGGAAAATATCTAGGATCGAAACTTTGTCGCATATCGTTCAACTTCAATTGGTCACATGCGGGCGGAGGTCGTATAGGATGGGGATCTTCATGGCTCCTCCATCCTTCCATGCCGTTTTCATCGCCTTTTTGCCATACTCAGATCCCGCGTCCCATCAGGCGGCCCATATTATGGCAACAGAGTTGCAGAGATGGGTGTCTTCCTTTCTCCAAGGATGACCAGCGGATGGAATGCGGCCTTAGGCTGACCGGAGTAAGATGGTTACACAGTGGGCGAGCATTTATGTTGGGTATTGGAGGCAAGTTCAGTGAGGCAAATGGCGCGTTCTCAGGTTTAAAAGGAAAGTCTTGTCAGGCGTGGTATTTCCATTCACGGGCATATTCTCTCCTATTGATCACTCGCTACGATGGGAAGCATTGCTCGTCCTTCAAAGCCCTATTCGGTGTTGCTCGTGGGTGCAGGCATCGGCGGCCTCTCAGCAGCTATTGCTCTGTCGCGCAAGGGCCTGGACGTCACGGTGCTCGAAGGGAAACCAGAGCTGAATGAATTCGGCGCCAGCATCAGCATTGATTCTCATGCGGTCAGAGTGATTCAAAGTTACGGACTGGAGGAGCAGTTCAGGGCTTGCGTCACCGAGAACAGATATGCTGATATCCGGGATGGCGCAAACAACGAGCGCTTGGGCGCCATGTTTTTAAATGAAGCGAATAACAGCAACGTCCGCTGGGGTGCGCCCAAGTGGAGCATACATCGCGCAGACTATCAACAGCTCCTCGCCAAAGGCGCCCAAGGGTACGGCACCAAGATCTTGTTCGACGCCGAAGTCACCAGGGTCGATGTCGAGACCAACAAGGTGCATCTCAAAGACGGACGTTCACTTTCCGCCGACCTCGTTGTGGGAGCAGATGGTCTTCGTTCCGCGGTCCGCGGATCCATCCCTGCAACGGCCTCCGTCGAGCTGATCCCTTTCCACGAAAAAGCCTACCGTTGCACTGTCGACAAAGACGTCATGGCATCGAATCCGAACCTCAGCTGGCTGTTGACGCGAGGCGCGAGCCAAATATGGTTGATGGCAGGAAAATACGTCCTGTCTTGGCCCTTGCCGCCGCACAAGCCGTACGACGTTGTCGTCTGCGTCGGTGATGGCTGTAACGTTCCTTTCGGCTACTGGGGCATCAAGGCCGATCCAAAGCAAGTTGCCGCCGAGTTCGGAGACGCCTGTCCCGCGATAAGAGACCTGCTTGCCAACATCGGCCCTTGCGTCCAGTGGAGGCTAGCCGAGCTTCCTCCTCTGAGCACCTGCCGGAGCGAAAATGGCGGCGTGGTCCTCCTTGGGGATGCCTGGCACGCCATGCTCCCCCATGCCGGCTCCGGCGGCTCCTGCGCGATCGAAGACGGCGCAGTTCTCGGCGAATGCGTCGCCTGGGCCTGGGAAAACGCGCGGCCGATCGCGGACGCGACAAAGGCGTACGAGACGCTGCGCAAGCCGCGCGTCGAGCGCATCCAAGCCGCAAGCCACGACGGCGTGGTGTTTCTGAGCGGCGCCGACGCCGAGGTGCGCAACGCCTTCTTGGCCAGGCAGCTCGAGATCGACGAGGCCGAGTTGGCGCGCCCCGAGGCCGAAAGGAGCGCCCAGCTTCGTCCCACCGCGGACATCAATGCGCCGTTCCCGAGCCCGCCTTATCTGCAGTGGCTCTATAGCTACGACGCCGTCCAGGAGACGCAGAAGTATCTCGCTCAGCAGACACTTTAGAGCGGCAGGGATGGATCTGATGGTATTTTGACTACCTCCACCCGATAGTTTTTGTCGTCAAGGTACTTTTTTCTGGGGACGGTTTGCAAGAACTCATATTACGTTTAGAGATGGGGAAACCCTGATTTTGTGGGAGCTTGTTATGTACCTGTCGATTGCAATGATCCAAAAATTATTATATTACAACAAGGGTGCGAGAGATTTCGTACACATTCATCAGAAAATTGTCCCAGGCAATGTTCGCTCTCCTAGTCTTCCACGACTCTTGGGGTTTACAGATCCCCCGAATCGATCTCCTGGGTAGCGTCGTATCTCATTTCAGGGATGTAGGTCAGGCCGTCAGGGTTGCCAACCCTGTTCTAATCACGCATCCTTTGCATGGCCGTGTGCACGATGACCCTCCCTTCCATCCTCTGTCCCAGCTCGTCACTCCTAGGCTCAATGTCCCACTGGTCGCCGTTGACGACCGCCAGGACCTTGAGATTGCACCGCGCGACGTCGACCAATTTCACGAGCAGCTTGAACAACGGCTTCCGGTGGTCAACCCCTTTCACCAGATCGCAGCAGCGGTCTGCTCTGTCCAGGATGATCTGCACCTGCTCCGACTCGTCGAAGAGGTCGAGTGCTCGGAGGGCGACACGTTCGAAGGTGGAGAGTTTCTTGGTCTCATGATGATGGTTATGGTTATTTGCGACCTTTCTGTCCTGTGAGACCTGCTCGAATTGGTGTAGATTACTCAGTTCGGCGCGAAGTTCATCGCATCGGGCCTTGTTTCGGAGCACCACGCTCTTCTCGCCAAGCAGTTGCAGGAGGACGACGGAGATGGCACGGTAGAGCGATTCTCCTCGAGAAGAAAAGACGTAATACCCGTATAGGCGGTCCTTATTATCACCGTTGCTCAGGTCTGTAATCATGGTCATGGCGACTGGGGACAACCAACAATGGTCCAAATAACGGATGCTGCTGTCATTGTGACCGGACAGGATCAAGAGGCATGAATGTTTCGAATTGCTCCAGGACTGATACTCGTTGCAGGCGCGGAATGCCTGGAGGCGTCGACCCTGCATCTGCTCGAAAAAGGGAGCGTTGAGATGATCGTCGTCGTACAAAGCTCTGCGATATTGTTCTAGCTGTTTGCGATGGTTCTCGCTCGAGAAGCTCGAGAGGTTCATATGTTGTTGGATTTCATTGAGTATATGGTTGTCTTGTGCCTTTAGCAGCTGGTTTACCTCATCCTCCAGTCCTGCGTATCCTTGTTAAAAGTGCTGTGAGTTGAAGGGGTAGGGGGTACTTACTCAGAATGGTTGCTTTCTGCTCCAGATTCAATTGTTTGATCAGATGTATGTTCTTGTCGAGTAGCTCATCGCATATCCGTCGTATCTCTAGGATGACCTTCTGTGTCTCTGTAACCTTCTCGTGAAGATAGCTGGGCGAGCCTAGAGCCCTAAACCACCTACGAAATCCGCTTCGTTTGTAATATTGCGTTGCTTCGATACAGAATTCGATAAATATCTCGTAGGCAGCCACTATTCGACCCTGAAGCTTGATGTCTAGCTCATGGTTGTCGTTGTAGATATGTCTGTACAGATTCAACCCAGGCAGGCGATCGTTGATCTCACTGATAGCTGATGCGAGCGATGTTTCCATCTCATTCTTGCTCGCAGCAACCTGTCGTTGACATCAGCTCACTCTTGGAAAAGCAGACAGAGGTGGTCTCACTGCCAAGAGAACGGAGATGGTCCCTATAGCCATCCCACCATATGGCGCAGCAAAATTCTTCACGACTTCAACGATCGGCGAGAAATCTTTCATGAAGCTGCGGGCCACGGACGCTGCACTTTGGTAATTCTTCGACCACAGCCCGCATCCTTTTTCGTGGCCGTCTTCGAAATTTTTCCTGGCCTCGACAGTCTCTTCCCAGAAGGCATAGAACTCTGCGGCCGACTTGATGTTGACAGCATTCTTCTCAGTTCCCGAGAAGTTCTTGCTCGTTGCAACAATTTGCTTGAATCTGGTTTGCTCATTCTCCGAGCATTCTATTATTTTCCTAGAAAACGATGGCTCCGTTAGCCGAAAAATGGACATTCATGGCAAAACTCATACTTACAGATCCTTTTCAGAGAAGCGCTTACTAGTGGTGGAGGGGGTTCGAACTTGAGACGACATGGCGAAAGTTGGATCTTCACGAGTGCACAAACGGAGCCGCAAGATTCAGCCAAACAAACCTAGAGGAGACATTGCAGACATTGAGGCTCTGAGGCATCTGGCATGCTGATAGAAGTGTTTATCAGCCCACTAACCTGACAACGCTGCCTGCCGCGCAGACACCCAGGGGCCGGTTAAGCGGCTCATGATCAAGGTCTGTGTCTGAGTCTTCAGCTAGGGGCCTCCGCCTGGACCGCTTTGCTGAGACTGGAAGGCGCTGGGTAAAACTCCTGCACCTCGAAGCATGTTGGAGTCAGAGAAGGGAGGACGCTGGTGATTTGGGCATTTGGTCTACGTATGTACTCGGTGGGTTTCTCAGACAATGGAGGTTGCAAGGTTGATTCGGCCAGCTCGACACCCTCAGGCTGCCCGCCGAGCTCGGTTATGGCTAGTGGGACACACAGCTCAAGTAATAGCCCCTATCCCTCAACCCAATCATCAACCATCTACGGAGTACCTATGTGAACTGCCCACTGCTCAGCCGCATTCTTCCTGCAACATGCCAATTCCGAGAGCGCTGAAGTTGCGGCACGAGCACCATCAATATGCTTCAGCCATTGGAGGGGTCAGCGTTTCGGCCCTGGAGATCGCCCGAGACGGGGCCGCCAAAACTCAATGTCTCCTGAGACGGGGGTGTAAAAGAAGTGTGGCTGTTATCTGCCGCCAGCGGTTTGTGCACAAGCCGTTATACATATAATATACCTCACGGACCCCTGCCGATAGATGATCCAACCACAATCCCACTATCGAGGGAACATACACGGTGAACTGGTGAAAAATGACCCAAGATGCAATTTCCAATGTCCAGCCTCAGACGAGCCTGGAAGAAAGGTTTGCCACTTTGGAGGCGAAATTTGTCTCACTAGAGAAGCGGTATTGCGAGCTGCAACAAGAAACCGTCTTTTTCCAGCAGTCTTCAAGTGGGAAACCCGGCCAGAATGGGGCTGACACGACGTCCTCAAAGGTACCGTCTTCATTGCCGGGCATCAAATTCTCCGTGGTGGGCTGACACAAACAGCTTGTTTCTGTGAATGGAGTCGGCAACAAAGATCCACCGTCCAAGGACGCTGGCAGCCATACAAACACAAGACCGTCGCCCGAGGAGACAGGCGTAGGGCCCAAGTCCCGCGCGAGGATAGTTATCAACAGGACAGACTCGGAATCACACGAGCGCAGAGACTTCCCTGCAGAAGATCAACCTGCCGACCCGTCTGATAATCCCGACACTTCCTACGCGTTCACGCTACGCAAAATTGTGGGTGACAGCGAAGATGACGATGGAGAGATCGATATTGTCGACCAAAACCTGTGGGAGCTATTGAAAGGACTTCTCAGCCATTACCCGTATCATACATTCCGCGGCTCACCCAGCACCATCAGTGCGCCATACGAAGCCTTGGTCCTCAACTGGGACAAGCTAGAGCAGGCTACCAAGATAGAGTCTGGGAGCGACAGCGACAAGCAGGCTCGATCGGATCTGAAACTTCTGCTTGACACGATTACCAACTCGTCGGGCGATGCGAAACTGGACAAGTATTTCAAGACCAGAGATTCTCATAAACAACAAAACTCCGTGACATTCGACAATCTTTGGACCATTTTTGCCCCCGGCACCCTAGTCTACGGCAGACCCTTCCAAGGCCAGGATCAAGTCTTTGTGGTCCAAGATAACATCGGCCCATGGCCGTATTTTAGCGACGGCGTACCCCGTGAGCAGGCTACTTGGACTCTGTTAGCTTGGACCTATGACTGGAATGGAAGCATTTTCAAAAGAAGGCCTTTGAGGCTGGAATTTGAGTATTTCGATGGCACCAAGCCAATCACATCGTTGCCGTACTACCCTTTTCAATTCCACGAGCAACAGGGCAGTGTGAGGGAAAATCTGATCCAGCAGGGTATCAAGTATCGCAAATTCTGCACTGCCACTCAAGGCTCTCGATTATTTGATTACAGAGGAGATGCCCTACTTGTCAAAAAAGGATTCTCTGGAGTTCAAGCGGATGATGACATGGTAGGTATCATCTCAACCGCAAGGAAGTTGTCTGCTCAATGCTGTCTCAGGACGATGACGCCCGACGATTCTTCGATTCGGAACTCGAGTACATGAGGCGCAGGAGACATTCACGTTTTTCGCAAAAGGGTGCTCCACACCCCAAATCTGCAAATGTAAGTTTCATGCTGTAAGTGGGAGGGTATTGCTGAAATCCTCTTTTTTTGGTCTGTTAGGTGGACAGTCGAGTCATGGTAGACTTCGAATCGTATTTTGTGTTCGGTCCTTCTGTTGCACGTGTGGGCGCCCTCTGGCCAGACGACGACAATCCCCAGTGTAATTGCAATGACTGCCAGGAAAATGATCTGTTGAATGAAAGCTTCAGAACAAAGTACGACGAAGAAGCATGTCAAAAGGGCAAATGGGAAGACGAACAGTATATGCTTTGTCCCCCTCGTGTGCTCGGATATGTCTTAGGGGACAAGCAGTGGGCTCAGCTACAGGTCTCCTTACTAGCAAAGATCCCTGACAAAGACCCCGAAGATGCTTGGTCTACAAGACTCAAACTGGCCGACGACGGGAAAACCAAAAAGATGATTTTAGACTTGGTGGAGGGCCACGGGAAAAGCGACTTATCGGAGGACAATCGCCTCGAAGTAGACGACATTATCGCTAGAAAAGGAAAAGGTTTGGTAATTCTGCTTTATGGTAAGCCAGGCCGAGATTCATCATGCGTATAAAAAGACATTGACACTTCGCAGGGCCGCCAGGAGTAGGGAAAACTTCCACCGCCGAGACGGTAGCACTTGCAGCGAGGAAACCTCTGTTCGCTATTAGTGTTGCAGATGTGGGCACCAAGGCAAAGAACGTTGAGGCAAACCTAAAGAAGATTTTCGACCTGGCTACCTCGTGGCAAGCTATCCTTCTTATGTGAGTGTCTTCTCTTCTGCCTTCATCCAGCGTCTGTGAAGAGGCTGATCTGATTGATGTAGCGACGAGGCCGATGTCTTCTTGGAGAGTAGAGGACAGGGGGTCGCAGCAAATACAGAAAGAAATGCCCTGGTTTCGGGTGGGTAGTTGCGATGTGATGAAAATGGTGCATTGGCTGACTGCAGCAGTTTTTCTTCGAGTGCTCGAGTATTATCAGGGTATGTGAAGGCCCCCTAACTGGATGTATAAAAGACTGATCTAGTCTCCAGGAATCTTAATGCTTACAACAAATCAAATCGCTAAATTCGACGTCGCTGTCCAATCCCGCATTCATGTCGCTTTCAAGTACGTTAGTCTGAATGAGGACCAAACAATGGGAATCTTTGGCGGCTTCTTGGGGCCATTGGCCAAGAAAGGTCTCGTCAAAGATTGGGATGACATCAAGGAGTGGCTACTCGAGGATGTGGTGAAGATGGGCTTCGACGGTCGCCAGATACGGAACATTGTGACCAGCGCACTGGGACTGGCGCGCGCTCAAGGAAAGAGCAGATTGGAAAAGAGCCACATCAAGTTGGTGCTCAACAACGTCAAGGACTTCAAAGACGAATTCATTAAGCAGTTCGAGAAGTACAAGACAGAGCAGGCAGGAGGAAGAGATGCACTTATGTGAGCGAAGTCTCGCGGTCTTTGTGAGGCCCGATTGCAAAGGAGGTAGCTTACGGATGGTACATTACCAGATTGCTTCTTTGAATATCAATATCAAGTTTGAAGGGATCATGCCCCCTAGCCACGAAGAGAATAGAATGTCTTGGTACTAGAATGACTTGGTACAACTCTCCCCAGGCCAAGGGCAAGGCTGGACAAGGCTGGACAAGGCTGAAAAAGGCTCGCAGGCTGACTAAAGCAGCAAGTGGAGTCTAGCCAAGAATCCCATATCCGACCCGAAGGAACTTCAACTTAACAACGTCTGATATTTAGACATCCATCAACGACGACCTGAGTTGTTCCATCACTGAATTCGGTCCATCATGTCGGAGGCCGGTCTAGCAGAGCGAATCGACGCCACCATCGCTGAGTTCTTCTCGTCATGGAACATCTGGACGACCATCCTTGCGCTCACTCTCGCACTGTTCCTCATCTACCCGGTGCTTACGGGTCGTGAGCCAGATACTCACCCCTACTTGCTCGCAAGACAAGCACAAGTTGCACCCATTCGCCAATCAGGTGAGTCGGCCGTCTACCGCGCCATCGATATCCCACACGGCTATCCTCTCCGTGCCGGCCTGGGCGTCAAAGATCCAGGGACTCCAAAGTGGAGTTCGGGCCGACCTGGAGATCTGCGGGATATTTGGAGGTCGGCCGTCCGTGGTGCGGTCAATGAAGAGGGCAATCCAACAGGCCAAAGAGGCAAAATTTTGACGGTCCTCGGCCTGGAAAAGGTCATCGAGCATGATCTGGAAGACTTGACGTTGGGCATCAATGTCATCGGTCAATATGTGAAGCGGAACAATGGCCAGTCTGTGGCAGTCTGCCTCTCGAATTCGGTGGAATTGTTGTCTTCCATCTTCGGTATGTTGAAATATCTCCACGGCCCGTTGAATCCGTCATCGAGTATCTTACCCTCCCCAAACAGCTGGCTCGTTCTATGGCTTCTCGACAATTCTTCTCCCATATGGCCTCCCACCTGACAAGCTCAATTCGCTTCTATCCAAAGTCTCCGCCGACCATTTGATTGCCGCAGCCGGCACATTAGACCTGGAAACCATGTCTTCCACCGCCAAAACCATCAAGAACATCATCTGGGTTACCAGGCCGGAAAACAAGCATATGGACTGGTCTGAAGGATCTCCCGAAGGTTTTGCTGTCAGTTCATGGGAGCAACTTGTGGAGAAGAATCAACGTTCCTCTAATTCAGAGGTTTTGCCGTTGGACAAGGATTCTCAAGTCCCACCTGTGTCGATATTCTGTCCTGCGGTTAATGGAGGATTTGATTTGGTCAAATACTCCTCGGAAGTGAGCTTACTATTCCTCTCTTGCTTTGCCCCTGCCCCTAGTCAATCAAGCCCCATCTGTCAATCGATAATTGTCCATACTAATCGACACGGCTTATAGAACCTCATCTCTGGCACTGCTGCACTCCTCGCCACCCTTCCACGTGCCCAAAAGCTCTCTCTGACCGATTCATTGCTCCCAACCACACCCCTAACAGACAGCTACACCCTTTGCTGGATCTTTGCCACCCTGTACTCCAATGCGACACTGTCCCTCAACTCCGTTTCTGGGGATAACATCGATCTCGCCCACGCCGCCTCGCAGACTTCTCCAACAGTCGTCCTCGCCTCTCCCGCTACTGTGCAAGCATACCTATCCCACCCGAATACGACACTTCCCGGTGGGTTGTCGAAGTACATGACTACACGCACTTTGCAGCAGGGCAACCTCCCCACAAAGCAGGCCACGTCTGCCCACGCCCTCTCGCATCTCCGGGTCCTTCTCATCCCTCAATCAAGCACCGCCCCAGCTTCAACCCGCTTGTCGTCATCGACACTGCACAGTATCCGCACACACTTGAAATGCCGCATTGGGTACGCCCTCACGAGTCCGTCCGTGGCGGGCGCAATTGCGCAGACCAACATCTTTGATTATCGTGACAAAGGGCTTAAAGTCTGCTGCGTCGGTGCGCCGCTTAGTAGCGTCGAGGTCAATTTGACCGGGGAGGAGCATGTCATGGGGTCTCGTACTCCACGAGGGGCAACGGTACGTCTATCTACACGGGCTTATATTTTCTGCATCGTATATTCTGCCGTTCGTTCTCTACCCGACCTCCCTCCCCTTTCAGTTCAGCAATGCATCATGAGTCTCACTGTCCCATTTCATTTCATTTCATGGATCAAGCGTGCCTGACTGACTCTTTGAACGTGACGTTTTCAAAATAGGTCATGATCAAAGGACCCGCGGTGGTCGGTGGAAAGACAACGCTCGAGAACGTCCACATGCAGATCGACGATGATTATACATTGATCCTACTTTGAACCCTGTCCCCATCCCCATCCCGTCATCGAACGGCGTTGGTAAATGTTCCCGCAGGTCATGCATGCATGGAACAACAACACATATACAGAGTAGGTTCAACAATGAATGGATGCATCGGTTCGAGAGGAGCAGTTGAAGCAGATAGTACGTCAAATTTTTGCGTCGAGACAAATCCTGCAAAAATAAGAAAACGCAATATTTGCAGATGGCGAAGCTCAAAACGAAATTATGGTAGTGTTCTTGGTCGGAAGGGAGTGATATGAATCTTACAACGACAGCTAGAACCAGAGAAGAAAAACCCGTTGCGTTTTGCTCATTGGTGTTTTTTGTTCTGCCTGCAAACTTCAAGTCGTGCTTCGGTCATGGCTCATGCAGCTCAAGTTCGACCCCCGAGTTCATGATGTCTAGCTACATGTCTGGCTCTCTTTCTCTCTCTGTGTGCATGCAACTTTCTCCGCCCCAGTCTCCACTTCATTTTCAAGACCCATGATCAACTCGCGCCTTTGACTTTGCAGAACGTAGAAAATCAACTGTGCAAATAAAAAGGAAGAATTTGCTCCGTGCTCCGTAATACCCTTTCTTTTTTTTTTGGTTCTCTATTGAGATTTGACCTTTTTTCGTACTTTTTTGTTGGCGAGGTGTGTGTCCTTTGCGTCCCATTTGACTAGTAATCCAGCTTCGAGGGTTGAAATGCCAGGAGCTCGATGTGGATAAAGAGGTCCCGCTGAGATGCGCGTTGAGAATTGTTATGTGACGTGAATCGTTTCAGCAGAAGTCGTCGTGTCATGTCGTCATGATAGTTGCATGAGTCCAAGTCCAGGACGGAATCGCATTTCAACCCAACTCGACGCTGATTCAATCCTCGCCAGAAGAGTCTGTCTTCTGGGAGAGAATAGTAGCACGGTAGATCCACCTGCTCGTGCCCGACGAGTTCTCGGCAGTTTCCTCAACTAACCCAGCTCCCTCGAGCATATTGATCGCGACGAGCGCCTCCACCTCAGTGCATCCTATTCCGGTAGCAATTTCTGGTATTCCCTGCCACCCACGCCACCCCACCTCCATACGTTGCTTGCTCAACCAATAGTAAATGCGGTGCGCAAGAGCAGGCATGCTCAGCACTGCAGCCAACGTGCAGGATACCGCCGCGTCAAAGCTGGAATTGCCGGCATGGGCGGGGACCGCTTCCGGGAAGAAGGCTGGCGTATTCAGACGGCGCGAAGTTTGATGACCCCATTCGAATTGGAGAGGCATAGTATTTCCTACTGGACGGGGAATAGGATATGCTGGAAGGTGTGAGTCGACTGTGCTGGGAACGTCCACCCAAGGAGGCGGAGGGTCTGATGGCGCGGCATAAGCAGTTGGAATCTTCGACGTGCTTGGTGACTTGACATCCTCATCCACAACACTCGCCCACCCGTTGTTCGGCTGTTGATTGTTTTCGTTGTGACTCGCCCAATATCCATCCTGCGGATCATCGCCCCAACCACTGTATTCATTCTCGTCCGAGACACACTCGGCATTGTCACCGTCCTGAGCAGGGAGTTCGTCTTCCAAGGACTCCACTGCATTAATGCTCGAAACCCACAAGTCGTGAAGTACTGTAGTCACATCATTCGTGGCATCCTCGTCATGGTGCAAATAAGAGACGAGCTCGGAGATGACATCGCTTGAATTGCCTTTCTCAAGTCGTTTTGGAAGCTCCTGTCTCAAGCAATCTCGGAAGTAAGCTCTGAACCCGGGGATGTCGTCAGCGCAGCTGTAGATGTCGGCGAGGTTAGACGAAATATCCAAGGGATTGATTTCCCAAATCAGCCAGAGTGCGCCGAGCAGAGACCAGTTCTCGTATTTTTTTGCAAACTCTCCAAGGTTGTTCGAATAGTGCTCCTCACGACTAAGCTTCCCTTTGAGCGTATCAATGTCCTGGCTGTAGTGATATTCGACCGCAGCTTCAAATAGATCTTGATCAATATCGGTCAACCAGAAGCTGTCATTCCCTTCTGGGAGAACTTCGCGGGGGAACATGAGCGAGAAAATTCCGTCATGAATGAAGTACTTCCGGTCATCAACAATGATCGAAATAGGTTTGCAACCAAAGCGACTATAAAATCATTCATTAGTTTTGTTTTTTTTTTTGATCCCATATCTGCCACATGTTCTGGGTGTATGACAAGAACTGAAGTGAGCAAATTGAAAGGAGTGTCAATGACATCTTTGGGACAGAGTGTCTTATTAGGAGGGCCGGTCTCATTGGAGAGCATGAAATCCACGGTAGACTTGTTATTCTACCTCCTCATCAGCTCGTATCTTACCAGAAATGCCCATCCTGCACCTTGTTGCAGGGATTCGAATCATCGCCGGTTCCGTTGTCCAAAGAATTTTCAGCCGCATCGAACGACGACTCGACAGGATCTGCCATGTTTAATTAGCACCGATGGGTCTGAGTGTCAGTGCAACCTGATGACGCCGAGAGACAAGCTCACTTGGAGTAACCGTGCCCAGATCGCCACCAGGGTTGGAGGATACGCGAGACTTGCCGGTGGTTAAGGTACTATATGGGGTTTGTCTGGCATTCGCTGGGAAACTGAGGCGGTTGATGGCATCTGCAATAGTCCTGGCCGTTTTGTCATCATTGTCTGGCTTGACAGTCAAATCCAGCTTGCGAAGTTGCTGAATAAGCTTCTGATCAGATGGTTCGGGCGAAATCTCAGAAGCCAATGAAGCAACGGACAATGATGCTGGATCGAGATGGCGTTTCATGGTGGTCAAGATGCGGTTGGTAAAGCCACAAAAGAGGAGAGAAATGGAGTGAGAGGTGGAGGGTTCGAGGGAGCGAGGACGGTGGGTTGTGGAAGGAGGTATATATAGGATGGATTGGAAACTCAGTGAGAGTGAAGACAACAGACAGGGCTATTGACTTGCACTAGAATGGCCCATGTGACAGTCAAAGTGAATCGAGAATGTGGGATTCTGAGGACATTCTGAGAGTATGTGAGAGAAAATTGAGCTGTGGGTGAAAGTGGGTGATAGTGATTTCTGTAGGTGTCTGAATCTTATGGTACATTTCGTCCAAAAATCGCCTTTTGCAGGAGGGAATACGCACTGTTGTCATACAAAACTGAAGCCGACCTGCCGACCTGAGTCGAGTCTGAAGATTGTGGCTTCACGTTCCTTGAGAACCCGTTTCGAATACGCGGACCTCAATCATGCCTCAAGGGGACACTTCATCTCTTTCCCTTCTTCGGTCTCGAACGTCCCAATTGACTGGACGGTTTGCCGCCGGTCAACATGGCTCGCTGCCTCAGATACTGGTCGACCACTTTCTGCACACTCCCCATATCGTGCTCTGGTTTCCTCAAGTAGTAGATTCTCGCCCGCCTCTTTCTCTTCGGTGCTCTCTGGGCTATTTCCATGCTCTGCACCAATGGACTGTGCACCTTGATTTGCATTTCCATTCCTATCCCTGTCAAATGGTTGCGCAACAGGACGGACGCGTGAGGCCCCGAGCCTTTGATTGATAGAATCACCCCCGAGACCGGTTCGCCTGAGGTGAAAGTTGCAAGCAGAATATCTCCAACTCTTGCGCGGTCCTTGTTAGTCTTATCAAACAGTTTTGCCCGTGCGCCTGTGGGATCCAGAAGAGCCAATTGTCGATTGTCCACAATGGAGACGGGATCTTTGCAAGTTTCGGCCTCGGATCGCGGCGGTTCGTGTACTACAATCTCTCGTTTTCCTAACAGAGAGATCAGCATATATAATGCCTCATTTGGGCGCTTTTTTGATTCACCTCTGTCAGGTTTGAATCTTTCCGGTATTTGAGACCAGTATTGCGATGGCAGATCGGAAGGGACGTCGAGCTTCTCGATTGGGCCGCGTTGTAGTGTGACTAGGGTACGACGAAACTGCTGTGGCCGAAGTTCTGGAAAAAGGGACCGCCAGCAGCATATCGAAATACGTGAAGCAACCGGTTTCGACATCTTGAGCGATAGACTATACCGAACAGACAGTGTTTGCTTAGGTCAATTGCAGTGAGGAAGTTGGAGCTCAATCGCGGTCACTTTTCGCGGCCAAGAGGAAGGTGGAGCGATTTGAACTTAGTCCTTTGAGAAATTCATTTGGAGATTCAATCGGAGCGCAGCCACGACCTGGCAGGACTATCCAAACAAAAATTATCACTGCAGCTTAGACACCTTCGAGGGGGGTGTACGGTCATTTCTCATGGCACAGCCCGGTCAAAACGTACTCTACATCTGTAGAAGTTGTCGACGAAACATTTGCAGTTCGAGCTGGTCAAAGTCGACACGATCATTCAGTGCCACACGGTCGAGGCCAAAAGGTACGCTCTTGTTTTTCATTTATCCAGCTTAGAACTATTGATGTTAACACTGCAAAGTAATACCGGCTTTCGATCCCACATCCAACCCCGAGTTCGACAATCTCCTCCTGACATGGCGCCAAAAAGTCTTCATGCCAGCTGCCCTGGAAAACCACCACCGGGATCTCATTTACAAGGCATCGCGCCATCCGACCCTCACCAACGAACCCGGTGTCACGGTAACAATGGATGATGGCGAAGAGATCAAGCTCGAGCCAATGCACTTTTATGACAAGCCGAGTGTGAATAAGAGTATCCTCAAATTGGTGAGACTGCTTGACGGCAACCATAACGACACAGATTGGAACAATCTGCCTCCGTTCCTTCATGGCTTGGTCATGGCAAAAATCAATCTCCCTTCCAGCTTTTACGAGAAAATCACACGAAAAGCCTGTGAAGTGGGCAAAGAACGGATCATCTTGCGATGCGCGGAGAAGCCGACCGAAACAGGAATGAGGTTGTCGCGACAGGGAGTGGCCCGGGAGTTGATGCTGGGTTTCCACAACCGTGCGGTTCTGGCGAATTTCCAGGGTGGCGAGCTCGAGGCGGCTTCGCGGCGAGCCGAATATGTTGCACGAATGTTGGAAGATGAATTGCACGGAGGCGGCAAGCTGCCAAAAGGGGAGGTGGACGCGAGGAAGGATCCAGTTGTTCTGGCGGTGCTGCTGGAGCTTGCGGCTGCAAAAGCAATACACGCACATGGTGGCCAAGACTATGAGGGAAAAGTCGCCAACTATGCGACCAAGCTCCTTCACCTAGACAGCAAGGAGCTACGTTCGCAACTCGAGCAACAAACAGAGGTAGAGCAGAACTACGCATTGGTACAACTATTGCCGATACAAAATTCGATGAAATGGGCGCTGAAGGTCGACTCGGTCAAGAATTCCGATTTGCGGAAGCAGTTGGAGGCTGAACTGAGCAGCCTGGCCAAGGTGGTGAATGACACCGCGCAAAGCATTCAGGAAAAAGTGGGAGACAAACCAAGAAGGAGTCTGATCATGTATGATCAGCTCGGTGAGAAGAGGTAGATGAGAGTCTCAGGCTAGAGCGCTACGGACGAAGCCAATGGTCCAGCAGTCTAAGCCATTAGTGCTGAAGCGGACAAAGATGGAGCTGAAAGTTCATCATGGGATTTCCGACCTTCCAGCTCCATGGCCTCGCATTTATCCCAAGCTATTGGGATATGTACAATTATTTCCTGTCAGTACCAAAATGTATGTTCTAAGAACTTTCCTTGTGATGTGACCGCGACACAGAAGTTGATGAAGACCTGTAGAACGAAGTATTAATTACTCCGAATGCATCCAATATCCCAAAATGCAGCCCGCCAATGCACCTAAAGAAGAGTAAAAACTGCCGCGAGCTCATGTATTAATGCGACTCACCTAGGCCGTGCCACTTTTCGGGGAATCCTGTCCTTGTTGGGGAATGTCATCTCTATTACTTCCTCTCCAGGCCTCTTCTAATTGTGTCTTGAGTTGTGATAATAGTCGTGCCCTATTGTCAACCATAGATTCGCTCGATGTCTGATTTCTTCTCTCCTTTCCCCGCCTGTTGCCGCTCATCCATCGTATCCTCCCAGTCATTATCCATATTAACATCACTGTCTTCGCCAGACGGCCCCATAAAATGATCCTCATCTGCCACAGTATCCGTTTTTGATTTTCTCTTTGGGGTTGCGCCTTGTGGTCCACCGCCACTGTAATAATTCTGAAGCTGTAGTCCGCTGAGGTGCTCCAGTTTGTATTCTGTCTTGCCTTCGCCGTTCGTCGAGATTCGAATGACGTGACGTGAAAAGCCGGCGGTGATGAAGGGTTTGACTTGAAGAAGGATTGCCCAAGCGAAACGTGCAAAAAGATAAGGATGGGCGGCCGAATCGAGATATTGGACGGTGGTATCATGATATGTAGGCCAGACTTCAGCTGCTTGCCGTTGAAGAATATGTGTAACATATCGAGGAGAATGAGCAGTCGTAGTTTCTATGACCTTTGGCACGATAGCAAACCATTGGGCATCGAAACACTTACGTAGATCGGCCTTAAGCGGTGCGATATTAACCGAATCATTATTATCACTAAACCATCGTGGTTCCATATCTTCTCATATCATTTTTTTTTTTTTTTTTTGATAACAGAGAAACTCATTCTTTGGGACGAGATGAGCGCCCTCAACAGGAAAAGAAAAATTACTGATCGCGCAACGAGTAGTGTTAGGGGTGGTAGATAGTTGAGGCCAGGAATCTGGGATAAGACCATGAGGAAATTCCCAATCTCGGAAGATGGGTAGAATAGGATACTGGTCTGGAAGAAAACCTGTGTCGGCGAGAAGTTCATTATAGGGTTATAAGGCGCAGAGCACATACTCGGACCACCGCCAACCATGAAGTAGTAGACCTCCTCAGTTAAGATGTTGTCTGATAGCAGCTCCACTAGCCGTTGACCTGCCTGATCGAAGGTCAATCGCCCGGTATTGAAGGCATTACCAGCAACGATTTGACAGGCAAGTAGAGCCGTTCCATAGTGTACACCAAATCTTGGCCAAATGTAGAAGTGCCTGCCATGTACACGATCGACACGTGGGAACGATAGCAGTCCATTAGTTGGGGTTGTGTAACTCGGATGGAGGATTCGGATTGGTGTTCGGAAGCGCAAATCTATTGGCGGAAGCGGGAAAGGGGCCATCTTGCAGAAAGATACGAGGTACCGAGCGAGGTACAGATTAGCGTGATGTGAGAGAGTGTGTGAGTTGTGTTGAGGGGACGGAGATGAGAGGAGGGATTTTCTTTGGTCGCGGGGAAGCAGAAGCGCGAGCATAGGGCGGCATCACCCTTATTCCTAAAAAGGGGGTGAGTTCGGGGCAGTTTTACGCGGTACTCATCCTGCCCATTCGAGACCCGTCAACCCAGTCGCCTCGTCATCTTGGGACGACTTCTATTAAGTTGTTTACTGCCTATAATGACCGGACAATAGCTTCCTGATACCAGCGCATTCTGCGTTCATTGTCTTTTCCTCTAGATTCCCAAAGTGGCTTCTCACGATGGCGAACCCTCCACCCTCCGACCCCTTCCTCGAAGTCCAAACCGACGTGCAGTCCACGCTCCAAAGCACGCGGCACCTGTTCTCCAGCTACCTCCGTATCCGTACGCTGTCTACATCTGCGACATCCCCAGAACTACAACAGTCACGGGCGGAGTTGCGTTCCAACCTCGAAACCCTAGTGGCAGATCTCGCAGATCTGCTGGACAGCGTGAAAGCCGTGGAGTTGGATCCGTACCGCTTTGGACTAGATGTCGCCGAAGTGCAACGGAGGAGGCAGTTTGTTCAGGACGTGGGCGATGAGGTGCAGGGCATGAGGAGGGAATTGGAGGGCGTCACTACGGATACACACATCGCTGGAGGAGTACATCCTACATCGGCCACTATAGGGCCCACTGCCAGCGGCGGCGGCGGCACAAGAGTACCAAACGGGAAACTACCGATTCCCTCATCCTTTGAGGACGACCACGACGAAGAAGACGACGACGACGACCCCTACGGGGCCTTCGAGGCCCAACAGCAAGAGATAATGATGCGCGAACAGGACGAGCAACTTGACGGCGTTTTCCAAAGCGTCGGTGTCTTGCGCGGCCAGGCAGAAAATATGGGTCGCGAATTAGAAGAACAAGGTGCTTTGCTAGATGAGGTGGACACCCTGGCAGATCGGGTGGGTGGGAAGTTGAGCGTCGGAGTAAAGAAGGTGGGCGAGGTAATTAGACGGAATGAAGATAGTGTGAGTAGTTGCTGTATTGGGGTGTTGATTGTGGTTTTGGTGATATTGTTGATTCTAGTAATTGTCATCTAATGGCGAAGGATGGGTCCTATCTTTGGTTGAATTCCTCCAAGATCGATGGGCGCACCTGGGTGCTACTCAGGTCGATTCTCATTAGGGGATACAGGGCTTGAAGGAAACCAGGACCCCCGAACGGCTGAACACGACGCGAGCACTAGGTGGCTGCTGGCGGAAGTCGCTGAACCCATCTGCGGACGCCCCGGACCCGGAGAAAGCAAACTCTACCAAGCTGCTTTCATGGGTGACGATATCTCAAGCATGTCCAAACCAACGTACCGGACTGATACCTCAATCGGTGCGCGGCTTCTTTCGCGGTCTGGAATTGTCCTCCTGTACCAACACCAAGTCCGGAGCTTCGTCGTCATCTTCCTCATCCTCATTCTCGTCATCGTCAAAGTCAGTTTCTTCTGAGTGAGCCGACATGAAATAGTCCATGGCATCGGGCCATAGATCCTCTGCCAAAGCGGTGGCTAACTCCTCACCGGCCGGGAAGATCTCGACCTCCAACATCCCTTCAATATCATCGTCATCGCCCTCATCCTCGCCGTCGGTCGTCTTTTTCGACTTCCCTGCATCGACCGCGCCGCGAAAGCCGAACCAACAGAAGAAACTCGGTTGGTAATCGTCATCTTCATCAAGCTGGACTATCTTTTCTCGGAGCTTTTCGTACTGCCACAGCGCCTCCCGGTCCACGATATCAACGACTTTGTCTCCATCCTTCAGCTTCAGCGCTTCCTCTGCGTTGTACACGTCAACAGCGGCATCGAGAAGACCATTTGTTAGGTCTTTCTTCTTTCCCTTCCATTTGATAGGAACCGGTTTCGAGACTAGGCTACCAGGTCCGTCGTCATCGGCGCGATGTTCGAACTCCTTAATCAACGTGGTATTCTCTATGAATTCGTTGGGACCAAACTTAAAGGTGAATCGCAGGCTGCGAGGTTCGCCTTCGGTTTCCGACTGGATTTGGTACCGATCAACGGAGAAAGACTCGATGGAGGCGATGAGCGCAAGGTCGTCCGGGGAGAAGGATTGTCGGATCTCCTCTGGTCCGGAGCCAAACACAGTGGGCCAGAAGTCCGGAATTCGACGAAATAACGATTCCCGCTTTGAATAGAGAGGCTGTGAGGAGAACTGTTTTCTTCGCACTAGATCAACGTCAGCGTGTGCGGTAGGCTCAATCCAGATGGCTGCATACAAGAATCGAGCTCAACCTGGGCAAACCCTTTCTCTAGATCTCCAAGCTCGTTGAAAATCGCAGTGAGATCATCTAGAGGTACCGCCATCTTGCGAAACGCAAGTAGCGAATTAGAGAAATACCACCGAATATTGGCACGGTCAAGACTTCAACCGATTGCACTGGGTACACCGCAGCTGTCCTCGGTCACAAAATTTCAGAATATTCTGCCATGTAAAATTCGGAGGCGGTGAATAATTAAAGGCGGTCATTTCTGCCGCGACCGGTATCTAGTTTTTCCGCTCCGATAAAGTTTCGGTATGAGAAGTGTGCCCCGAGAAGCCCTAAGTATTTTCGATCACCTAGAGTATTGTCCCTTGTCGCCTACCTCGTACACCTGGCTGAAGTTGGCCAATTTTCTGTTGTGCATATACTCCCCATTTCAACATAGGGAATACAAGCCGAAGCGAGCACGGAGGATCCAAAGTACTCCGTACAAGTCCGTAACGCCACTTACCCGAATGCGAGGAGATCGATATGTCTTGGTGTCCATACAACGACCTGCGTGGCTGCATGCAAGCATTGTTGTTCATTACAATGTTGTGATTTAGGCTTTAGTGAGCAGCTAATCCCCGTCGACACAGGGAGAACACATCGTGTGGCGATGTGATAAGCCCCTGCCCATCTCTTTTCGACCCCCTTTCCCTCAGCACTTCACACCCTGGGCTCGGCAAGACTCTTTTGGTCTCGGAGTGGGCTGGTTCCCGGGTGCATTCGCTTTGTTCCTTCGCCACGTTGCTTGCAAGGTTCGTGAGTAGGCGAAGGGCAATGTCTCGAGTCTAGAAAACTGCAAAAGCGGTGAGACCCTTCCGGAGCACAAGGGAGGGATGTTCTTCTGGGTGCCTTCGCTTCTCCGCCTGAGGCGGGTAAGTGGGACATGCAGCAGCACACTGATTTTCGTGCAGCATTCACGGTGATCGTCCCTTGTCTGGATGCTAGGCTGGCAGTTAGGGCCACCACATGCACCCTCTCAGCTTAGTGATCAGAGGCAGGAATGTCACACCCTGGTTCCTGGATAAAGCAACCAACGGCTAACTGTCGACTAATTCTGCATGTCTTCACGCCAACAAGACTGTACACCATCGTTAATTCTGCAGCCTGCATTGCTCAGACAGTCGATATTCGAAGTCACCTCTGCCGTATTCCCCGATGCAAGCATTCTTGGCTTTGATCAGCGTAGGAAACTTATGGTTCTCGAGAGGGGTTCGCTGGGGTTGCTTCCTTTGAAATAAGCTCAATCGACTCAACACGGACAGGCACCGGGTAAGGCTTGAAATCACCCGGAAAAGCGTTCCCCAGCAAGGGCCGCTCCCGCAGATAGTGGCGCTTTTGTAGCAGGAACTACCACTTGCTACCACCTACCGGCAATGCACCGCGCTGATCCGCGTCTCGACTTGGATGCTGCTTATTGGCGGAGGGTTCCCCTGGAAAAGCCCTGAGATAATGTCTTTCTCTGGTCAGACTGACACCACTTGTGTCAGCTTCTGGTGCTGTTCTTTGACATGTAAGGGTCTCCTTGGGGTCTCCCAGGCTTAAGCTCGTCATTTGACGCCGCCCGAATCTTCAAATACGGATTGTCGGACAAGGTTTGGAGGACCAGGGCCCATGCAGCCTCCCTGGTCCACTTGCATAGGTATTTGTTGCTGTTGCTCGAACTCTGTGGAGAACCCCGAGCAAGATACAGGGTATGGGCCTCTCAGGTGTGAACTCGTCGAAGTCAACAGGTGCGGCATGCCAGCAAAGTCGCGGTGGGAAATCAGGCTAACTTCAAGCCCTGGCTCTTTCACATCTTTCACACCCTTCGCGCCTGCCTCGTCAAGCTAGTGTGAGGAGACAATACTCGTCTCGCTACGAGCGTACCATGTGCGAAAGCCAATCCATGCTCCCGATAGGAGAACAAGGAAGACTCAAGTACTGCACACCCGCGCCCATGTTTATTCAGTCTTCTCCTGCACAGGCGGTTCTTTCTTTCGCATCTGTTTCACAAAGTTTCTTCACCCTTTTTCCTTTACATCGTCGCCAATCATCGTGAAAATGACCGTGTACAGTTCAGATGCCGCTGCTTTGGAGGCAGCAGGAAAGAAGCAGGTGTTGAAGGTAAAGCCGGCTCCATAAATGCGCTTCGTCGTCTGTCGCTAACTTCTTTCTATAGCGAGAATGGAACTTCTGGGCCTTGCTGGGTATGTCAGCATGCACTCTATGCACATGGGAGGCTACGAGTGCTCTGTTTGCTGGTGCTTACAGCAATGGCGGTCCTGCCTCTGTTGTATATGGATTTATCGTGTCTGTGCTGGGGACGCTGTGCATCGCAGGTTCTTTCGCCGAGATGGCTTCGATGTATGGGCCTAAATCACTTTTGCTTGTGGAAAAGAGTAAACGGCTGACTGGTTATCTAGCTCGCCAATTGCGGGAGCGCAGTACCACTGGAGTGCTGAGCATTCGCCTGTCAGATGGCGCGCCATCATTAGCTATGTGCAAGGCTGGGTTACTATTACCGGATGGGTCGCAGCTGTGGCATCAGTCTGTTTCTTGATTGCGACCATGATTCAAGGCGTCGCGGTTCTCAACTACTCCGGCTACGAAGCGAAGCGGTGGCATGCAACACTGATGATGATCGGATTTGCTGGAATTGCCGCACTTGGAAACACCTACGGCAAGAAATTTCTGCCCCTTTGGGAGACCTTGGGAGGGTTTCTACACGTGCTATTCTTCTTCATTGTCTTTATTGCCATTCTAGCCACAAGCACCAAGGCCAGCAACAAGGATGTTTGGGGTACATTCATAAACGCCGGCGGCTGGAGCAGCGATGGTGTCAGCTTTTGCATTGGGTTCCTCACACCCGCATTCGCACTTGCGGGTGTGGATGCGGTCGTCCACATGAGCGAAGAAGCATACAATGCTCCCCTCAATATTCCTCGTGCGATGATCTGGTCAGTCACAATCAATGGCTTGGCTGGCTTCGTATATATCATCACCATCCTTTACGCCATCACCGATACCGATGCGGTTTTTGCAACCCCTACTGGATACCCTATCATCGCCGTTTTCCTGCAAGCCACCAACAACCAGAAGGCTGCGACCGCAATGATAACCGCCGTCATCATTGTCTTCACTATGAACCTCTTTGGGTGCACAGCATCAGTTTCCCGACTTATCTGGGCCTTTGCGAGAGATCATGGTCTTCCATTTTCGGGCTTCTTCTCGCACATCACACCTTGGAACAAATGCCCGACCAACGCTGTCGTCTCAATTTTTGTCTCGGTCTCCCTTCTCTCTCTCATCAACATTGGATCTACAACTGCTTTCAATGCCCTAATCTCTTTGACGACGCTGGGCTTTTACTTCTCGTATGCGATCCCGACCGTCATGTTCGCTCTTCGTCGTTACAACACATCCAACCCCATCAGTTTTGGGCCTTGGACGATGGGGAAGTTCGGTCTGGCCATCAATGTCCTTGCGGTCGCATTCTGCATTTTCCTCATCATTTTCTTGCCCTTCCCGCCTTATCTTCCAGTCACCGGACCGAATATGAACTATGCCTCTCCTGTATTCGGATTCGTCATGATTTGCGCAACTCTCAACTACGTCCTACGAGCTCGCAAGAAGTTTACTGGTCCTATCAAGGAAGTCAGCAGCGAGACCAGCAGTGAGGAGGTTGTTCATGAGTCTGTCATTCCGGAAAAGCAGACTGCAAGCTCGGAGTCTTCTTGAAGGAAATCGTTTCAGAGTATTCTTTCGAGATCAGCTCAATTTGGAAACCTTTGGCCTGTCTCTGGACACTTCACCTTCGATCAGGGCGCACGATGATGTGGAAAGGAAAAGTCCGAGGGTATTTTTCTCAGATTCTCAGGCTGCCTTGTTGTATATACGCTTGTACATACCTTCTCATTTGCTTCGAGGAACCCCGATGCGAAATCCAAGTCAAACCTAGAAAGATCTGATATTTCACCTATACTCGAGTGCTCTTGTCACTCATTTCATGTTTCTTGTTGCGTCTTGTCCGTGCGGGACAATTGTATGCATGTAGAGTTTCGGTTTCTCGACGGCGATTCCTGTTCCGCAAAGCTGAGTTGTTGACCATGGATAGCAGTACTGAAAGGGGGGTTGTCACTCTCTTGCTTTGCTATCGGGCACAAGTTGAGATCTCCAAGATTATCGCACATCCCAACAGATAGCACAAAATGGTGTCTAACATGATCCGCGTGATGTATTCCGAGTACCCTATCGTCTTATTATATTGGGTGTTCCGTGAGTTTCTTTCAGCCACAAACGCCAGCATATGGCGGAATTAAATTTCCCTGGCTGTCTGGAGGTTATAAAGATGACCTCCATATTTGTGAATGCGACAACAGGTTACGTCGAGGCCGATACTAGCAAATGGTGTACTATGTATCATTAGGTTCTTCCAGAGACGTCGGCGTTAAGGAGCGTCGTACGCATAATAGGTGCTCCCTTTTTGCCTATTTTTCAAAACGCGACAGGTAGCAGGTGCTCAATCGGATCAGCAGCCACGTTATGACGATCAGAAGATCTACTTCATCCGATCGTCGTGATCAACAGCTCCACTTTCGATATGCCAGTATCATAACTTCTCAAATTGGACGAGTGGTAAGAGGATAGGTAACTTTTTTGACATCCTAGGTAGTGGCGTCAGTGCCCCGATTTTGTCTGTCCCTTACCAAGCTGTCACTGTGGCCTCTGCAAATTTACAGAACTTGTCTATGTCAGTCCTACCCAATGAAAGAGAAGCCGCTCAATTTCCGCAGAACTGACTTTGGCCTGCTGTGGGGGTGCCTTAACACTATCATCGAGCTGCCAGCAATAAATATCACCTGAAGCAGGAATTATCATTGCGTTACTGAACTTGCGGGGGGGGGGGTCTCATCATCTCTATATGAGACTGTAGCGGCATTTGACACGCGACTCATGATTTCGCTTCGCGTGGACTCAAGAAACATCTGAGCCTCCGAAGCTCTCACAAAACACTTGGAGCCGGAAGCAATTTTATTCCGGTGGTGCTAAGTTCTACCTTTGGGAGCTAATTTTAGATCTTGCTCTCAGAGCCAAGGCTTGGTTCGCAATCGTGTTCTTTAAGTACTTCGGTTTTCCGGCTTTTGTGGGGCGGGCAACGAAATGCTCAAACATGTTGAAGCTGTTCAGTATACCCCGTTGTCAAACGGGTAGGCAGGCGAGCTTCCGGGAGAGTCTGCGGGCACTGTAATCCATACTCCCTACATTGCGTAATTGTGGCTGTGGCTGTAGGGCAGGGTGCAGCCACAGATCTTTTTGTGTTCGCGAGAGACCGAGATGTTGATCGTGGTGCCAGAGTCTGAATACGCAGTCCAAACCATGAGCCCTGACGGTGCCTGATGAGCCCTAATAGTCGCTGTCCTTTTTTGACGTTGCCCCTGAATGGGACAGCCTAGTCCGTAATAGGAAAGGTGACAACCCCTGGCGTAAACCTTGTCACGTGGAGCTGTGCACCTCCCCAATCAACCTCTCGCGGAATCACTCCATCCCCCTCCACTTCAACATCAAAAGCCTGATCCGGAGATTTGAATCACATCCCACAAACACAACCGCGAAAAGTCGCTTTCCATCTGAGAGGCTTTCGCCGCTTACGCCATCCGATCGTGAAGCGCTGTTGCCCTCAAACTCCTTCCCCCGTCCTCCTCAAGCCACCGAAATGTAACATCATCCTCCTTATTTCCCCTCGGTCATGCATAGGGCTGTTCTTTGAGACTGCTTCATCCTGCGGGAATGCGACTATGAGAGCGCTTCGATCGCTTTTGGCCCCATACGGGGACCGAGGCGTCATGTACCGCAGTATATCCGTGAGCCCAATTTCAGTATAGATCCAACGGTAAGGGTGTTCCAGGTTGCTGGGTGGAGAGCCCTTTTGTCATCCCCTCCCAAGGCGCCTCGTCACAGAAGGAATGGTACAGACGCTTCGTCATACATATGGTCGCATTTTGACTTGTGCCTTTTTGCTTCTCCTTCTTTCCCTCTCTCCTACGCTTTCCTTCATCTACGATCTTTACCTTTGCGTTTGCAGGCGATTGCTTGCGTCCAGTCCTTCCTTTACGGGCGCCTTCAGCCCACACACTCCTTCGCTGCGTGATTTTTTGGCCCTTCCCATTTCAATTCGCTCTTTTCTCGTCTCCGAAAGTGTAAAACCTACATCATGCATTCAACCAGTTTCACCGCCAGCTTGCTGGCCACGGCGGCTTTCATTTCATCTACCACGGCATCACCGATTTTCGGAACTCGCTCTATTGCCGCAAAAAGAGGCTTTTCTCAGCCAAGTCTGGCTGTCTACTGGGTGGGAAAGGCATCCATGACTTGTCTACCCTGTTCGGCGCTGATCGTGTATAGGGGCAAGGACCGAATCAGAAACGCTTGGCCGATTTCTGCGCGGACACTACGATGGACATCATCCCTATTGGCTTCGTGAATGTCTTCCCCGACCAAGCAGACGGTCCGGGAACAAATTATGGAAATGCTTGTGGCGGCGCAACTTGGCAATCGCCAGACGGCACCATGACTAGTGTGTACACGACATGCTACCAGATCGCGGAGGACATTCCCATCTGCCAGGCTATGGGCAAAAAGATCTTTGCCTCGATTGGAGGCGCCTCTCCAGGAAATTTCATCGCCTCGTCGGATTCCGCCAAAGCCTTTGCCGACTTTCTCTGGGGCTCGTTCGGTCCTCTACAGGATCCCACCATGGTGGAGTATCCCCGACCGTTTGGCTTAACTACCGTTGTGGATGGGTTCGATTTGGATATCGAGTCTGGTGGTGATTTCGGATACGCCGACCTGGTCAATGAGCTGCGAGCCAAGTTCACCGAGGACAGCTCCAAGACCTACTACATCTCGTCCGCACCACAATGTGTTGTGCCAGATGCTCATCTTGATGACGCGATCAAAAACTCCATGATCGATTATGTGTATGGGCCCCCTCCTCTCATGCCTTGAATAATGCACAGCTGACGCACATCAGATTCGTCCAATACTACAATACCGATCAATGCTCAGCAGCGTCGTTGTTCAGCTCGGGTGCGCTTGACACCACTACTGACATCACGTTTGGCTGGGCGGACTGGCTCAAAGGTAATTCGATGAATCAGGATATCAAGATGTTCCTCGGTCTTCCAGCGTCAACAAGCGCTGCTAATCCCAACTACTACCTCGATCTTGACCAAGCGCAGGCTCTGATTGAGGAATATGCGTGCTCGAGCACATACCAGAACATTTTCGCAGGTGTGATGCTTTGGGAGGCGACCTACTCGGACAACAACCAGATCAACGGCAAGAGTTATGCTGGCAACATCAAGGACATCTTTGGTCAGCTCTCTTGCAGGCCACCGACAACAACCACGACCTCGACAACCACAACCACCACCACAACCTCCACAACAACAACCACTACCACAACGACGACGACTACTACAACTACAACTACAACCACCACCAGCACCATCCCCACAACTACGCCGACGACAACAACAACAACGACGACGACGACGACGTCTACAACGTCAACTATCCCAACAACTACACCGGAAACCACGTCGACGACGAGCGTCTCTCTGGCTGTTCCCACTTCGACCTCGTCTTCTACCACGAGCAGCTCCGAGTCCCCCGTCGAAACAACATCAAGCACTACATCGGTAGCTCCTGTCACAACCACTACAACCACAAGCTCTGAAACCACAACCTCATCTTACAATCATGGCCCTGGAGGTGGATCTACAACCTCGAGCAGCTCCGAAACAACCACGACCTCATCTTACAATCATGGCCCTGGAGGTGAATCTACAACCTCAAGCTCTGAAACCGCGACGACCACATCTTATACCAATGGCCCTGTTGGTGGATCTACAACCTCAAGCTCCTCAAGCAGCAGCACCACCACCACCACCACCACCACCACCACCGCTTCCAGCGAGTCCTTCAGCCCGGTCGGTAGAACCAGCTCTCCAACAAGCTCAAGCCACCCTACAACTTCCTACAGCCATCCCGTTGAGGTGACAACTTCCTTGAGCAGCTCAAGCGCTACATCATCACCAGCTGAAACTACCAGCTCGTACAGCCATCCATATGGTCACAGTTCCTCATCGACTTCCTCTAGATATGTTGGGCCTGCCACAACTTCCAGCTCGTCTTCTGCAACCTACACAACCAGCTACCAGTGGGCAGACTGGACCTCCTCAAGCAGCAGCCCAGTTGGTGCTGTGACCACCAAAGCCTCAACGACAAGCGGTCACGTAACCTGGGGTGACTGGACCACGAGCAGCACCACCTCTAGCCCAGCTGGCGAGTACACAGTTACTGTCTGGACCACGGAATATACCGACATCGGTCCCCATGGCTTCACCAAGCATCCGTTCCACTTGACCACCACTGTCCCGGTTTCGCCAGCAACCACCACTGCGCCCTTCGTATGGCCGACCAAGGCCGATGGATGCCCCAGGGGATTCCACACCACGGAGACTGTTTGCTACGTGTGCGGTCCTGGCATGACGACGGTGACTCTGACAGTTCCCATGCCCACTGCCACCGCCACCGCCGTCATGACTCAGACTGTTGTGCCCGTCAAGCCCACTGGTGAAGCAGCAGCGCCCGAACACCCGTCTGGCACTGCCAGCACTGAGACCCCTGTCGCAGCTGCCACAGGCGCTGCGGGCTGGAGCTACTCTCAGCCTGCTGGTGGCCCAGCCAACACGGCGACCCCTGTCGCAGCGGCATCCATCTCGCCAGCAAGTAACAGTGGATGGCTCGCGCCATCTGGCACGCCTGTTGCCGCTGCGTCCTCCACCCCAGTGGCGCCTATCAACGTCACGCCCTTCACCGGCGGCGCTGCGGCTCAGAGCCAGCTCCCAGGCACAGTGTTGAGCGTGGTGATCTGCGCTGCTGTTGCTGTTACCGGCCTGTTCTTGTAAACGTGTCGCCGTAATGGATGGGAGGGTGGGTGGAATATAGGGGGCCGACATTGAGTTGGCGGTGTGACAGGGAAAAGGGACAGATGTAACGAACAACCCATCTTGAATCTATCTATCTACTACACATATACCCCACCATAGCATGGCAAGCAGGTATAGGCATGTTCTGGATTTTTGGATCCTCTCTCTGTTGTTTTTCTGTTTCGTGCGATTCCCTTCATGTACATGGATATGAAGTACCTACCATACATTTTAGAAGCGGTGTATACCTGCAATCAATCAAGCAATAAAACATTGCCGCTGCAAAAGCCAGCCTATGCGATATATAGATTGGTGAAGGAGGTGGCCATTTTCCTACCTCCATGCCAACTGGCACGTGGCTGGACGGATGGGGAAGAATGTTGATGTGTGCGGAGTCGCAAATCAAAATGCGAAATCCTCTTGATCCTCTCATTCCGCCTCGTACCACCGCTCACCCTCCCCCCGACGGTTGCCCCTTCTTTTGTCGCAACCTGGCCGCTCTTTCTTTTGCTTTATGCTCATGCACACGCTCTTTTAGCCATGACAGTCACTCGCACGCAGGCGGGCAAAACACCCAAGTATGCTTCACCAAACATAAACGGTTGGCCGTCCCCGTGCTAATTCACGGCAGGAAAACATTGCGACCGGACTATGTCGAAACTCCTGGCACATATGGGAAGCCTCGACCGCGCAAATCACTTGCTGCCGTTGAGAAATATGGTACTAGAGTCTCTTCTACCGGACATCAGGACGACAATGACACGATCGTTATCGCGACGCGACGCGTCGATAATGCTAAAGAGGAAACAATGAATGGACATGCCAATGGACATGTCAAGCCGATGACAAATGGACACATCGGCAAGGCAGAAAGTCAAGAGAAGGTCTCCGCGGAACGATTGGTGGACGGATGGCGACCAGGAATGGACGCCAAAGTCGACACATCGGGACATTTCGAATTTGGAGGACCGTGGGGAGTGACTGCGATGATGATCGGCTTTCCATTGCTGATGTACTACATGTGGATTGGTGCCACATACTACGACGGCAAATTCCCGACACCCAGAGAGGGCGAGTCTCCAACAGATTTCCTTTATGGTCTCTTCCGCATGGCCTACTACGGCGCCTGGCCGTCCACAAAGGCCTGGGTCATGTACTGGACGTTCTGCGTCTTTGAGGGCGCTTGCTATTGCCTGATGCCGGGTATCTGGACCAAGGGCAAGCCATTGCCTCACGAGAACGGGCTCAGATTGGATTACTACTGCAGCGGAATGTGGTCGTGGTGGGCAACCATCATCGTGGCTCTGGGTCTTCATTTCTCTGGCCTCTTCAAACTGTATACCATTATTGACGAGTTTGGCCCTCTCATGTCGGTGGCCATCATTTCCGGCTTTTCTGTCGCAATCATCGCATACATTTCAGCCATTTATCGGGGCAAGCAGCACCGTATGACAGGGTATCTGATGTATGACTTCTTCATGGGTGCGGAGCTCAATCCCCGCATGTTTGGAATTCTCGACTTCAAGATGTTCTTTGAAGTTCGACTTCCTTGGTACATCCTGTTCCTAATAACGTTGGGAACGGCTGCACGGCAATATGAGCTTTACGGACACGTTTCTGGCGAAGTGGGATTCTTACTCATGGCGCACTTTCTGTACGCAAATGCGTGTAGCAAAGGCGAAGAATGCATTGTACCAACCTGGGATGTGTATCACGAAAAATGGGGCTTTATGCTGATCTTCTGGAACCTGGCCGGCGTGCCCTTGACCTACTGCCACTGCACAATCTTCCTGGCCAATCATGCTCCAAGCACTTATGTGTGGAACAAATATGCACTTGCAGCTTTGTATGTGGCATACTTGTTTGTCTATTGGGTCTGGGATACTACAAACAGCCAGAAAAACCGCTTCCGGGCAAAGGAATCAGGTGGTGCCATCACTCGAAAAGCGTTTCCACAGTTACCGTGGCAGACCGTTGAGAACCCCAAAATCATCAGAACAGAAGACGGGGGGACAATTCTTGCGGATGGCTGGTGTAAGTTGCTCGAGATGCACCTTGGTTGCTTGACTAATGTTCTCGCAGACGGCTATGCAAGGAAGATCCATTACACTTGCGACTTCTTTTTTGCCCTTTCATGGGGGGCAGTGACGGGATTCAGGTCACCCTTCCCATGGTTCTATCCTGTCTTCTTCACAGCAATGATCATTCACCGGGCCACACGAGACATTCAGAAATGTCGGAAGAAGTATGGCAAGGCATGGGAAGAGTATGAGAGACAAGTCCCGTACTTGTTCATCCCTGTGAGTCAAGGAATACCCCCGCATATTCACCCTGAGGCTGACAGTTTCATAGTATGTATTCTAGATTCCGTGAAGGGACAGCGACATCCCCTTACTGGTGACTCTCACTTGGCAGTGCAAAGTCCTAGCGCCTTTGAATATCTGCTCGTTTGAAGTTCAGGATAGAAAATCTTCCTCCCACCTGTCCTGTATCACTCACAGAACCATGATATATATATAAAGCGCTCACCGGCGCCCATCCGAGTCGAGGACAACATCATATTCTCGGCGTCTCGGCGCCGAGAACTATTCACTGTCGTCGTCGACGGATTTTCTTGCCCGTCCCCATTCACACGACTTTTCTGCCGGCGCTCCTCTGCTTTGAGTCGAAATTTGACCTTCTTTGACTTCACTGCCACCACTCACCTTTCAACATTCCTCATCTTCTCTCATCTCACCTTTGTCACGTGTTCCTCATTCAAACAACCACATTCGACACTTGAGTGACAGCGACAGTCTCTGGCTGCTCTGGCAACAAGGCTACAGTCAATCCGGTACGTGTCTGACCATCTCCTCGGCAGTGCCCACAAGATCAGTGATCTTTGTACTGCCTTTGACAGCTTCATCTTTTAAGACGGTGTTGCTAAACAATTCTATCCCGGCCCGTGTCCACTGATGTATCAAGTTACTGATCCTTTGCCATAACTCAAGTGCAGACTTTCCCAAACCAAACTCCTACCGATCTCTCAACCTCTACTCAGCTCACCTCAACTCTGTGTCATCTCAGACCAGGCAATCAACAGTTCTGCGAGCGAGTTTCCAAGGATACGGAAGATTTTGTTGCGGTGTCCGGACCTCTCAGAAGATCACAGACCTAAACAGTAAGTCTCTTCGATCCGCTTTCGTATGAACACAGAAGTTAACAGCTTTGTCGCAGCAACATCAGCTCAAGGAACTGTAACCATTCATCCACTTTTTCTCGACCAGCAATCATGAAAACTTCGACCTTGATTACGGAACTTTTGGTGGCTGCCTTGGGCGCCTTCGGCATCCAGACCGCTGCCCCTCCACCGTTCCATGGTGTTGGTATTCTCGCCCCTTTCAATCATTCGGTCCAAACCAGCAGCGATGACTTTCTTGCCAATCTTCCCACTATGACACCAACTCCAGTCACAGCTGCGCCTCCACCGACCTTGGTTTCTCTCGGCTTGCCCTGGACTCTGTCAACCCTTGCCTCTCAAAGCTCTGCTATGACTCCGGTCTTGGCTCCTGCAGCCGAAACAGTTACTATTTCAGTCACTGGCGACAATGCCACCACGACCTTGCAGAGCAACGACGCCACTACTGGTGTGCTTTCAACCTCTTCGGCTTCGGTCTCTTCTGTTGTGCCTGTCACCACGATCACGGTTTCTCCTCTGGCTGCGTCTTCAAGCGCCGAACCTGCCAGCGACAGCTATCCCTCGGCAAATGAAACCTCAAGCGGTCCTGAAATGAGCACTTCGTCTGTCCTCGGCCCACCTACCACGGCGTCACCAAACAGCACAGCCTCTGCCACCGACCAGCGCAAGTCGCTGAGTCGGGGGCAGAGGGCTACTGCAATCGCCGTGCCCATCATGGGCCTGCTCCTCATCGCCATCGCCGTTGCCGTTGGATACTGGCTGAGGATCCGTCGTCGAGAGCGCCAGCGGGCCGACTGCCTTGAACAGCGGGCCCGCTGGTTCCGACAAGACCACAACGACTGGATCCGTGCTCAGATGAGCACTTTCGATGAGAACAAGGTCGGCCGGAACCCGTTCGCGACGCCGACTCCAAGCAGCGACACGATTTGTCGCCCAAGAACGCGCCCTCGGCAGTTCTCTGGGTCGACGATCGTTGTCAACCGCCCGGAGGAGGCAGCCGTCGATCGGGTGGTTCGTCGACGCGGCGGCGTCGAGAATCTGCGCTCTTGAAGCGCTCCGGCGGGTGAGAGGGAAGGAGGAGGAAGGCGGGGGGCCGTGAGCGGGTGTGGTGGTTTTTTTCTTTCTTTTCGGTGTAGATAGGCCGCTTGGCGTTTTTAGACAGCACGTGACACAGTGTCACAGACCCAATTCGTGAGCTTTTCCATCAGACGCGTTTCTCTCTTCTACTTGTAAACGGTAGCATCGATGAGCGTTGTATATGCCGCCCCCTGTCTTCACAAAGGTAGCGTATTGAAGCAACGACCTGGATGTCAGCGTTTGTCCGACACCCTTTATATCGAGTTTCTGTGAACAGAACCGCACTCCTCGTTATCGCCTTGGTGCGATCTCAACTCATCGCTGCTGTCTTCAACCATGTCGAGTGCCAGTCCTCTCTCATCACCTATAATGAACCGCCGTTCACACAAACAGCCTCCTAGCGTACTCCTCCACGCCGACCATCGTGATCCCCTGCGTCGCACTCCACGTCTGCTCTTTGGGCCAACTCAACCCCTTCCCCTCCGCGAAGACAACCCTGTACCTCTTGATCTTGTCTGCGGGGTCGATCCTGCTCTCTTCCTTCAGGTGACTCAGCGGCCACACCAGTCTGACGACCTCCACGCCTAGGGGCGCTACGACGCGCTCGATCGTGTCTGCGAACGCGCCGTAGCTCAGCGTATCGCCGGCGATGTACACCGGCGTGTTGACGGGTGAATCGGGCGTGAAGAGCAGCTCGGCCGTGCACTTGCCGATGTCCTCTGCCGTGGTGGCGGTGATGAGGTCGTCCCAGGAATTGAGGGCCGTGATTTGGATCTTCTCCCTCGCTCCTCCTGCATCTTTTTCGCTCGCGCTTTTGCTGGATCTGATGCTGGCGCTGATTCCGGCGGTGCCGCTGCTGTCTTCAGCCGCTGCAGATATCGGTGGTAGCCTCCTCACAACCCCCCAAAAGTCTTCGAACAAAAAGCTCATGAAGATCCCGCAGCTGAGCACCACCCAGTCCGTCGTCGTCTGGCCCCTCAGCAGCTCCCGCACGCCAATCTGCTCGCTGAACATCCCCTGTCCGCCCTCGCGGCCGATAATATCGTAGTCCACGCCATGTTGCCAGGGAACGTAGTAGGGCACTCGCGCCTCGAGGACAGCGCGGGTGACTTTGGTCATCGTCCCCGGCGGCAGCGCCATGCCGCCGGCGTGGAGCACCGCAGTGAAGGGCGCGAAGAGCTGCGCCAGCACAGCCTGCGACGACGCCTCGATATCGCCTGGGATGATGGCCACACCGCGGGAGCGCAGGAGCGCGTGTTGGGACTGCTGCGCGGGCGACGGGTGGGCCAGGCTGCTTGGTCGGATCAGGAGGGTTAGGCTTGTGTTGGCGGGGGAAAAGCTTGGGTGCGAGAGGATGTTGGAGAGGATGGCCCGGCCGAGTTCGCCGGCGCCCAGGACGAGGATGGACCGTGTCCGCGGCGGCACGGCTGGTTTTTGTTGGTGCTGCTGCCGGTGTTGTTGCGCCATAATAGCGTAGCAGAGACCTCCCTACAGTAGCAAGCAAGCAGGCACCCTCTTCCTGTGAACCAACCCTTGGATCAGACCTGGATTTGATTCGGGGAGCAAGCTATGTATAGACCTAATCTTAATAGATCCCTCTCTCTCACCCTCTCTCTCTCTCTCTTGACTCTCTTGAGTTATCCGCAAGTCAGCTAACAGAGCACAGAGCACAGAGCACAGAATAGAGAGTGCAAAATACAAGTCAAGAAGTGAAGAGAGAACATGGGAGGCGCATATCTGCATTCCTAGGTCCATACACGTGTCTTATATACTTATCCCCGACCCCTACCCAGTCAGCGTCGAGACGGAAGTCAATTAGTAACCAAAGGTCCTATATCATACCCACCTGGGTTAGTTACATAGTTCCAGCCTTGTCCTCCACACAAGGAGCAGGGAAAAGGGTCCGCTGCCTTAAAGCCGGCCCGGCACAAGGCCTCTTCAGGCGCGATGGTGTTATTCTGGATGAATTAGACCTCGGGCATGAATAAGCAGGGTTGTTCTGGGCAGACACAGTCCGCCGTACCGGGACGCCCGAGGCCTTGGCTGCGGGCCGGAGTTTAGGTTGTCTACTCCGCGGCTGGGCTGGGCTGGGCGGGATGTACATTGTCATCGGATGTAGCTCTGCTACGAGTCCCGTAGACGGAGGAAAAGAGGACACAGGGCAGGGCGGAGGGCTACTTTGCGGTGATGAAATCACGGGGGATGCGCTGCTTGATGATCAATCGAAATTAGGAAGACCGCACCAAACAAGAATGGAGAACGAGAAGGGAAAAAAAAGTTGGGCGAAACATGCCTTTGGCCGTAGATCTCTATATAATACATTTCATTGACGAGTTGATTCAGTCAGGCTCCTTCCCACCCACAAAAGCCGCGGTACCACAACCTCTTATTCGCATTTCGGAAAAGACAGTAAAGCCATCTTGGCTTCGCGGTACAAGACGGATGATCCCTAGAGAGCAAAAGAATTCCCGGGTACCGTCCTACATAGATCCCCATCCCATTGCCGACAGTCCCTCCCTATGCCAAACTGACCAGAGCTACAATGAGGACCTCATCCGGTGCCGTCAATGGATTTCTGTCATTAGACCCTGTCTCCAATTCCATCCCAAACTTTTTGATGTTCCTTTTAGTTCGCCGGCCCTGGCGTTGGCGGCTTTCTCCCGTAAACAATATGTAATCGAGTATATAAATGGTAATCAGGGTTGTTCAGATCTTTTCTGGCCCCAGCCAAGAGAACCTCAACCTCTGCCGGTTGCCAACCTAGTACTCGGGTGAAAAGCGCTAGACTGTAAGCTTGCATTGCTTCGGTCATTATCGCGTTCATATTCATGCCCAGACTCCTCCGACGAGGCTCCTTGGGCCATGGAGACAGCGGAACCTGGACAACTGCGTCAGAAATCTCCGCGAACAGAGATGCGATCATACCTTGTGGACCTCGTGGACAATATCTTGGAATCCTGCTCGGTCCACTAGGCCTTTGATTTGAGGGCTTATATTCATTATACGGCCGAACTTCTCTGCCGCGTGGCTGAGTTCGGTTTGCCACTGGGACAGAACGTTAGATTCAGCTGCTGTGTACAGGTTCCATTGCTTTCAAATCTTACCGTATGCCAATATGAATGATCTGGGAGACTATCATCGTCTGTGCTGCCCCATGCTTCGCGCAGGTCAATAGTTGTCTCGTTGGTGCAGAATTTACGAAGTCACCTTCAAAGTCGATGACTTCTAGCCATCCTCCTGGTTTGAGATTTTCCATGCACTGTTGAAATAGCTTTTCCCAGTCCGCTATACTACCACCCTGTGATTCCAAGCAAGTTAGGTCCCGATCATAGTGTTATTAATGGCTTGCTCCTTGATTCGACTAGGCCTCGGACCATCTGAGTGGATTGAATATCAACATACCATATGCCCAAGACGAATAAAATCAAAACTGCGCTCAAAAGCCCACTCTGATTCGCAGTCATCTATGAGGAATTCCAGATTTGGAGGGACCCAAGTCGGTTGAATCGGAGATAAATCCGTAGCGACAACCTCTGCCATGGGGAAAGTGTCGGCAATTTGAATTGCCCTGGGTGAGAAATCAGCTTTGGAAAATCACCGTCTGGGCATACAGGCTAATCCGACCAAATTCCAGTCCCGGTGCCTATGTCAAGGATGCGTTGGGGAGCTTCAATTGGTGCTTTGTACAGCTCTCCCCCGAGAACCATAGATTGGACATGATGGAGCAGATCGAGTCTTTCCTGCTCCTGCTCATCATTGGGAGCGAAATATTTTCCAGCCTTGTAGGAGTGGTACCGGCGGCCGTTTTCGTACTGAAAGTCGAAAGCGCTCGAAGATACAGAAGTACATTCGGAATAGGCGCCTATGCTCTCGGCATAAGCAGAATCGGCATCGCCGTCGTCAGCCATAGAGAACTGATTCTCAAAGGGCCGTGATTCGAGGCTCCGAAGAAGTTCGATTCATGGTGCTGATGACCCGTATGCAACCATGGGCAGATCTCATGAGTGGAAAAGCAAGACAGAAAGAATATATTAGACCTGGGTCAGATATCTCAGCCTGCACGCAGATGCGGGCCTCTAGGTACCAGGTCTTGAGCGTGTTCTTGGTCTCAGGCATGCCGTCTCCACCAAAGGATGGGGGATGGATAAGCAGTAACAACGGGCGAATAGAAAAGCCGTTCACACCACTGATGGTGGTGAACAGGCAGCTTGACGCAATGGCTCGTAAGCAACGACCAGGCATGGTCGCTGCTCTAGCGTTCGCCATCATGGGCGTCACTGTACGAGGTACATAGGTTTGGTTGTGAAGAATAGATAGATCACCCCGGGATGTCGACCCTCCACCTAGTGGGGAACTTGCATGGCAACATTAGCCTTTTTGTCGATTGAGTTTCAGAGAGTTTGCGTAAGTGGCACTAGATGGCCGATTCGATTCGCTTCGTATGCAGGAAGCAACGGACGAGGGAAGTTGAGGAACGCCAAAGCTGCTTGCAGTCGCTAGTGGTGTGCACAAAGCACATGGCTTCTTCGTCCCACATGTTGGTGACTAGTTTTTTTTTTTTTTCGGAAGAGATAGCCTCCCAGCCATGAGTGGACAACCATCCAACATCCCAAGTCGGAAAGATGCATCTCGTTTGCATAGGTGGTAGTTGAGGGATGGCAGCTCGGCAAGGGTGACAGTGGACAAGAGGTACCTCGAGGGACGTCTAGGGGCCCCCTCGCCTTTCTGTGGTACCTCGGTCCATGGCGAAGTATTCTTACTTCGTACAGGGACTTTTGATTTCCAAGATTTGTGAGTAGCGGGGCCAGTGGTGGTGGTGATGGGGATGGTGTTAGTGGTGGTGTTGGAGCGAGGGTTGCAGGCGCGGATGTACGTTGCCTGCGGGTGCGCATCACAAGCACCACTATGCCGCCCACAGCCAGTTCAAACTGTTGCAACATCCACCATCCATCCATCACCCACCACCACCGTGATCCATCAACCAACCACCTCACCAACGAATTGAGATCGGGACTTGTGCCTCCGAGAGGACCCATGCCAGGTACTGGGTACCTCGTGCCTTCGAGTACTTACCACTCGGTATGGCCATTTCCGAGGGAGCAACCCGTTGATTGTCACTGTTATTGAGCTGACAGTCTCCTCCATCTCGCCGTGGCCTTTTGCCCATCGCCCTCCTGGGCGGTGTCTGAGTGCCGGCAAAGAGATCGCCGGCCCAATTGTTGTTGTTTCCTCTCAGACAAAGCTAACCAACTGCTCGCAGCTTCCTACTGCGGCCCTCCACTATCCTCTGACCACAACCCCCTGTCCTTATGCGAGAATCTGCAGAGCAACCCTTCCTCCCGGCCTTAACCCCAAGATAGGCAGTTCGCTTTTGTGTCCTTCTGTCTCGAAGATGCGGATCCAGGGCGTATCCAGAAGCGCTCGCTATCGCCCAAACTGTGAACCACTCCGTCCACTCGATTTTGGGGCAAAACAATTCCAACTGTTCGGCAAGAATCATCTGTTGTCCTTTATACTCGACATGCTTTCAGAGCTGCGCTCTTGTTAGGGATAGTGCGTGTTGTGACCACAGTCTAAAGATGGCACTCATTTCGTACATGAATCTCGCCATCCTATGGGCATTGGCATGCCTGGGCGGCCTTTCGGTTGTCGTGATCTATCGCTTGTTCTTTCACCCCCTCTCGAAGATCCCTGGACCCAAACTTGCAGCGATCTCGCGCCTTTATGACTTCTATTATGATTGCATTCAGGGAGGAAAATTCGTCTTCAAGATTGAAGAACTCCATAAACAATATGGTAAGCCATTTCACAGTAGCTCTGTGGCGGTTACCAACTAGTTTGCAGGACCCATTGTTCGGATAGGACCCAACGAGGTCCATATCCATGACCCGGATTTTTTCGATGAGTTCTACAATGTGACTAGCCGTCTCGATAAAGACGCATGGTACTATGCTTTCGTTGGGTCGAAAGATGCTGGCTTTGGTACCGCCAATGTCGACCTCCATCGCGCCAGGCGAAAAGCAATGAGTCGATTCTTTGCAGCCTCAGCCATCTCAAACCTGGAATCATCTTCGCGAGAAAAAGTATGCAAGCTCTGCCAACGCCTGAGGAATATGCGTGACGAAGGCAAGCCCGTCAATCTTTCCAATGCCTTTCGCTGCCTCGCCGCCGACTCTGTCACCAATTAGTGAGTTCCCCCCCCCCCCCCCCCAAAGAGACTAGAGGCTGCTCAAGAACAACCACCCTAACAATTCGCAGCTGCATGCCGAAAGCCTTCAATCTGCTTGATTCAATTGACTTCGCAGATGACTACAACCGGCAGGCTCGTGTCATCTCCCACATTGCCGCGTGGCATCGTCACATTCCAATCATCATCCCTATATTCATGCGGATGCCCAGATGGCTTGTTGCAGCTACCTCCACTGAAGGGGGAGTAATGGCATTTGACTTCCAGACGGTAATTCCGTCCGAGGTTCTTTTGTCGCCGGGGACTGACCACGTTTAGGATTTGGCGCGACAGGCGGCGGATGCCGTTCATGCCGAGAAGCGAAGCGACAAATCCGTGCTTGATGGAATCATCAACTCAGACGCTATTCCAGAGAGCGACAAGACCGTCGATAGGATAACCCAAGAAGCGCGGACACTGGTTGGTGCTGGAAGCGAGACCACAGGAAATACTTTGGAGACTATTACATTCCACGTTCTCGCCAACCCGGAAAAGCTTCGACGACTGAAGGAAGAATTGGCCCGTGCAGTTGAGTCGTCCAAGGGTACGGAAGATCCTTTGACTAACTACAGCACGCTGCAACGCCTGCCTTACCTCACTGCCGTCATCAATGAGGGGCTGCGAATTGCATGCAGTGTCTCAGGCCGACTTGCGAGAGTGAATCCTCGACAAGCGTATACCTACGGATCGTACGTGTTGCCGCCAGGCACAGTCATCAGCATGGCCATCCGAAGCAATCATACCTTTGAGCAAGTGTATCCCGAACCACTGTCGTTCAAGCCAGAACGGTGGCTGGTGGAGGGGGAGGAGCTGAAAAGGCTAGAGAAATACTTTGTCCCTTTCGGACGTGGAGGAAGGAGCTGTATCGGCAAAGAGCTGGCAATCATGAATCTTTATCTGACCATTGCAAGTTTTTTTCATCAGTTCGATGCTGAACTTTTTGAGACGACGCGGAAGGATATTGAGATTGAGCACGACTACTTTTCTCCATTTCCGGCTGTCGACTCGAAGGGCTTGCGGGTCATGCTCAAGTAGCGCTGCCATGGAGCTGGGGGTTGCATTGTTCGTCAAGTAGTTGCTGTATCATGGCTTCCCGTCCACAGACTTGCCTATTGGGCTGGGCGTATATCACATATTATTGACATGAAGATGGCGGTACGGTTCTTGGCAAGGTCGCATACCAGTAACAGGAGGAACTATACTGGGTACGCAGCGTTGATTGATGGCTGCCTGTCAGACGGGGCTGTTTTAACGAGATACGAAGTACGAGTGGACATACTGAGTATAGTATTACTCGATACGAAGCGGTCGGCTAATCTCAGTCATGGCGCCGGCAACTGGTGGGAAACGAATCCTCGAATCTTCTTTGAAATTCACTCTATAGAAATGAATATTTCTCCTTAAACGGCTTAATTAAACAGTCTATCTTTGTGTGTATACGTGGCGTTGGTGGATAAGAAATCCTTCTGCCTGATTCATTACTTCCTTTAAGATTCGACCCTTTGGTCTCTTTTGTTCTGCTCAGAATCGAGGGTAAACCCCCCCCCCCCCCCTTAGAACACCCAAGAACCCCCTACGACTGCTTTGACACGCGCAATGGGTTTAGAACGCAATTTCGCGGGCGACCACAAGGCGCACTTGGGATATTGGGGTCCTCCAACGTCTGTCGCTAAGTGAGTAAAGCTCTCTCCGCTCAAGAAGCGGCGATGGTGGCTTGCTTCATGACTGACCGACCTTCGCTCGCAGCTTCTGTGAAGAAGACTACGCCATCACTCTCTACATCGGCGAGTTCGTCAACAGCTTCACGAATCTTGCATACGGTGCGTCGTCTCGATGATATGAGGCCCCCTTTTCCGCCGCCCCAGCTAATACTCGTATTTCAGTGTACTGGGCATTTCGGACTCTGCTACCCGGAGAGTCCCTCCTCACTCAACCTTCCAATCTTGCCCTCTTCTTTGTCGGAGTTTTCTCTCTGGTTTTCCATCTCACTCTGAAATATGAGACCCAGGTTTGCGACGACCTCTCCATGTTCTGGGTCTGTGCCGCTCTCGTCTACGAGCTCTACACCCTTGGCTGGTCCAAGCCAGCAAAGTTGGCATTCGGTTCGATCCTGACCGCTGTTCTCGGCGTCATCAGTGCCTACCATTACGCGCTCCATCAGCTGTGGTTGCACAACATCACGTTCATCGCCCTGGTCACGGCGATTTGGCCGAGGGTGTTATATCTAATCCGAACGCGACTCCAAGGCGAGAAGAAGCGGTATTGGACCAAGCAATTCCGGGTGGGAGGCTTGTGCTTCCTCATGGGATTCGTGGTGTGGGTCATCGATGGAGCTTATTGCGGCGCTCTTCGGGAGACCAGAAAATCGCTGGGCATTCCCCTTGCCTTTGCCCTGGAACTGCACGGATGGTGGCATATCCTGACGGCCCTCGGAGCGGGTTACTGTATTCGGGTGACCAAGGTCTTGACCCAAGCACATGCGTCTCCGTGAGTACGGCAGAGCTTCAGTGGCATTTCTCCAACGACACAGCAACGGTTGTTGCTCAATGAGTGGCACAAGCCGAAAAGCTATCCGGGCAGCTTATCAACACATCAACGTCCGTGCGAATCAAGAGGCCACGAACCCATCTTCGACCCAGAGATCTGTTTCAGTCATTCAGACGTCGCAGGCGAGGGATGAAAACATCCGATAGACGCTTTGGGGAGGGAAACCCGGCAGGTCTGCTGCCGCGCGACGGAGGCCGGCGATCCAGTATTAAAACTGGGGAATGATATCAGCGTTATAAAAAAAAAAAGTCAGAAGATAAAACGTCGTTTTCTCAATGGCATGGTGTTTGTGTGTGTCAACCAGCAACTCCTCTCATCAATGTGGTCGAGCAATGGAAGAGCTTTCTATCTTCGCCACGTAGCTGTGGGTATGTTGCGAATGTTGCGTATGTATGTTGGGTCACCCCGCCCTTGCCCGCTAACGTCACTTCTGCCATGAAGCCTGTAAGAATATCAATCTGTTGGGTTTCGCGTCCCCTATACGGAAATGGATATGCCATTACGGCGATCCTCGTCAATGTCGCCAAAATTTCTTGTTTCTTTTACCACACCACCGTTTGGGATTTCAACTTATCGAAGTTTCAGCTTCTCCCGGAAAGCCTTGGGTGCCATTACTTTTGCAACATGCCTTTAATCTCGTCTCGAGTCCACTCAGTGGCATTTCGCAATTTTACATCCGGTGCAGGCTCAATATCAAGATACTACAGCAAATCGCGACGGGCTCTAACTCCGTTCGCCTGTTAGCAGAACCGGCCGTTCTCATGCGGTCGCCTCGCTTATGCTATCACTGGCACTAGTCCTTCGTCAACCAAGGAGGCAGCCAAAGAGACTGGCGCCAAAGCACCTTCAATCAAAGAGAAACTACCGGATCTCCGAGCGCACGCCTTTTCGCTTTCGAGAGTTTGACCTAGAAGGCAAAGTGTTCGTGGTAACGAGCGGGGCGCGGGGATTAGGTTTGGCTTTGGCGGAAGCTCTGATTGAGGCTGGAGGACAAGGTCTGTCTACAAGAGTAATTCCACTTGATTTTGGACGTGCCATTTTGTTGACACCGGTCGGGTGACCTACTAGTCTACTGTCTCGACCAGCTACCAGAACCTGACAAGGAATTTGTCTCGGTCCAGGAACGCCTGGGCCTCAGGTATGGAGGCGGCTTGAAATACGACAAGGTGGATGTCCGCGAGGTGGGCAATTTAGACCGGGTTATTGAGGAGATTGCCGCGCACCATAGTCAACTGGATGGCTTGGTCGCGGCCGCTGGAGTGCAAAATGTGACTCCCGCCTTGAACTACACGCCGAAAAGATCAAGAAGATGATAGACATCAACTACAAAGGGGTCTTCTGCTCGGCTGTCAGTTGCGCTCGGCAAATGATCAAATACGACTGCAGTGGCTCTATTCTACTCGTTGCCTCCATGAGCGGGATGGTCGCCAACAAAGGGTTCACTTCGTCGGTTTATAATTCCTCGAAGGGAGCCGTAATACAGCTTAGCCGATCTCTGGCGATGGAATGGGGAAAGATTGTGAATGGGAAGCCCATCCGAGTCAATGCTCTATGTCCTGGTACGTGATGTTCCACTGGTTCTGGTACTTTCCATGCCTTCCGAGGCTACTTCCCACCCCCTTCTGGGGGTCACAGGGAATATCATGACACCCATGGTTCGGAAGAATTTTAAAGACGACCCTCAGTTGAGAGAGCTTTGGGAGAAAGAGAACATGGTAGGTTTGCCACTCTTTTGTTACTGTTCCTAAACAGTCACTAACCCTAGACTCCAAAGCCGGGACGCATCTCTACGCCTGCGGAATATAGAGGCGCTGCCTTATTTTGCCTGAGCGATGCTAGTTCTTTTATGACTGGTTCAAATGTGAGTTATGGTGTTCCTATTTCAGAGTCGAGAACGCCTCCTAATGTCCCCTTCCAGCTTGCCATTGATGGAGGGTATACAGCATGGTGAAAGATTTTGGGAGCGATTTTCATATCCGTGCCCGATGCTTCGAATGTACTTCTAGATGGCAGAGGCGGGTTTATGTAAAAAATCATGCCAAAAGATTGTATTGTTCAATGAACGTGGATACCAATCCCAGGCGCTCGACACCGTCTCGTGTATCTGGATATGTTTGAAGAAAAAAAAAAAAAAACCAAAAAAAAACCTGATGTTATGGCAGGTCGATGACAAAGTCTGTGGGATGCCTATCGTCGCTCAAGTTCGGTCAATGCGCACACATACAATCCACCTTATACTCTAAACCTCAAAATATCCATCACTTTGACTCCACCAACGGTTGGATCCTAAAGTTGACTCGGGGGAAATGTAACCTAAGTCGTCCCTCGCCTAGATTCGGCTTACTCGAAATCACCACCTCCTTGATGCCTATCGAGACCAATTCGCCCTTGTCGTGATGCGTGAACCCAGACTCGACCGGCCAGATCTCCACCATCTGGCCTTTCTTCAGCCTCAGCGGGTCAAGCGGGTCGACGGAGCCTTCTGGCTCGAAGCAATCCGAAGCGAGAATCCTCTCAATGGTTTCCTCGCTCGACAGCTCCTCCGGCACGCCGTTCTGCTCTTGCTTCTTGGCCATGGCTTTGCGGAAGCGATCGACGTATGCGAACGTCTTTGGAAACTCCGAGGCACTGATGACGTCTTTCTCTAGATACTCGAGCATGTGCATTTTCTCCTGAAGCGTCCAGTCGAAAGTCCAGATACCGTGGACATCTGCCAGCGTGGGTTCCGGGGTGTCTAGGAGGTATTCCCGCCCGTCAGCGAGCAATTCGTTCTCCATCATGTTGAAGTACATGCGCGCGTGGGACAGACACTCTGCCCGACCTTGCTTCAGCGTCTCAATGTCGAAGTTCCTCCCGGACATGTTGGCCCGGTCTTGAAGCCACTCCTTGTCATGCATGACTTCGGCGGTCGGTGGGATCAAGCCGGCCGTCCTCCAGAACGGTCCTCCATCGATGAGCCAGTTCTCGAACAGGTGGCCCAGTCCCCGCTCAAAGGGACCACCTTTGCCTCCTATCATCGACTCGGGAAACAATTCCTCAAGCTTGTCAATGATGATCCGCGTGTCGCAGTATATGTCTCGTCCGATGGCGAGAATGGGGATGCGTCTGTACCGTATCCCGAGCTTTTCGAGGACGGGACGCGGGAGCCGGTTCAGCACAATGCAGTGAAAGTACTTCAGTCCGCTCAATGCAAAGTACCAGTCCATCTTCCTTCCGAAGACGGAAATGTCGTAGGTGAAGAGAATGATGGGCGGTGCCATGATTGCTGCTTCGGTCGCCCAGGTCTGCCCGCCAGCCCACTCCGATACCAAGTGTCTTTACCAACGGACGAGAAATTCATCGTGATCACTCGAAATCAATCTGAAAGGTCTCCACTCCGCCAGACTCTGCCAAATCCAATGGGCTTATCAAGAATTTGCTTCTACTACCGTGTCCTCCCTTTAGGATCCTCAAGGAGCTTAGTGGGACTTTGGTGACTGTACAGCTGGACCTCCCCCAGATCGAGAACGCGTATGGAGCATTTCCCCCGCATTGAGATCTTCTCGGGCCTTTCCTGCGTGCAACGTCCCGAGACCCAACCTCGGAAGGAAGCACACCATGAGCAGAGCTGTGGCCAAATCAACAGTCAGTTTTGAACGAGTCAGGCCATCTCGTCGCATCCCAGACCCCCGCAGATGGATTTCGCGGAGCTGGTGGGAGACCGAACCGACTTGCTTCTGGTCAACGGGCTTGACTCGAGTCGCTGGACGCCCATTCGTATCGGATGAGACTCAGGATGCCTGAGTAAGAGTAAGACCACCAGGTGGTCGAGATTCTTTTCTACGGATACCTGTCACATAAGAGCAAGGGGGAGAAGTAGGTCTAAACAGTCCACCCTGTTCCAAGGGAAAGTAAATAAAATGCGGTATTAGATTTATATATGTTCCCCATCTCACCTTGAAAAACCATCATTGGGAAAGACCACTCGCCCGCCGAGCCTACCACGTACTATAACTCATACAAACCACCTTTCCAGCCATCATGGCCTCCTCAGACCAGGAACTGAAGTGGAAAATCCCCGAAAAGCGAGACTTCCTCGGCGGCGACCTCGTCGCTCAGAGTCTGGCCCAGCTGGGCGTCGAGGTCTCGTTTGGCCTCCACGGTGGCCACCTCGATGCCTTCTTGATCGGTTGCCAACTGGCTGGCATCAGGCTCATCGACAGTCGACACGAAGCCACGGCCGTCCAGGCGGCAGAGGGATATGCCAAACTCTCGGGCAAGGTGGGATGCTGCTTCGTCACTGCCAACAGCGGGTATGTTTTCGACTCTGTCCCCCAAAACATGTACTAGGAGTGAGAATGTCCCCATTTCACATGTATGTATATACGTGCATATGTGACGTGGGATAACGATGTCTGAAAGAAAAGCAAATACGCTGACGAACTCTCGCGGGCTCGTTGTGCAGGTTCTGCAACTCTCTCCCAGGCCTGGCCACGGCCTTTGCGGACCGATCGCCCATCTTCATGGTCACGTCGTCGCCGCCGCTGCGCGACGCAGAGACGAACTGCCTGCAGGGGTTCCACGACCAGGTGATCCTGGCCAAGCCGCTGACCAAGTTCGCGCACCGAGTGACGACCGTGGAGGAGATCCCGCGCATCGTGAGCTACGCGTACAAGACGGCCATGTCGGGCATCCCCGGCCCCGTGGTGGTCGACTTCCCCATCGACGTGCTGTTCCACCCACCGAGAATGAGCGCCCTGGCCTACGGCTCCGTCATGCGCCCGACCGCGGTATCCCCGGCACCCGACCCAGCGGCTCTCGACGAGCTGATCTCGCTCTGGAAGGCAGCAAGTCGCCCAGCCATCATCGTGGGCACAGGCGCCGCCCGGACCACGAACCGCGATTCCCCCAAGGCAAGCCCTCTGCTCAAGCTCGCTGAAGCGACAAACACCCCGGTCTTCTACTCGCAAAAGTACACCCCGGCCATCCCCTTCGACCACCCGCTCCGGGGTGGCAACTCCGGCACGCTGGCCCGCGTACGCTTCGCGAAGCAGCAAGCCGCGGACTTTGTGCTACTGCTAGGCGCACGCACGGGGTTCTTGCTCGCAGGCCGCTCGGGCGCCATCATCCCGAACTCGGGCTGCAAGCTCGTCCAGGTCGACCTGGACGGCGGGGAGATCGGCAAGTCGCACGCCGTGGACCTGGGGATCGTGTCGGACGCCAACAAGTTCATCAGCGCGCTGCTGAACAAGTTGCACGCCCAAAACAACCCAGTCAGCGGCCACGACGCCTGGATCCAGGACATCCATGCCGTCAAGGGCATGACGTCGCAGTACACTGGCGACGCGGTCGTGCGGCCCGACGGCCGCCTGCACCCGTACTTTGCGATGCAGGCGATCATGGAGTCTGTGCCGGCGGACTCGATCGTCATCATGGACGGCGGCGAGGCCGGTGTGTGGGCAATGGACCACCTTGAGCGCGCACGCCCGGCCACGGGTATCGTGTCGACGGGATACCTGGGCTTCCTGGGCAACGGATGGGGATACTCGATGGGCGCTGCACTCGCCTGCCCAGACCGGCTGATCGTCAATATCCACGGCGACGGGTCCGCGGGCTTCCACATCCAGGAACTCGACACATACGCGCGGCACAACCTCAACATCGTGACCGTCGTCTTCAATAACTTTTTCTGGGGCATGTCCGTAGCGGGCCAGGACCTGCTGTACTCTGACGCCGACCCCACGCGCGCCGTCTCCTCCCTCTCGCCGTCGTGCCGCTACGACGTCGTCGCCCAGGGCTTCAACTGCCGCGGCGCCATCGCCCAGGCCTCGCTCGACGAGGTCCGCCAGCACCTCGCGAAGCTGACCTCCGGCGAAAGGCGGCCCGGCCTGCTCAACTGCATCGTCTCGCGCGACCCCATAACAGAGGTCACAAAGGGCATGGTCGGCAAGACAGACGACAAGGACTGGATCGTCGTGCCTTACTACGACAATGTGCCCAGGCCGTTTTATCGCGAGCAAGGCGACAAGAATGGTGTTGCGAACGGGCACTGAAAAGAAGAAGTGACGGAAATGATGATTAAAATGCACAAAGTTAAATTAAAAATGTGAAAGCCGTGATGACGAGATTTAGAGGAGAGGTGTGCAGAAGTTGGAAGATGAAGAGCGAGGAGGACGAGGCTGCGGATCGATAGGGGGTGAGGAGAGAAGATGAGATTGTCGATTGAATATTTGAAATCCCCGAATATCCCTCGCTATGCGACACGAAGTTGTACAAGAATATGTCTTCGAAGCCTGTGACATGAATCTAAAACTGAGCGTTTTTCCAATAATCCTCTGCACTTGAAAGTCGTAGATTGAGATATACATACACCTGGACAGCAACTCAAGGAGGAAGATTCATTGGCTCTGCACACCTTTTGGGTCCGCATACACTCAGCTGCCCATGGGTGAAAGTTCTAATACACACATCAAAAAATGGATGCTGGCAAATACCTGGGGTATTGTTTGTACATTCCGTAGCATGTCGCTTTATCGTTTCAAGACTTCTTTTGGAGGATTTCAGTTTCTGTCCATTCAGCAAGGTCAACACTCCAGCCGTGAAGTACACGACCCGGGAATTGTAGGAGGCAACTGATGGCGACAAGGTGGGTTATGAACGCTGGCATAGTTGCGCACACGCGATCTTCCGATACAAATGCGAGTATGGTTGATTTTGCGTCATTTCCCAGTGGCTTATCAATCAACGTCATCTCAGTTGTCATTTCCCACCCTTTTCCTTCGAAGTCGATGGCGCACCTGGATGGGGCACTTGACTACTTGCGACGGCGTTCCGATACGATCGCTGAATCTCTAGGTCCTGCTTTCGCTGGGCCTCGTACCTTGCTGCGGCATCCTTTTGTTTTTCAAGCTTTTTTTCTCTGAGTTTCTTTTCCATCTGCTCTTTGGAGGAACCGGTCACATTCTGCCAGGCTTTCTTCCCCATGGATTTCACTGAATCGACGCCTTTGTCGACAAGGCTGCGATCTGCTGCTGGAGGTGACTCTGAAGCATCAGGTGTGGTCCGGGCAGTGGTGGCGATGACAGTCGGTTGGACGTTCATCCGAGAATATGGAGTGGTGTTCCCTGACGTGGCTCTGTGGTGCGGTAACGGGGTCAACTTCAGTAAGTGTCTGAAAGAAGCGCTCTGCAGGGCGGTAACTTGTAGCTGAGTGAAAAAGCCATTGACCAAGAAGTAGATCTGAACGGACGCTGGTTGAAACGCAAGGAAGGCACCTGTAATGAGAGGAATAATGTTTCGGACAATGCCCATACCGGGGAGCTGAGACTGTCCCGTCTGCGCTCTTTGAGTGGTAGCTAGATTGAGCCATGTAAGTGCTGCAGTGGCTATAGGCAAGATATACGTTGGATCAGTAACGGCGATGTTGTTCAACCACAGCCATTGTTCGGCTTCGAAGGCGGGCACCGGTAAGTGCGAGCAGTTTCTTAGAAGATTCCATGCTCCGTAACCAAGAGGAATTTGCAGCAAGAGAGGCCTGAACATCTTTGTGAAAGAGAGCTTGGCGTCTTTTCTGATCTCTCTCATTTGCATCTGTGCCTCCAACACGGCTGTGCGATCATGGTTCGCCAGGGCCTCTGAACTCCTTGCCTGTATTTCTCTAATGACAGGACTTATTTCTTGGAATTTCGCAGTCATATCTGACGCCGAGATTGCAAGCGGGAGAATCGATCCTCGGATTAGCAGCACAAGGACTACTATCGAGGCCGTCCAGGACAGTCCACCAGTGACATGGATATGTTCCAGACAGAATTGCATGAGAGCAGTCGGACCCATGCCAAAATCAAGGCCACACACATCTTTCAGGTATCCAATGCCTTCTGGGACACTGGCTAGGTCCGTTGTGTCACTGACTGCTGCGGATGCTCCGGACGTACTTCCTTGCGATTGCAGAACCGAGTTTTCAATGCTTTGTAGAGCGTCTGATTCGGCGCCAGTGGTAATTGCTGGGTCAACAGCGTCTGACGTGGAATGCGAGGCCTTGACCGTTCGTATCGATTCAATTGTCGGTTGCGAGGGGGCGACCGATGCTTGCGTAGTGGTGTCCAGTGTTGGCGCGGGAGGAGTCGACTGTGCAGCTTCGCCGGATGGCTTGCTAGAGCCCCAGCCAAAGAGGGAGAGTGAGCGAATCTGCTGCGCCGAGTTAAGTCGACTAGGGTAGGGCTCTGGTCTTCGTGTGGACCTAGAAATCAAGGTGTAGTGGGAGAACTATTCAAATCAGTACTCTTCGTCCGTTGACAACACGCCGCAGGAGCATACATATCGTCCATTTCCAGCCCCGACAATGACTTTTCTTTGAACACCGCGAGTGCCCCGACCCGACCACCTCAACCCCATGGATATTGACATGCTGAACACGGTGCGCTGCAGGAAGTGTCGCGCGTGGGAATGTCATGTCACAGCTTCCAGACGGAAAGGAAACGGAGCATGAAAAGTTCCAGTCGAGTGTGTTAGGGAAGGTGCGCCGAGTTTTTCTGAACTCCGCACCGGAACACCGCGCAGGGGGGGGGGGGGGGGTCAACACGCACAGGAGATCGAACTTGGATTTGTTAAGGAGAGATCGCTTTGAAATAGGAGTTTCTATCTCTAATCTCTCCAGCAGAGAGCTTTTTTTGTGTCATGGATGTTGCCATAATCATGTTCATCCTCTCGTACCGGAGCAGACCGCCGATTGCTCTCAAAAAAAAAAAAGGGAAAAAAAACCCCATTCGTGCTCAGTCCGTCCCTAAAGCTTGTCCTGTGTCGCAACGCCACGGTGATGCAAAGCTCGCGTTGATTCAGATGTATCGCTGAACAACAGCACCTCCTCGCTTGAACTCTGCCATATCCCCGAGCACTTTGGTCTTGTCGTTGAGCTCCGTTGTTGGGAAGGTGGTTTGCAAAACAAAGTCCCTCCCGCTCGGCTCGGCTCGCCGAACGAAGTCATAGATGTCTCCAATAGTCTGGGTTGTGTTGAAGCGCGAGGTCAGCCTCGTGCCCGAGCCTAGGCTGATCCTCAATGTAACGGTTGGTTTCGACTCGTCTACTTCGGCCGGAGGAGGAGCTCCAGAGGCTGGCGCGGGTGCTGGCGCCGTAATCTCTGAAGCGAAACCTCCGGGGATCGATGGGACTCCAGGCGTGGGGCTTCCCAGACGCTGACCGGAACCTTCGAAGGGCCTGTACTTCTTCTTAGGTTTGACGTATTTCTCTTCATGTTGTTTGATCTCCACATCCACTTCCTGGCCTGGCTGGACGTTCATGATGTTCAGCGGGGCGCGTCCTTGTCGGATCGAGTTCAGAATTTCAGCATTCCTGGGATCGTCGAATCTGTACAAGTCACCGTCGTCTATACTGAAGCCATCCTGCCAGAAATGCAGCACTCGTTCCACTCTCTCGGCTCTTCCTCGAGGTTGGTACGCAGCGGGGATCTCTCGCGATGGTGTATCGTCGCCTCCCAGCGTGCGTGCTGAACCAGTAAAGAATGATTTCTTTGGAGCAGCCTCCTTGGGCGGTGGACCACGCTTCTGAGCCTTTTCCAAAATCCTCTTCCTCAGGTCGTCCGGATTCTGTACTGCCAAACCTGACTTTTCGCCTCCAGCAAAGAGATCTTGTTTATCGTCATCATCCGAGTCGTCGCCGTTCGCGCCGCCTGAAGCGAAATCACCTAGAGTAGCAAATTTCTTTTGTGCAGATGGGTTGTTTTTAGGCTGAGAAGAGCTCGAAGCGGAGGTAGGGGCCGCAGGAACGGGTTGAGAATCTGAAGGGCCCTCTCCGAGCCTTCGACCAGCGCCATAGGTAGGAGAGGCAGCTTGATGTTGGGGTTGATGCGAGGATTCGGGATCCTCCTCATCGACGTAGTCTGAATCATCGGGGTTGTCCTCGGTGTGATCTTCTTGGGCGGCGTAGTAATTTGACACGGCGGCCTCAAGTTCCCAATCGTTTGCGGCGAGGAATTGGTGAGCCTGACTAAGTGGTTAGCAGTTGAGCCCATAGGCGGTATTAGCCCGGTGTCTCACCTGTCGCGAAGATGTTCCCACGATCGCAGTGAACTGTGCAATCAAGGCGTTTTGTTCTGCGGGATCCGGATTCGCCATGATGAAGAGGACTTGATAAGGCGGTTGTAAGGACAGGTTCGGTATGGAAGGAGAGGCAGACGTCAAGGTAGACAGAAGGCAGCGGTGGCGGGATTTTATTTGAAACTTAGGTACACCGTGTTGTCTCAAGCGAGACAGTCGAAAAAGTGACAGCCCAAGAGAATCACTGGTAATAGAACAGGTGAAATGGACCTTGCGAGGCAGCTGGAAAGGTACGTCACAAGCGCGGACAGAGGTCGCCTACTTAGCCTGGTGGCTGCCCCCCTCGCCCCCAAGCCCTCACTCTCACTAGACCAGTCTTCGCCGAGACCTGGCCAGCTGGGTCCCCAATTGGGACACTCCGGGCGCAAGCTCATTATTACTTAAGCGGGCTTGCCAGGTCTTGATTTGTTGGGTCGTGAATCTCGTGCCAGGAACATCTTTTGGAGGCGACAGCAATTCTACCGACAGCTTCCACTCATTGACTTTGAACCTGGTACAGATCTGTATATCAGCCTTCAGCTCTTTTGTCGAGCTCCGGAGAGGGGCAATCCACATGTATCTCGACTCTTTTCAATTCACGTCGCTCCTTTGAGGAAGAATGAATACCCGACTGCAGGATTCTTGACTGCTCTTCTACGACTCTTCCACCATCCATTCCCCTGGGCAACGAATCATCACATCTTCTGTCATGGCTTCTCGCCACGATCAGTCGCCTTCACCTCCTCAAGATTTGTCGGGATCGCAACTGACCATTCCCTCTGACTCCGAGCCATATTCATCGCTGTCACCACCGTCTTCTTCACCGCCCCAGTCGTCGGATAACAATGGCATCCAGCCAGTTGTAATATATCATCCCCCGACGATATGGTCGATACTGAGAGGAGCCGCCATAAATCTCATTCTACCCTTCGTCACCGGCATGATGCTGGGATTCGGTGAACTTCTGGCACACGAGTTTGCTTTTCGGTTAGGTTGGAGTTCTACAAATGTGAGTTTCACTTGGTGACAGCGTGTGAATTTGGACATATTGACCAGAGCCTAACTTTGTTCCTCGCAGGTATGGCCGCGCCATCGATCATCTCATCCTGTCGGTCCCGGCGTCGAAATGAGAGACGACCCGACTCAGAGGAGAAGAAGAAACAGTTCCCTGGATCCAGGCGTGAGGGACGCTGCTTCGTTGGAATAAAAAGAAACCTTATCTCCGTCTTCGCTTCTATCAAGACTACATATTGAAAGACATGGAAAATTTTCCGAGCAAAGCATTTCGGAAAGTGGCTATCGATGAGTTGAGCCGCAGTGTACATATCCAAGAAAACGCCCAGCTTCCAGATGCAGCATAAAATTGGACAAGAGAAGCCCAAAAACATATCAACAAGGTCAAGAGCCATGGACTCGTACAATTCGGGCAAGACCACTCGACTTTTGTGCCTGGTATTCGATTTTCGGGTCATCTGAATACTCTCTTCTTTCTCCCTTGTCATCGGGCTATTGTTTCATCGCTTTGTACCGTTCGTGCTGCATAGCGTCGCTTGTCATGTCTCCTTTCGTTTGATTTGTTGCTAGATCTGGGGAGCCCATTTACGCATTGCTCTCCGGCTTAGAGCACGAACATCATTTGCACTCGCTTTGCGTCTCTTGCCCGGCCTCTTACATCCACCCTCTCGACACCTCACCACAGCCTTTTCACACATCGGCACGGCCGACAGCTCTCCGTTGCCATGCCAGTCATACCTCTCTATCGGGGACAAAGGGTTCTTCGAGGAAAGAGCATTCCCCTTGCACCCAGGGAGGATGAAGAGTCTGACTCCTGGATTTTCCTCATTGTCCTCATTGGCATTGTCGGGTTCGCCATGCTCTCGGCTTTGGTGGGATTGATCTGGGCCAAGTGTTGCAGCAAGCGAGGCGACCAAAAGCTCGTCGAGAAGATTGCAGCTGAAGTTGCAGGCACACAACGGATCCAAGTTGTTTCTGCCTCTGCATCGGCCCGATCCAGTCGCACATTCATCGCGAACCCTGTTGTCGAGAGGAGAAGAGCAAACATGCTGGCTCTCAATGCTTTCGTGGGGTGGGAGGAAAGAATTTACGCAGACAAGAAACGGTCCAGAAGAAGCAGAGGCCGGAAGAGCTCGTCCATCATGCTTCCAGTAACATTGGCTTCCCTGCGAAAATGGGCCAAACGGTCTACCCTTAGCGGCGATCAGGATGAGCTGCGACAGCCATCAAACCATGCGAGCCCGACCTTGAGCTCCAACTCAGAGCTCTGGCCAATCCCTACTTCAATCCCAACACATCCGTCTCCTCTGCACTGCAAATCCAAGTGCACATTCAATACCAGCACCGACTACGATGAACCTTCCCGGTTGTTAGAAGATATTCGACCCTGCGCCAAACAGACTTTGACGGCGTGAGTGGAGACCATAAGAGTTGGATGCAAAAAGAAGAAGATGCTCAAATAGCTCCTAAGGCAGTGGCAAAAGGACATCGGTGGAGAATTGCATTAAGTATGCTATGGCAGGTCTGATTCGGATATCAGGGCGTCGGAGATATTCTTACTCTGGAATTGAACAGGCGAAAGCCTTGGAGCGAGGCAGCAGGCATGCTGATATGTGGATAGGACAGTGACCAACCAAGTTCCATCTTTATGCAAAAGCAATCCAAGTTCTTGCGTTACCCGTATGTTAAGCACGGAGATAGCTTCTTTTGGATGTGCGAGGAGTACTTGTTAGATGGTCGACCTTCGTCAACTTCCGTGAACCGACTCGCCGGATCCGAAGGATATGGGACCCGATGGGTTGGTAGAGATTTCGGAAGCGAATGCTCTGCTCCTGAGAGCTTTGCAGAGAAGAGCTTTCCCGATTCGATGAAACGTCCTGCCTTCCTGTCCCACCCGGATATGCTTTCTGCTGCATAGTTGAGCCTCGGCATTGATACAGTGCATGGCGGAATGGCAAGATAGGTAGGGAAGCCCTAGCATTTGTCCGAAGATAGGGAGAAGATAGATTTTGATCTTCAACGTCTGGGCCCATCGGTACTAGTTTCATAATACTCGGGTACAAGTAATACTTGCTCCATACCTGGGTAGGTACCTCGTAAGGTATGCGGGACATTGTCGTCCACCTACCCCCGCCACCATTCTGACATTGCCCCGTCTCGCCGTCTGTTCTTGGTAGGTATTGTCCCTGGACTGTACCGAGGCATTGCGCACACTGGCTTACTTGGACGGAGCTCTGGCCAGCTAGCTAGCTAAGCGTTCGAGGCGCCAACTGGATTTGTGGTGACATAGGAGGTAGATATGCAGTGCTCCTAGGAGTTAAAGTACATATATACCTCGTTACTCCGTGGATGGCAAATAGATGGGCTCCGGCCTCCCCTTCCCGAACAGCGAGCTTTCGGGTTCGGGCTCGGAGGTGGGATGCGGCGGGCATTTGGGATGTGTGGGATGTGGTCTGGTGTTTCTGGGTCGCTGGGCCCGAGTTTTTGGGGTGCCGCGGAGCCCAGCAGCATCCACGCATCCCATCTTGCCATCCATTCAGAACTAGGCATTAGTTAGCTAGTTCGCTAGTGAGTTAGCTAGTTACCGACATGCGGAGGAGGGACAGAGGTAGAACGAAGAACTACGAAGCACAATATGTAATGCCCCCTTGCCTCTGCCGTAGCGCCCACGCTACGCCTCAATGGCCTTTTCCTGTCCCATAATATTCCGTATAAATATATATATCATAGGTCTTCACGCCGCACAGTGTATCCCGCGACACCTGCTGAACGTGCTACATACACGCATACATTTATACTAGTGTCTGAAGGGCAATCAATTGCACATCATTACTGCCCCCGACGATCCGGCCAGGTACTGTAGCCTATTACACAGACACAGAGCACAGAATTCTCTCCGGGAGGCAATTTTGTTGCTTTTCTTCCCGTCCCCATCGTCGATTTTGACCTTTGATTTTTCACATTGCCGGTGCTCGGCCATACGTCCTTGGATATCTTTTGGGGGTGTTTATACGTATACACGAGACTGAAAGGCAGCTCGACATCGTTCTCCCCTTGCAAGACAAAAAAAAAATACAAGACAAAAAAAGATAAGACAATACCGTGGGCGCCCGTTGGTTTTCGCTGACTAGCCGTCGCTGTCTACTACGGAGCAGCACTCTGTGGTCTGGAGACGAAAGAGGAGCGAGCAGCGAGTTCCTCGACCGAAGCGAAGAAGGAGAAGAAGAGCAAGCAAAAACACCCGAGGAAGGACATCGTAGAAACCTGGCAATATGGCACAATATCTGCAGCATCCCATCCCGCGGAAACTGTGGGAGCATCCGGATCCCGAGAGCACCGATATGTGGAAGTTCAAGCTGAGCTTGGAGAGGGCCAGCGGGCGCAAATTCGAGGTACGTTTACACTTTCCAGTCCTCTTGTGGTGGTTTGTCGTTCTCTTTATCATTTCGAGCGGATTATGGACGGAACGGGGAACGTGGTCTCTGGGCATGGGCCAGGAGATGTAGGCCAACGTGGGAACATTGGCCCTCCTTGCCTCTGAGGAGGGAAGAAGAAGAAGAAGAAGAAGAAGAAGAAGAAGAAGAAGAAGAGGAGGAGGAGGAAGAAGCTCTCTATCGGCGGCAATATCTGATTTCACATTCATGACCCCCTACTGACTCAGATTGTCTACATTCTCATAGAACTTCGACGCCTTGTACAATTACTCGGCCACTTATCGATCTGCCTTCTGGCGCCACGTCTTCGACTACTTCCCCATCGTCTACTCAGGCACCGTTCCAGATCCCGTCGTCGACGAATCCGCCCGAATGGACTCGATCCCGCGCTGGTTCACCGGTGTGCGCATGAACTTTGCCCAGAACATCCTGTTCTCTGGCGATGAGAACGGGCGTGCGGTCATCGACGCGGCAAAGGCGGATGATAAGATTGCCTGCACCGAGGTCCGCGAGGGCGCCTTCCTAGAGCCTATCAGACATGTCACCTGGAAGGAACTGAGGCAGAGAGTTGGGAGGTTGAGCCAGGCAATGAGGGCGCACGGGGTGAAGAAGGGAGATAGGATCGCGCTCGTGGCGAGTACGTGTCTTGACACACTGACAGTGTTTCTCGCGACTACTACGCTGGGGGCACTTTTCAGCAGTAGTTCGACAGATATGGGCGTCAAGGGTATCCTGGATCGACTCACCCAGATCAAGCCGCGATATCTGTTCATGGACGACTGGGCCGTGTACAACGGCAAGAAGATCGATCTGCGGCCCAAGATGAAGGACATCATGACCGGGATGCAAGCCGTGGATGAGTTCCAAGGAATCGTTTCGCAAGCTCGCTTCCAGCACTCACCGGCCAATATTTCGAGTGTGCCGAGAGCCACGACGTGGGCGAACTTCATCGCTGCCGCAAAGTCTGATAAGTTGGAGTTTGAAAATACCGATTTCGCAGATCCGTTTCTGGTCGTATATTCCTCAGGGACGACGGGGCAGCCGAAATGCATTGTCCATGCGATTGGAGGAGTCATCATCTCGGGCCACAAAGAGTACAGGTTGCACCGGTGTATCAACGCGAACTCGAGCCAACTGCAATACACGACAACGGGATGGATCATGTATTTGGCTAGCGTGCAGGCTTTGATCACGGGATGTCGAATGGTGATATATGACGGAAGTCCTTTTGTGCCCAACTTGACGAATCTGCTGAAGTTGGTCGGGCAGGAGAAAGTGACGCATTTGGGCATCAGTCCAAGATACTTACAGACTCTGCAGACCAACGGTATCATCCCTAAGAAAGTGGCGGATTTGAGCAATCTCAAGGTCATCACCAGCACGGGTATGGTATTGTCGGATCAGCTATTCGAATGGGTCTATGACGAAGGGTTCCCGCCTTCAGTGCAGTTGGACAACATCTCTGGTGGAACTGACCTCGCAGCATGTTTTGGGACCGGCAATCCAATCCTCCCGCTGTACGTCGGTGGCTGTCAATCTCTTTCTCTGGGTGTCCCCGTCAAAGTGTTTGATCAAACCATCGAGGGGGGTCAGGGAGTCGAAGTTGAAGATGGTGTGCCAGGCGAATTGGTCGCGTATAACGCGTTTCCAACCATGCCAGTCACGTTTTTGGGAGACAATGGTCCACAGCGGTACTTCGACAGTTATTTTGCGCGCTTTGACAATGTCTGGACCCATGGCGATTTTATCATGATCCATCCAGTCACGAAGCAAGTCATGTTCTTGGGTCGGGCTGATGGTGTGTTGAACCCCAGCGGCGTGCGGTTCGGTTCTGCCGAAATATACAGCATCATCGAAGCCAAATTTGCGGACAAAATTAGTGACAGCATCTGCGTCGGGCAAAGGAGACCAAAGGACCAAGATGAGAGGGTAGTTCTGTTCTTGTTGATGAAACCTGGTCACCAATTCACGCCACAGCTCGTCAGCGAAGTCAAGGAGGCCATCCGAAAAGCCACCAGCCCCAGGCATGTACCCAAATTTGTCTTTGAGACAAAAGAAATTCCGGTGAGTTACCTGCATCTGGCATATTAGCGACGATTGGCTGACATGATGGGCTCTCCAGACGACGGTCAACTTGAAGAAGGTCGAATTACCTGTGAAACAGATCGTGTCGGGCAAAGTCATCAGGCCTTCTGGCACGCTATTGAACCCAGAGAGCCTGAACTATTACTATCAGTTTGCAAAAGACGAGAACCTGGTTGATCTGACCGAGCCAAAGGCAAAACTGTAGTGCGGTTGCAATGGAGGCTCAAACCAGGATGGGGTAGAGAAAGTAGAACCAATAGATGTAGACTGGGCAATGCTCGAGCACAGCAACTCGGCAGCTGCAGGAACAAGTTCGTGCTTGCCACAAGATGGCTATTTTTCAGCGGTGAAGTTTTGTCTCGGTCGTATAGGCTGCATCTCGAGACCATGGCGACCACAGGCGGCCATGCCCAGCGGTGACGTGCTTGGATCCCAGCAACTGAATTTCACGGACCTTTTTGTCCATGTCCTTTTCAGCCGCGTTGATGGGGAAGGAGTCTTGTAGCAGCAGTCTTCGTCGCAGAAATTGTTTGAAGCTGCTTCAATTGAACCAGAGAGCCAGAGAGGACACGGCGGTAATGTCATGTCATGTCGCGCTCCCGATGAGGTGAGACAAGTGCGCTGCGACAGTCAGGTGTCAACCACGTCCTCGTCGCCGGCGTGGTGAAGCTGGCCGTGGCAGTGGCCGGCAGCGTGCATCACGACGACTGCTGCGCCAAAGATTATCATTGTCATCATTAGGCGACTCCTTTCTGGCGTCGATTGGAGGTGGTTTGCGGTTTGTCGGCACAGCGAGAGGAAACTGAAACCACCTTGGCCCGCCAAGCCAGTCAATGGTCCAGGCCGGTGTGAGGCGCGCTGAGTGGTTCCGACTCGAAGTCAGGCCGAAGTGAGGTGGAAGTGAGAGTTGATCAACTATCATTATCGTAGTCGATTGACTGTGAGTACAGGGGACATCTACAGTAGCTACAGCACCGCACTCGTCCTGGCTCTACATCTGCTCTGGACAGTAAGGAGGTCTCGAGATATGTGGTAATTCAATGAACGGGAAACGGAAATTGCTCGTCCTGGTCATTCACCTTCCCGTCGGTCGCGTCTCTGCTCTCACAGCTCCACTTGACGCGTCCCCCATCAACACCATCTTGCCCATCCTCTTATCCTCATCCCTCTTCCCTGTCGCTTCACAATCTGCACTTCACTTGCCGTTGCCGGTCACGCCCCAGCAACCCAATCGCTGCCTCAGGACGCGTCGTGATCGCCTTCATCCGCTCACCAGCCTGCAGTAGCTCACCACACTAACCCTGCTGCCCTCGTCAACCTGACCATCTCCTCCCTCCTCATCCAGGATCTCGCGTTCGAACATAGACCCCGCGTCCAGAACGGCTCTCTGGACTGCGCCAGCTTGGTCATAGCCCCTGGTAAGCTCCCACAAATGCCATATACCCTCTTCGTCCGCTCTCCTGCTGCCAACATTCCTTCTTCTCACTGCTCTCTGAATGAATATCTTATGCATGATACATCTCCACCAAGACCAACACAACTGACCATCCTGGAGTCGTCAACAAGCATTGGCCTTGTGAATTCACTCCAAGTACACTTGCAGTAGCTCGCGTCCTCCTCGAATTCACTCGATTAACAAACAACACCTGAACAAGGCTGAGGGGACAATCACCAAAGCCCGCCGTTTACACCTTGCCTCCTTTCCTCCCCACCATTCATCTTACATCAACTCCGTCAAGATGGCTGCTTTGGCTCCAATTACCACTCCTGCTCGTCAGCCATTTGGGATCTTGAATGAATCAAAGCTGCGAAGCTTGCAGAGCTTGAAAAATCGACAGAATGGTAAGCCTATTTCCTTTCTCGCATCCAATCTTGGCTTTCGATCCGTTCCATTCGATGGAGATACAACAAACTAATGTTCACCATCAGCCATCACACCAAATTCTGCCCCGATGTCATTGAAACGACGAGCCGTCTCTCCCGAGGTCGAAGGAGGTTCAGACGGCGAGAACGTTGATCCAAACATCCTAGACTCCTTGCACAAACGTAAAAGATCGACTTTCGACGAGGACGTATCACTTGCAAAGACACACCGGTACTCCTTGAACGTGACTGCCCTCCCGTCCTCCAAGTCTCGTTCCAGTGCCACTGTTGCCTCGACCCCACGACTTCATACATTTGTCAAGCCCTCTACTACACCCGCCTCAGCACCTCCGGCAGGCCGTTCGCCAACACGTGAACGCTCTGGTCTTCTTCGGTCACGGAAACGTTTCAATCCACCTCCCTTCTCCAGTTCCACCCAATCTCCATCTCTGTCCCTGTCCGCCGCACTGAATGGCACGAAGAAATCGCGTCAACAATCTCGCAAGCTCAAACATGCTACAATCGAAACTAGCCAGCCAAAATCATGGTTCTTCGACATATATGAAGAGACTGAGGAAATCCAAGACTACCGCATGAACGAATGGACCATGACACAAAGCACAACGGGACTGGATCTTAGTGATGACGAAAGCAAGAGTCTACACCAGAAGTCGTCGTCTGCCGATAGAGGCAAGGAGAACATTGATCCCAACGAAGTAACGGCGCCCGTAACTAGGTCCATGACTGCTGCTGCCAACGCCACAGCGACCGCCGAAAAGGCCAAAGGGAAAGAAGTCAGGATGGACGACAACGGTCAAATAAGAAGCCCGCTGGCGGATCTCAACCCCGCGGAATTCTATGCCGACGGTCTCGATGCCACCAGTGTGGTTCTCGTGCAAGACGAGGACGAGGAGGCAGAAACTGACGTGGAAGGCGAAGAGATTAAGCAGCGTCATGACTTTACCTTCCAACCTTCTACCACCAGCGGTTCACTGTCGTCAACCGCGAAGGTCATTGAAGACCTACACACGCCGAGCCTCGCTGAGATATTGAGCTCTGCCACGCCCAGCTTACTTGACGATGCACTAGTTGACAAGACTGGAACCCCTGGCCATCCTTTTACTGACGCCTACTCCTCTGCACGTGCCGATGCTGATGGTGACGTTGAAATTGAAATCTGGGAAAGCGAGAGTGCCAAAGACGAGGACGAGAAGGCTGATCTTCAGCTCGAGAATGCTGTCGACGTGGGAAGTCCGTGCTCGTCGGTTGGCGACCAAAATGTGTTTGCGCTGCAGGAGCTGTGAACAACGCCACATTCCTTTTTCTGCCATCTCTTGCAAACATGTCGACCTAAGTGTCGTACTAGCTCTGTGTTTGACACAATATCGACTAGGTCTCAACTTTGCTATGAGGTGAATAATGCTGCCAGTCCAAGCCACATCGAGCTTGATCACATCCTCTTGTATTGTCACTGGCAGCTTCAGATCAGAAGACGACAAGGATCACAACGCCGCCTCTCCCGTGGCTGCCCTGATGTCTTGTCGACGTGATCAGTAGCTCTTGGCTCTCCCTGGCTCGGGTTCGCATACATGGCGCTCAATAGAGCTGATCTCAGGGTCCTCAAAAGATCCTGTTTGTGGATGACAGTCCAGGTCCCGGCGTCAGTTTCAACTTTCGTTGTGCCGATCGAAGATTGTCTTTTGGCATGTTGTTCATGTGTGGTTATGTCGATTTTGTTCTGTTCTGTTCTGTTCTGTTCGCGCTCCAAGACGCGTGGGATACAGATTGTATGACGGCTGCCGAGTTGTGTGGTGTACCGATCTAGCCAGGGCGTTCAGGAGGAGCTATCATCGGTACTGATGTCCCATTCATATCCCAGACCAGGCGAGATTTGTTGCTGGCGTCCTTACCCTTAGTCCTGAGGTATGTACCTAAGGTAGATTGGGAGGGATGCGTCTAGATAGACGGAGCCAACGCAATGAATGCCCAAGCATATCCTTACCAACTATGCATGATTCGTTACCGCTCGACATAATGTCGGACTTGCACTGGCACTTGCACTTGTGGAATTCAGGCAACAGTGTTCCGTTGATCTGATTTTGATTTAATTGCAGTGTTACCGCAGTGCTGCACACCGAACTGTATGTATGTCCTCTCCAGCCGTGAAAAGAAAGCTCCATGCCTCGCCGGCGCAGGCCTGCATTACCCTTTCCCCATCTTTACGTATCCTCCTCTGTGCGTACGTATATATATGTATGTACATCTTTTCGGAGATTCGTCGTATATCTCCTCGGTATATATATATATATACGCCCCTCCCGCACAGTTGTCTTGCTTGCTCCCTCGTATGCTCGGTGATAAGTGATAACATGCGCATATATATGTATTATGTATATATACAGAATGTATTGATACTAACATAGACGTCAACACTAACCTCGACACCAACGGCGTCATTGGCCCAGATCAGCACGCTCGTGAGGAAAGAAAGGGGCCATCTCCCATCGACCATCTCCCATGTCCGTTATAGTATGTTCATCCCAGATCTCGAGGCCTCATAATTGACCGCACTCGGAGTCACAGCCGCATTCACAGGGATCGTCGTCGTCGCCGTCCGCATACTCGTTTAAGCCGCCAAATCTGCCTGCTCCGCTTCCTCTTCCGCTTCCGGTGCTTGTGCGCGAAAAAGCCCAGCGTTGGCGGTGATGGTGATGGTGATGGCGCTCGGAGAGCCCGCCACTGTCGGAGGTACTGGTGCTGTCGCCGTCGTGGTTGTCGTGGTCGTATTCTGCACCGTCGACATCTCCGTCTTCCGCGGTCGCGCCGTGGCCGAGCTCGTTAGCACTGTCGTCGCCACTGTCACTGTCGCTGTCATTGTGATTCTCACTTGGTCCCGAGCTCTTCAGGGATCCGGCATCACTTGTGCCATGTTCGACGGGTTTGACTTGCTTTCTTGCACTCGCCGCTGCAGCGTGGTGGGCTTGGGCGCCCTCACCCTCACCCTCACCCTCACCCTCCGCTTGGTCTCCTATTCCTGCTCCTACGACGGCCGCGTCTGGTTCGACTGTGGCTGACCAAGTTGGTTCCGCGTGGCGTATCGCGTCCTCACCACTCGCAAGCACCCCGCACCGACCATTCGCCATCCCCTCTAGTTTCTGTTGCTCGTTGGAAACCGCGCTGTCGTTGAATGAGGACGGGGCCTCCATGTTCTCTCCTTCGCTCAGCGTGATACTCCCATCAGCATATTCTCTAGCCTGCCCTACATTCTTCTTTGCTTTTGTTGTCTCACAATTTTTTTGCGTCTTCTCATCCCTCCATTTGACCACGTCCGCAACTGCCTGCCCAGGACACTTCTTCCTGACCAAGAGGAAGCCTTGGATTTCTGCGGGCGACAAGGCCCGTTCAGGAAGAGAGTCGGCGAATCGCTCCGCAAGGTCCACCACGGAGCTGCTGTCGAAAGATTCCCCTAGTGATAGCCGTGGCTTTGGATCATTGTCATTACCAAGGGAGTCGACGTGACAGCTCTCGACATCGCCACTCTTGAATGTAGTTGCACCTGGCACTTCGGCCTCTGCCCTGCTCGGCAATATCTGACTGATCCTCGTCGGCTGCCGCGTCATCTCGATTGAGTCAACGCAATACATACGAAGAAAGAGGTCTTTGATCTGCTGCTTAGTTGCCAGGTCAAACTTGATGGTCAAATCAATCCGACCAGGCCGGGTGAGGGCTTCATCCAATCTTTCTAGGTGATTGGTCGTCATGATGAGGACTCTGCCCTCCTGACTTGCGACACCGTCTATGGCGTTGAGAAGGCCCGAGAACGTCAGTGTGTTTTTGAATGTTGGTTCTTTCCCAAATGCATTGGGCCGATCTACTACTACCTTGGGCGGCGCGACACCGGCCGATTTGTCTTTGTCATCTTCATCCCCAATGGACTTCTTCTTTCTCTGTGTACCTTTGCTGGACGGCGACTGATTTGCCGTTTCTCGCTTTTCTCCATCCTTCGCTCCCGGCGCCCTGCCTAGGCCAGCACTATCAATGTCCTCAAGGAGTAGGATGCATCGCTTTGGCAAGCTGTTGAAGAGCAAGATCAAATCTTCTTCGGTCAGCGTAGCTTCAGACAGCGCGAGGCAATAAATGTCAAGCCCAAAAACTCCGGCAAGAGCAAACGACAACGAGGTCTTGCCAGTCCCTGGCGGACCATGAAAGAGGTAGCCTCGACGATATGGAATCCCTCGATTGCTGTACCATCGCGCCGTCCGCGGGTGCAAAAAGTCATTGAAATCTTTCAAAATGGCCGCCTTTTGATCGTTGTCCAGCACAACCGTGGCCATGGACCTGCTGGGTCTGTTTGCGATGGTTGTCCAAGCTTGTCCGCGTCCAGATCGCTGAGACTTTGGGGTGGGGCGTTTAATCGTGGTCGTGGACGTCCGACGAATAAGGTGGAATTCCCGGGCTTCTTGGATCATGCTCTTGATTGGCTTGGGAGACAACCAGAGAACTGATATTTCCAGCCGCTCTCTTTCGTACACGGCGCCGGTAAAGTCGCTGGCGACACGATCGCGACTTCGGTACAACCGGAACAGGCGGCAATCATGGAAGAACCAACCTGATGAAGAATGCGGCCGAAACGTCGGCGGGGCCCGGGCAGACCAGTTGTTGAAGTTAAAGATGGTATCTTCAGACATGCCTTCCCGGATCCGCATCTGGTGGCTGTCATCTTCCCCGTAATCTTCCAAGTCGTCGTAGTATTGTCCTGCAGTGTGGGCGCGGAGGGAGCGGATATCTTGTAAATACTTTTGGGCACTGGCCCAATTGAGGACATGATTGTAGATGGGGTCGTATTCTTCCACAATCACTGACGAGCTGAGCGCTCTCACCACGAATTGGTAGGCGGGTATCAGGCCGAATCGGAGCGCAGCCCATACTGTAGCAAGGATGGCACTCCACGGGACAAACAGAGAGACGTCGAGGCCGAATCCGAGCAGGAAGGTTGCGAGGTGAGAAGAACCTGGCACTAATGTATCGAGCACAGTGAGGGGAAGGCGGATAGAGCCAGAAGAGACATTGGCATGAGACTGATTAGAAAACGCCATGTGGAGTTGAGCGAAGTCGTGCAAAGAAGCCATTCTGGATAGAATAAGAGACAAAAGGAACGTGTAACCGGCGTTTAAATAATGATAGCTTGGCCCATTCTAGGCACACGCTGTGGGTTTTATGAGGCTCGGGAACTCGTATGTTTGGACTGCGGGCTGACAGCCACTCTCACCTTTTTACCCTTTCATAGAATCATTTTCAAGTGGAGTCGTTCGGTCCCCTCACAGTCATCCGGGGCACGCCTGGGTGGGAGCCTGCAGAAACCTACCTGTCTGGGTAACAATGCAGAAGGAAGCGGGACGCGACAGAATTTGCCTGTTCGTCTGAGCCGATGAGCCGCATGATCCACAGAACGCGCGTGGAAGCGCGGGATGGAGGGATGTCCCATTGCTGCAGGAACTCGCTCCCTTCACCGGTCAGACATTCATTGCGACTAAAGTATTGGGCGTTTTCCTTCATTAAGGCATACACGAGATTTCGCCGAAGGAAAGGGGCATTCTGTGCGACAAGGCTGCTTCAAGATCTGAGAGCTGCGATGTGAAGAGCGCAGTAGAAAGGGCAAAGAGGTGCGGAAACGGGGCAGTTGGTGTAGCCAGAGCTGCAAACGGGGAGTGAGGCTGCAGGGTGCAAAATTCCATTTACGGAAAGATCTCGAAGGGGCAAGTCCGCCGAGAGATGGACACGTGCCTTCATTGCGCGGTGGGGCGCAGTGCTTGGCAGTACTGGGTCCTGTACCTACCCAGCTCACCAGTACTGAATGCTCCCGGAGCACAAACCTAGCAAACCACGTGCGACAAAAGGCGCCGGAACCGGGTTCCGGGCCGTTCGTTGTCTCCTCCTGCGCCACCTGCGCGTCATCACACCACTCGATGATGGGTCGAGGCTGCAAATATACAAGTACCCAGTACCGAGGGTACTCGCTGCCTGTGAGTAGTCCGGACCGTCCATTCTGGCCATCCTGGCCATCCTTACAGGACTGCACCATCTTGCAGTCCAGAGGGCCGGCTGAAATGGTTCCTATTATTCCATCTCCCAGAACAGAGCCAAGGGATACAACTATTAACTAGATATGGTTCCTCACCCCGTATAGAGACAGTTCGCTGACCCCCTAACTGAACGAAATAATAGCATTGACGAGAAAATCCGCCTGGACCGTTTTGCTCTTGCCTTTGAAATCCAACATGCTTTGTCCTGTGTACCGTCAAGCTCAATGGGTATCTCAACGCGCCGAATACATCATCGCCAATGAGTGAAGCTGATACCTCTGTACATATTACCCAGCCTTGCCACATTCCCATGCTTCATAATCTCATACTTTTCATCATATTATCAGCGGCCGTCTCAAATCTCGTTTATTCTGCATTGTTGGCCCTTGCCTAGTCCAGTCGTTGAAATTCCCCATCAGGATGGAGTGACTCCTCCCACCCCATCGCTGCAAAGTAGGTGCGCCGCGGAAGCCCGTAGACAATGTCATGATCCAAGTCAAGGGGACTTTGGATTGGGTGCGCAAAGAAGTAGGCGCCGTTGAACTCTGAGGCCTTGCTCGATACCCTCAGAAGAGCTCTCAACCTCTTGTCGGCCATCTCATGCTGCCGGCGACCACTATGCCAAAATTCCTTCAAGCCTTCCAACACCGGGATGGCACTCGCAATTAAAGCCATGATTTGGCTCTCGTGGCCCATCAGACTTGACACTGGTCCTGCCGCGGTAATGACGTCCAGCGCCGCTGTGATGGCGAATCCACTAAAGGGACTCAATGTGACAAATTGAAAGGACGAGTTGTGTTTGCCGTCCCCGCGCTCAGCCAGTTGTTGTATCAATTGCAACAGCTGACGAGCATGGTCATATACTTGCCTTGCACAGACGCTAATCCGCAACTGGTCCATCTCCGCATGGTGAACGTAGCGGTTCAGTATCATGATGGAATAATGATAGAGAATGTGGAAACCACTGGGTTTTTCTCGTCCATCTCGACCGTGGCGGACGTGTTTCTTGATGTGTTGATCCCACGTCTTGAGCCGACCCATGATGTCCTGGCGGAAGGCATCCATCACCACCCGATCTTTCGCTGGAGACTGAGCTCTACCCCTGGAAATGGTGCTCATGACCTCATTGAAGATGGCGGCTATCTCCACCAGATAACCAAAAGCACCGATTTCTGAGGATTCTGGAAGGGAACGAGGGGAACTAGGTTGACTTTCTGTGGAGTTCTTGGGCAGGTGAAGAGTGAGCGGTGTCAGGGGGACGTGCCCCATCTCGTAGGCGGCCTCGGGACATGGTAGGCGGAGGTCACAATCAGAACGGCTGACGGTAGCCACGGATGTAGACCAGCAACGACTAAAGCTGTCCATCAGGTATGCCGACCAGAACGTTCGGCGCCTGCATTCGACCAACATTTCATGGCATAAGCCAAAATCACATGCTTCCTGACCTTCGATCGTTGAGACTCCCTCCTCCATGTGGTATCTCAGACCAACAGCGATTCGCACAGCAGAACCACAATGGTCGCCTGCCTGGTTGTACTGGCCTTGGGAAAACGCGAAAAGAGCCAAGATGAGTTTGGTCTGGATCAGTTGCAAGCTGAACATGTCCCCATTCTTGATGACAGCTTTGTTCACGATTTCGAGAAACACATCTTGATGGTGCTTCGATTCTGGTTTCGACGACGCAAAGACGGTTCCCATTGCCAGAATTGCATACAGCAACATCTGGTCAGCCGGTGACTTGGCGCGGCAAGTCCGGATCCACTGCTGGAACAGTTCTTTGGGTAGAATGGAACACGTGACGCTGTCCACGTACTCGAAATATTTATCGGTGTAGTGCATCGTCAAGCTGCGGCTTAATTGATACGGGTCCACGTCCCAAGAGAAGTTGGACGTGGCTGATGGCGAGGAAACGGAACCTCCAAGAGATTCTGTACCCGAACTAGCGGACACCTGGCCTTGTGATCGAGGGCGAGGAGATGGGGAAATACGAGGCCTCTTTGCTGGTGGTGGGTTATCTGATCCGTCCTCGTGGTGGTTATTCTGTTTATCGGAGACGGGAGAAAGCATGTTGTCCTTTCGCGGCATTGACGCCCTCGACGAGGACTGAGGGTACGTATACTCAAGAGGGGTGTAGCCGTCACGGATCCGGTTGATGCTTGTGAACGGCGAGGTTGGAGGTATCGACATCGGATAGCCGGATTGTCGCACTGTAGCACGTGGCCTACGCGGAAGAAGTCAGCACACTGAAAAGTAGGGAGTAGGCGGATGGCTTACGCTGAGCCAAGCGTGCATTCACGGAAATTGTTCTTGCACACCGTGCATTTAGGCAACTTGAAGTCACATTTCATCATTTTCTCCCGGCAACCATCGCAAGCCTGCCCCGTACGCTTTCTTAGTTTGTTTGCTCTGGTGGTGCTCCACGTGGAGTTGAGGCCGTCACCATCGACATCCCTTGAACAAATCATACCGCCCTCGTTGGTGTGGCAGCTACCTGACCCGTCAATGACATCTTCTTCCACAGTGGCACGACCAGGCCCAGGATCGATAGATGCGTTTGTTGCTGAAGGGCCAGACGTGGTGGGTTGAAGTTCTGAACGACTCGTATTCGGGTAGGACCAGACCGGATGATTCATGGTGTGAGACTGAGCAAGTATGGACGCATGTACATCGGAGCTTGCAAAGGTATTTGATTGAGCGGCATGTTTAGCCATGGAGTCACCGCTAAGCAATGCTTGCTCCCTCGTCACCTCTTCCCGGCGGGGCTGGCCAAACACATTTGGATTGCTGGCACCGACCAGGAGGGAACTAAAGGGTGGTAAACTCTGTCGTCGAGAATAAGGATCTCCCGCCGGCGGCTGAGCCATTGGGCTCGGCAGCAGGCGTGACGAGTCTGCTGGGGTTTGACAGAGCGGTGGTAGGTTTGGTTCAGGATCGTGCCACTCTTGCACTCGGGATTTCAGAGGTAGCACAGCGCCCGTTGCCATTGGCCCACTTTGCTGCTGGCTGCTGTGAGCAGTCTCGTTGACAAAAGAATGCCCACTACTCTCGGGCACGCTGTCTCGCTGACTCGGACGAGCGCGGTCCGTCGAGCAGTGAAAGTTTCCAAGTACGGCTGGAGTGAGGACGAGAAAAAAGGGATAAGCGGTGATGTCGGCAACGTTGATTGCCCCCGATTTCTCCCAGAATGCTGCCCACAAGTAACCTTAGCAAGCTGGGTTCCCACGAGACGTACTGTTGTCCTTCAGAGCCAGGCACCAGTAAATTCCCAGGACGTGCCTCATGGCAAGAAGACCGCCTGGACGGTCCCCAAGAGTCACACAATAGTTGAAGGACCGAAACCAGCAGAGGATGGCTGCTGATGCAGATATTGTGCCACCTTAGATGTGCTGCCCTCTAACGTATGCTGCAGTTGATTTCTCGATCCGGTATCCCGACGGGGTTTACGGACCGGCTGATTGCTGCTGAGGAGAGATGGAAGGTCTTGTTGATATGTTGCAATAGGCGAGTTGGTGGAAACAGAGATCCCAATTGATGAAAGAGACCGGAGAAACGTTTTAATACTGCCTGGTGGAAAGGTACAAGACGGTGTCGGACTTTGTGTATGTGTAACTCGGGGATCTTTTTCCACGTTCAAAGACTTTTTAGAGCAGAGATGGAACAAACGGAAGTGGAGAAAAGGCCTGGGAAGAACACACGCACACTGACAGGTGTCAAAAGTCAGCGAGAAACTCTGTCGCGTGCGGTGTAAGCGTGGAAGAGGGGTTCGTTATCTACCTAGGCAGATACTGGGTAGCGCTGCTCTGGCAAAAAACGGGGTTCAGATCAGATGAGATTTACGGGAGGCGAAAAGCAAAAAAAAAAAAGAGGTCCTTGTCGTCAACAGTTCTTGAGAGTTGAATGCTGATTTGTGGTATTTCCCTGGAGGGCGGACAGGTCCAGGAGACTAGACCTAGGCGTCTGGGATCGGACGGTTAGGAGTCAATGGGGGATGGCGGCCTCGTGGGCCGCTCGCATCTGTGCGCTCGTAACCTGGAGGCTACAAACCAGCGCAACGCATGCCATCTGACCCTCGCCGATCGCGTGCAGGGATGATAGACGCTAAATTGTGACGGGATATGAAGTGGACTGAGGAAGGGGCCGGGGGAAGGAAGGCAATCCTGGACGGGTGGAGGAGAGGCGATGGGGCCCGGAAGGGAGGAGGGGGGTCCTTCGGTGCTGGCAGAGCAAGGGAGGTTGATCAGGGTTTGGGCGGTTGTGGAGATTTCGAGTTCGACAGCTCAGGAGGCCCGTTAGAAGGGAGCAACAGAGTTTAAGAGCAGAGGGTGAGTGAATGGGAAAAGGTGGAGTGACTGGAGTCGATCAAGGCTAGCAACAGGGATGGTGAAAGGTGAGTGAGTGTCTGTGCACGGATCCATTTTGGGGGGTTTGTGTGGGTGTTGGGTTAGGGTTGAAGGAGAGAGCACAAGGGAGCAAGGGAGGAGCCAGGTTGCAAGGGAGCTTGCAAGGGAACAAGCTTGTACACGTACCAGTAAAGCAAGGAGGGGAGGAGACTAACCCGGTTCAATCATAGGCTCAGATATTTGTGGGCGCGCCACGGGACCTTGGACCTTGGTTGACTTGGTACTTTGACTGGTGTGAGTACTTAAGTGTGGTATGGGTATAGGATGGACTGTGGAGAAGATGATCCAAAGATTTCGCCCGGTCTTGTGCAAGGTTCCTAATGAAGGCTGGAGGAGGAGATGTGAGAGTCATGACAGCAGTGGACAGTAGCCATGATGGGGATGGCTGCATGGGGATGGGGAGGGATTGGGTGTGATGGAGGTGATGGACAGAGTCATGGAGTTATAGTTAGAACCAGGATACGATGTCCTTGATGAGTACTTTGCAAACCAAGAGAGTAAAGCTGCGTCAAGGAAGTTTAAGCAGCGAGAGACAGACAGGGAGAACAGAGAGCGAGAGGGAGAGCGAGAGGGAGAGCGAGAGGGAGAGGGAGTGTGCCAAGGGCGAGTGAGCGTCGACGAGGGTGCGCAGGCAGCTGGACGAGGAAGGGTCGGAAGTGGAGGAGGACGAGGAGGACGAGGAGGACGAGGAGTCGTCGCAGGCGCAGGCGCGCAGGTGCACACGAGGAGGAAGGAGAGAACGAGGAGGAGCCAGATCCGCGCTACATGATTCGTCCGGGGATCACACAGACACATCCACTCTGCGCCGCAGCTGCATCGTCCATCGCAGCCGTCGCAGCCATCGTCCTGCGATCCATGGTCACTTTTACGAGGTCCTCGTTACAGGGTACCCGGTACAGAAGATTCGTCCAGATGCCACCATTGCCTCCTAGTCCCATGCCTATCGGTGTCTATCCTCGACCACCATCCGTCTCATCTCAAAGACAATCATTGACTCAATGGACACCGAATGGGGTCAGCGACACTTTTGACACTTTTGACACTTGACGTACCACTACAGCTGCAGGCATAAACAGGGGCGACCGTGATGGCGCCGTGCTGCAGCGAGGCATTGGCATTGGCATTGGCGGTCCGAACAAATCAATGATGCATACCTGCCGAGCTGCGTACACATACTGCAGGATCATCAGCTAGCAAATCGGATCGCCCGCACAGCCTCCCAAAGGGATACGAAGTCGCATCCCCAGCTAATCGATATATAGAATCGATTGGCGAAGGCTGGCGACGCAATCCGAATCCAGTTCACAACAACCCCCCCCCCCCCCCCCAAACTTCCAAAGCTTTGCCAGGCAGGACGCCGTACCATATGTACCAACGCTATGTCAGCTCTATCACTACTTGTTAGATGCATGAAATTCAACTGCTATAAATATTAGCAATCGATATACAGTGGTTGCTGAGCTTAGCGTTCTAGGTTCCAACTGAGACATGGGCAGACTGGAACTTAAACCTTCCCTTCAGTCATCTGATTCCTACCCGTCGGGCTCCTTTTTTAGAGGTTTCACGTAATGCGTTCCATGGCATTGGTGCCATGGCATCGCGTCCTCGTTCGCGGCTGGGAAAACGAGCCATCCGCTCGCCATCCGCTCGCCATCGAACACCCACCCCAGCCAGTGGCGGGTACCCAGTACTTGGCCTGCTGCTTCGTTGGAGCCATTGATCATGTCCCATCCGACCAACCTAAGTACGGCCTACTGCACGCAGTACCCATGAACTTCTTCAGAGTTATTTCGCCTAACAAAACCCCCCTGCCTGCCCCTTACAGAACGGAGAAGAATCCTGAAGGAATAGCCGCACTGAGCGGTTCAAGAACATCCCAATCTCACCGGGCGGACGGCCTCGTGCCTGAAAGTTAAGACCTGGGGAAGGGGGGAAATTCTGGGTACCGCGCCTGCTTGATCCTCTCAAACTGTCTAGCTATGTACCCCGTACCCCATAGTATACTATCGCTTATCTCACACAAACACAATTAATGTTTGGAAATCTCACAACCGCCTCCCACTACGCCGCTACTTGGAAACCCAATCTTATGAGTCCATTACCCCAAAGACTAATAGAAATCAAACCGCCCCTCCACACTGTCCCCCCGAAGAAGGTTGGGGCTGAGGTACTCGCCCGTGCCGTGATCAACAGTCACACGGGGCCCAGACACAAGGGAAGCATGAGACGTGCACGTCCCCAATCCTGACCTTGGCAGCTGCCTGTGGGTTGTATTGACGAGCTGAAAGGGCCATGGGCGCCCATCAAACACGGCTGGTTGACACTTCTAGTCCAATTGCACGGCATTGCCCTGCAATGCACTGCGTGCAGCTGTCAGTGCTGCCATCCGCGAATCCTGAAGTCCAATAGTCTGGACCAATCACCCGCCCTTGGCGCTGTGTGTCTCTCTGATGTCGCAAACAATGTCATGGCTGGCGATGGACGAACTGCCAATCTTTTCCAGTCCGGACCTTGCCGTCATCCATATTTTTGGTCGTGGCCAGCTGTCCTGCTTGATTCTGCCAGACACACCAACGAGAGGCGCGACCATTGGGGGGGGGGAGACAGAACTAGTGTTAGTGTTAGTTCCAGAACGGCACACATTGGAGCTACTTACTCCTAGCCCCGCGCACCTACCATACGCCATGGCAGAGCGGGTGACGGCACCATGCCCCGAGAGTCGAGGGGCTGGACTGGAACCGACGACGTAATGAGTTGACGCTTGGAACTCCTAGCTGCATTCCGCGTCTGGAGAACACGAGCCCATCACCCGCCGAACCCAGTGAGCCCAGCTTTGCCACCCCTCGTGGCTCGAATTTCAAGCCTCGTGCAGAGTAGTTCTCCTGCTCTGACCTATGAGAAACACCAGAGAATGGCCACAGCACTTGCTGCGAGAGAAGGACCGTGACAGCCTGACACCCAATCATGAAGAACCCAATTAGTGAACTTTCCAACTAGGGCGCGGCTGGAATGTGTTGAGCATCGACTTTTCATTTGTCTCTTGTCTCATTCCAGCTGTTATCGTTCCGTGATCCCACCCTAATAGAACGGCCCGACGGCTTGTGGCGAAATGTCCTACGCTCAATCGAGGGCGCAAGCTCGTGTCCTCCGCCGAGCACATGCTGGGATGAAACGGACAACCTTCGCATGGCGTTGTTTTTGTCGCGCACGTGTGAGGGAGTGATCGGTCGATGGGAAGATCCTGTCATGACTGTAGGCGCTGGGTTGAAGGGTCCGAAGAGTACATAGGATCTGGGCCAGCTGAATAGGTCAGGGCTGGACTGCTGGATCTGATTTGCGAGTTCCTTGTACTTGTTACTCCGTCCCGTGCAGAGAAGCTCTTGCCAATCTGATCCTAGCTAGGCCCAGTTTATGATGAGAGAAAGGCAAGTGGAAGCATTGGTGGCAAGACCAAACTTTCCTCA